TCCCGGCAGTACTGTGGGTATGGAAGGGAACACAGATTTGGAGTTCACAAGCGCAGATGAAGCCCTGAACAGGCTGCAGGAAACCTTGCCAGTTAAAAGAGAGCCCAGTACACTGAGTAGAGGCAAAAGCGGAAATAACATAAGCACACTAGGCTAGTGATGCCCAAGACCAGCTTATCATAAATTGAGACAATATTCCTTCCCGTCCCCCCAATACAATTTAGACTCTATTGTCCCCAAGTAACTGTTCTTCTCTAGGAAGTAACGATAGAATTGCCCGATGCCAATGAGATACATTGACACTGAAAATACACTATAAAAGAGGAAATGTAGCATACAGTGCATTTGGAAAGTACTCAGACCCCTTGATTTTTTCCACATTTTGTTACGTTACACCCTTATTCTAAAATTGATTAAATAGTTTTTTCCCCTCATTGATCTACACACAATACACCATAATGACAAAGCAAAAACTGGTTTAGATTTTTTTTCAAATTTATTAAAATACAAAACTGAAATATCACATTTACATAAGTATTCAGACCCTTTACTCAGTACTTTGTTGAAGCACCTTCGCCAGCGATTACAGCCTCGAGTCTTCTTGGGTATGACGCTACAAGCTTGGCACACCTGTATTTGGGGAGTTTCTCCCATTCTTCTCTGTAGATCCTCTCAAGCTCTGTCAGGTTGTATGGGGAGCGTCGCTGCACATCTATTTTCAGGTCTCTCAAGAGATGTTCGATCAGGTTCAAGTCCGGGCTCTGGCTGGGCCACTCAAGGACATTCAGAGACTTGTCCCGAAGGCACTCCTGCGTTGTCTTGGCTGTGTGCTTAGGGTCGTTGTCCTATTGGAAGGTGGACCTTCACACCAGTCTGAGGTCCTGAGAGCTCTGGAGCAGGTTTTCATCAAGGATCTCTCTCTACTTTGCTCTGTTCATCTTTCCCTCAATCCTGATAGGCTCCCAGTCCCTGCCGCTGAAAACGTCCCCACAGCATGATGCTGCCACCACCATGCTTCACCGTAGGGATGGTGCCAGATTTCCTCCAGACGTGACGCTTGGCATTCAGGCCAAAGAGTTCAATCCTGGTTTCATCAGACCAGAGAATCATGTTTCTCATGGTCTGAGAGTCCTTTAGGTGCCTTTTGGCAAACTCCATGCGGACTGTCATGTGCCTTTTACTGAGGAGTGGCTTCCGTCTGGCCACTCTACCATAAAGGCCTGATTTATGGAGTGCTGCAGAGGTGGTTGGCCTTCTGGAAGGTTCTCCCATCTCCACAGAGGAACTCTGTAGCTTTGTCAGAGTGACCATCGGGTTCTTAGTCACCTCCCAGATTGCTCAGTTTGGCCAGGCGGCCAGCTCTAATAAGAGTCTTGGTGGTTCCAAACTTCTTCCATTTAAGAATGATTGAGGCTACTGTGTTCTTGGGTACCTTCAATGCTGCAGAAATGTGTTGGTACCCTTCCCCAGATCTGTGCGTCGACACAATCCTGTCTCGGAGCTCTACGGACAATTCCTTCGACCTCATGGCTTGGTTTTTGCTCTGACATGGCCACCAGGTTTGCACACATCTCAGGAGGGATTTTGTCCCACTCCTCTTTGCAGATCTTCTCCAAGTCATGAAGGTTTCGAGGCTAACGTTTGGCAACTCGAACCTTCAGCTCCCTCCACAGATTTTCTATGGGATTAAGGTCTGGAGACTGGCTAGGCCACTCCAGGACCTTAATGTGCTTCTTCTTGAGCCACTCCTTTGTTGCCTTGGCCGTGTGTTTTGGGTCATTGTCATGCTGGAATACCCATCCACGACCCATTTTCAATGCCCTGGCTGAGGGAAGGAGGTTCTCACTCAAGATTTGATGGTACATGGCCCCGTCCATCGTCCCTTTGATGCGGTGAAGTTGTCCTGTCCCCTTAGCAGAAAAACACCCCGAAAGCATAATGTTTCCAACTCCATGTTTGACGGTGGGGATGATGTTCTTGGGGTCATAGGCAGCATTCCTCCTCCTCCAAACACGGCGAGTTGAGTTGATGCCAAAGACCTCGATTTTGGTCTCATCTGACCACAACACTTTCACCCAGTTCTCCTCTAAATCATTCAGATGTTCATTGGCAAACTTCAGACGGGCCTGCATATGTGCTTTCTTGAGCAGGGGGACCTTGCGGGCGCTGCAGGATTTCAGTCCTTCACGGTGTAGTGTGTTACCAATTGTTTTCTTGGTGACTATGGTCCCAGCTGCCTTGAGATCATTGACAAGATCCTCCCGTGTAGTTCTGGGCTGATTCCTCACCGTTCTCATGATCATTGCAACTCCACGAAGTGAGATCTTGCATGGAGCCCCAGGCCGAGGGAGATTGACAGTTATTTTGTGTTTCTTCCATTTGCGAATAATCGCACCAACTGTTGTCACCTTCTCACCAAGCTGCTTGGCGATGGTCTTGTAGCCCATTCCAGCCTTGTGTAGGTCTACAATCTTGTCCCTGACATCCTTGGGGAGCTCTTTGGTCTTGGCCATGGTGGAGAGTTTGGAATCTGATTGATTGATTGCTTCTGTGGACAGGTGTATTTTATACAGGTAACAAGCTGAGATTAGGAGCACTCCCTTTAAGATTGTGCTCCTAATCTCAGCTCGTTACCTGTATAAAAGACACCTGGGAGCCAGAAATCTTTCTGATTGAGAGGGGGTCAAATACTTATTTCCCTCATTAAAGTGCAAATCAATTCATAACATTTTTTACATGCATTTTTCTGGATTTTTTTGTTGTTATTCTGTCTCTCACTGTTCAAATAAACCTACCATTAAAATGATAGACTGATCATTTGTCAGTGAGCAAACATACAAAATCAGCAGGGGATCAAATACTTTTTTCCCTCACTGTATGTCAGAGGTATTGCAATGTAAATGTATTTTTAATTTGTCTGTCTGTATATTTCAAGACATGACATATGATGGTGCAGTGAGATACCCGATGGGTTGGACAATGCTCTTCTCATCAATTATCTTTAAAAAACGTATACTCAAAAACTGAAAATGAGCCAATCCTCCGTCGTTCACGCAATGGAAAGGTTGAATGCTTTATTATCTAAACATTTTAAGTGCGTGGGCGACGGAGAGAAACCAAATCATGCAGTTTGGGACTATGTGGAGGAAAGTGATAAGGACTTTGGATATAGGGGTGGAGGCTAGTGGTTCTGGGCAGGTGTGATGTAGTGACGTTTGTATGATGTAGTCGTTTGTATGTGTATGTTTTGTATTGTTTATAAAATATAAAAATGTAATCTTAAAGTATATGATAAACGGAGTAATAGCAGCGCATATGATGATTGTATGTGTGTGTGTGTAGAGTCTGTATGAATGTGTGTGCGTGTTATGTGTGTGTGTGTGAGCCAATGAAGTGTGTGTGTGTGTGTGTGTGTGTGTGTGTGTGTGTGTGTGTGTTGGAGTGTCAGTGTGAGTGTGTGTGACTGTGTAGAGTCCTGTGAGTGTGCATAGTCAGTGCAAAAAAATTAAAATAAAACGCTCTTAGGTGTTTATTGCAATGAATAGTTTGCTGCCACTCCACCCTGTTAGCCTGCATTGTCTCAGGACGTGCCCGAACACTGCTCCTCCCGTCCCTGAGTAGAACACAAACCTGTTCACTGAAGGGGGTCCAGATATCACTATATATAGACAATTATGTGGAGACCCTTTCAAATTAGTGGATTCGGCTATTTCAGCCACACCCGTTGCTGACAGGTGTATAAAATCGAGCACACAGCCATGCAATCTCCATAGACAAACATTGGCAGTAGAATGGCCTTACTGAAGTGCTCAGTGACTTTCAACGTGCCACTGTCATAGGATGCCACCGTTCCAACAAGTCAGATCGTCACATTTCTGCCCTGCTAGAGCTGCCCCGGTCAACTGTAAGTGCTGTTATTGTGAAGTGGAAACATCTAGTAGCAACAATGGCTCAGCCGCTAAGTGGTAGGCCACACAAGCTCACAGAACGGGGCCGCCGAGTGCTGAAGCGCATAGCACGTAAAATTCTTCTGTCCTTGGTTGCAACACTCACTACTGAGTTCCAAACTGCCTCTGGAAGAAACGTCAGCACAAGAACTGTTAGTCGGGAGCTTCATGAAATGGGTTTCATGAATGGCGTAAAGCTCACCCCCATTGGACTCTGGAGCAGTGGAAACGCGTTCTCTGGAGTGATTAATCACGCTTCACCATCTGGCAGTCCAATGGACAAATCTGGGTTTGGCGGATGCCAAGAGAACGCTACCTGCCCCAATGCATAGTGCAAACTGTAAAGTTTGGTGGAGGAGGAATAATGGTCTGGGGCTGTTTTTCATGGTTCGGGCTAGGCCCCTTAGTTCCACTGAAGGGAAATCTTAACACTACAGCATACAATGACATTCTAGACGATTCTGTGCGTCCAACTTTGTAGCAACAGTTTGGGGATGGCCCATTCCTGTTTCAGCATGACAATGCCCCTGTGCACAAAGCGAGGTCCATACAGAAATGGTTTGTCGAGATCGGTGTGGAAGAACTTGACTGGCCTGCACAGAGCCCTGACCTCAATCCCATCGAACACCTTTGGGATGAATTGGAACGCCGACTGCGAGCCAGGCCTAATCGCCCAACATCGGTGCCCGACCTCACTAATGCTCTTGTGGCTGAATGGAAGCAAGTCCCCGCAGCAATGTTCCAACATCTAGTGGAAAGCCTTCCAAGAAGAGTGGAGGCTGTTACAGCAGCAAAGAGGGGACCTACTCCATATTAGTACCCATGATTTTGGAATGAGATGTTCGATGAGCAGGTGTCCACATACTTTTGGTCATGTAGTGTATGAGGGTAGAGCGATGATAATAGCCTACTAATGGAGTCAATAAAGTTTTAATCACATTCGTGCTATTATGTGAAGCATCCTGGATAATGTTTGGGCCGAAGTCCAACAAAAGTGACGCCGAAAAACTCTTCACTGTTGAGGGGAGGAGGCTTGAGAAAGGGAAAGAGAAGGGGCAGGAGAAGACCAAAATATATTGGAGGGTGAAACCGTAGCAGAGCCGAGGAGGAAATGAAATCAAAGAAGCACTTACTTATCAGTTGATCTTGTTGAGAGAGGGATAAATGCGTGCTGTGGGAGTGGGAGAGTCGCGCCTTCTAATACGTTTTAAATGAGGTAGTGCGGATAACGGGGTCTCCGCTGTTTGTGTGTGAGCACGCGAGTGCCCTTGTGGTAGGGCCGGTTGTAATGACTTTTCAGCCTTTCTATAAAATTAGTCTGTACAACTAACAACGGAGTGATCCCTTGGCGCATGAGAATCTCGAGGGATTGAAAGAGGGAATGAACCGTAATACAGTACAGCAATGCCATGGACAGTGACTTGGGAAGATCCCGTTCAGGGTGCACTTGTTTGCTTTATTTCATCATAAGGTATTGATCCAATTTATGATGGAGTGGCTTGGATTTTCCTGTTTGCTGCTCGGTCTGTTACTCCGGCGAAGTAACACACAAAACGTTGTGCCTGACGCAGGTGAGTTTAGCCTACCTTATACAGGTGTGTCACGGTTAGAGAGATTGCCTTTGCATATTTCCTGTAGCCTCGTAACAATGTTCCATTCTGCAGAGTTGGCGCTGGTTAAAGTCGGGATACTCATTCACATTATTAGATAATCATTCGTTTTCCAACAATGACGTTCTTGGGATGCAATACACTGTGCATCGTAATATATCTGATCACCTGGCCTATTAGTGTATAGTATAGCCTAAATCCGCAAAATGGTAACTTATTTAAAGGGTCTATTATAACTGTATTGTATTATTGACAGAGTTGTCTATTATTCATATTTTTTCTGTAAAGTGTTTGTGTGTGTGTGTGTGTGTGTGTGTGTGTGTGTGTGTGAGAGAGAGATACTTCCAGCTCTTGGCATTACAGTTGAAAGGGAGACAATGGAAGCTCTGTCTTTCATTGATATTGCTGTCTTCAAGAAAAACATTTGCCCTGCTGACTTTGGCCAGAATGTCTCTGGAAACAGGTAACATTCTGTTTGCCAAATTCCAGTAACAAAGCTGTAATAATATATGCACGCTTATGGTAGTCCCCAACTAATTAAAAGTAAACATTTGGATCTATCACTCAGGTTTATTTGATAAAGATTAAGCAAAGCCTTTGGAGACATTTTTCTGCAGGTCATAAAGGTGGGAACAAAGCTTAATTAAATTTTTGGCTGCTTTTTAATTACGTAAATAGAGACTTAGGGATTGAAGGAAAAGACATACTTCTTCTCTATTACATCTCTCACACACAGTCTCTCTTGCTCACACACACCTCACTGTGGATTGCAGAGAGGGAAGAGAGCTGCAAATCCCTTTCCTCTCTTCTCTCTCCTTATCCTTCTCTTTTTCTCCCAGTACTTACACACTCTGTCTTTCTCCCAATATTTCCCTAAGGGGGGGGGGGGGGGGGGGGGGAGAGAGAGGAGAGAGAGAGAGAGAGAGAGAGAGAGAGAGAGAGAGAGAGAGAGAGAGATAGAGAGAGAGAGAGAGAGAGAGAGAGAGAGAGAGAGAGAGAGAGAGAGAGAGAGAGAGAGAGAGAGAGGCTATGCAGAGAGTGGAATACAATGTGTGGAAGAAGTGACGCAATATGCATAATATGTATATGTGCCTTTGGATGATGGCAGTCATTTGTGTGTGTGTGTGTGTGTGTGTGTCTGCGTCTGTACCTCCATCAGGCGTCAGCTTGTGATTGAGTACCTGTATTGTTCTAACTAGACCAGAGCATGTCAGTGCATAACCACAATAGCATGTTAGAACAGCAAAAACATTGGGATGCTCCTGCATTCCTGCAGGGTTATACACCTGTTATAACAGGTCATGACAGCTGATGGAAAAATAGATGGGTTTCATCTGACATGCCCTTGTCCCTGTAGTGACAGAGATATGTCGACTGTTTTACCAACTACATACTGTATAGCTGTTGACCAACCTTCTATGACATCATTGCTATGGCAGTCATCCTCTTAGGCGTTATATCACACCAGTAACACACAGCAGAGAGGCAGAGAGCTGAGTCAGACACAGGACATATGAAAATGTATGAGCTACTATATCTGAATTCACTACAAGTGTTGTTGTTTTTTTAGTAGAAGCTGGGGTGTAGAAACTGGGGTGTTAGTAGAAGCGATTTTGATTTTACTGGAAATGATTATTGTATGTAGATGGTTGAGAGAGCAGATGTAGCTCAGTTGTTTCAGAGAATAAAGAGACGACGAGGTCCAGTGACCATTATAATATGCTCATCAGAGAGCGTCTGGCCAGACTGTGGCTATTCTCTGCACATAATGTTCTCTGTCTCTCTTTTTATCTTTCTCTCGCTCTCTCTCTGTTGTTTTGTTTCTCTCTCTCTAGTTTGTGTCCGTTTTCTTCCACCTATCCTCAGTTTTTAATCTGTTTAATTTATCTCACTCCCTTGACAGTCATCTCTCAACCCCATGCCTTTATCCATATTTTAGCACTCGTCTCGTCATCCCCTTTCCTTTCCTGTCTCTTGTCCTGTGTTCTATGGCTTGGATCCCAGTCTGTGTTTGAATAAAATGGCTTAAACCAATCCAGTTTATTTTGAATGATCACACAAAGAACAGCAAATATTTAAATGTGGACATAGGAAGATTAGCAAAGTAAAGAACTACCACGACAGGTAAGAACATTGGCAAACAATGTGTTTTGAAAAAGTGTTTTTATGTTGCCTTTTTATGTTGCCTTGTGGAATCTGTTCCTGGGCTTGCAGCCATATGCCTGCTTACAATTCTCTCTGTAGATATAAGGTATGAGGTAAATAGCTTCAGTGTAATCGCTCTCTCTCTCCCTTTCTCTCTCTCTCCCTTTCTCTCACCCCACCTCTCTCAGCTCTGAACTGTTGTGAGGGGGACATCCTGCTCCTGTTGGATTCTTCAGGAAGTGTGTCATCCTATGAGTTCTCTCGCCTGCTGCTCTTCCTGTCTGAGCTGCTCCTCCCCTTCTCACTGGGGCAGGGCCAGGTGAGGGTGGGGCTGCTGCAGGTGGGCACTGAGCCACACCTGGAGTTTGGTCTGGACGCCCACAGCACCCAGCCTGGCCTTCAGGGGGCACTGCAGAGGACCAGGCAGCTCCAAGGGGACACCAACACTGAGGCTGCCCTCATACTGGCACAGGGGCTGCTAGCCAGGGTTGGAGCTGGGGATGAAACAAAGCTCCCTAAGGTGCTGGTGTGGCTAACGGACGGGGTAGAGCCGGGCACGGTGGATGGACCAATGGCAGAGCTGAGAACGGCGGGCGTGTCCGTGCTGGCAGTCTCTACAGGACACGGGAACTACCAGGTGCTGCGGAGGGTGGTGACTCCGCCCATCGAGTCCCACCTGTACTTTGTGGACATCGATGACATCAGCATCATCACAGAGGACCTGAGGGAGGCCATCATTGGTGTGTGGGGCGGGGGTGAGGGAGGAATGTAGTGACTCACAAAGGGTAGATACAAAGACAGGGGAAATAGATGACAATATATGAAATATACTTTTTTGCCCTTCAAACAGCACAGCATTGTATAAAACCGTTCAGCACACCACTTCTAACACTACAGCAGAGGTGGGACTATGCCGCTTGACTATAACTGATTTGCCAGACTCAAGTATTTATAGACATTCCTGAGATTGCAGATGACAACCTCTGTAGTGTCTATGCAAACTCTCCCCCACTGAGTTGTATGCCCCCCCCCCCCCCCCTTCTCTCTCTTAGAGCTGATCCGTGCTGAGTGCCTGCGGGTGGTACAGGTGTCCTCGCACAGTGCCGTGCTGCAGTGGCGTCCTGTCCTCAGCGCCAACACAGGCTTCTACGAGGTCCGCTACAATTCTGTGCTGCCAGGTGGCGGGAAGGGTCAGCCTGGTGGCGTGTCCAGCAGTGAGGGGCAGTACCACAGACGGACCCTCCCTGGGGATGCCAGCTGGATGGAGCTGAGCGGTCTGCAACCAGACACCAACTACACCGCCTCCCTCACCCCAAAGTCCAACCAGGACTACCTCAACACCCTCAGTGCCAACTTCACCACACTGCCCGGTGAGAGGGCGGGAGGAAGGGAGACTGGGAGAGAGGGAGGAAGAGGGGATGGAAAGAAAGTGATTGGAATAAGTGTCAGGAATGTGGGAGTGGAATGAAAAGTACAGTGACGTGGTAGAAATATGAAATATGAATATTCTAATAGAAAATCAACACTGATAGAAAATCTTTTTACCTTATTGAACACCTTTTTGTGCATAATCATAATCTATTTCATTTTTCTGTCATCCCCCTGTCCTCTCCTCCCTGTCCTCTCCTCTCACACACCCTAGAGGTGTTGAGCCCAGCGGTGGTCACAGTGTCAGACTCAGGTCCTGACAGGGTGCGAGTGAGCTGGGGTCCTCTGCAGCCTGAGCAGGTCCAGAGGTACCAGATAGAGTATGGAGCTCTACCCAGTGGACAGGTCCACATGGTTATGCTACACGGACATCAGAATACCACTCTGCTCACTGGTCTAGAGCAAGACACACAGTACCTGGTCACTATCAGCGCCCTGTACTCCACTGGCAAAGAGAAGGCAGTGTCTGTCAAGGCCTGCACTCAGGAGGGTAAGATGTGTGTGTTTTTGTTCACCCTCTGAATGGCACACATACACAATCCATGTCTCAGTTGTCTCAAGGCTTAAAAATCCTTCTTTAACCTGTCTCCTCCCATTCATCTACACTGATTGAAGTGTATTTAACATGTGACATCAATAAGGGATCATAGCGTTCACCTGGATTCACCTGGTCAGTCTATGTCATGGAAAGAGGGCCTAGCCCCTCTCTTTTTTCATTCTGTGATTTATGGCTTTTATAACAAAACACACACACTAATCTGTCCTCTATCTCTGTGTGTATCTCAGTGCTGCCTGCCCTGGCTGACCTCCAGCTGACCCCAGTGGGGCGTGATGCGGTGCAGGTCCGGTGGCGAGGCCACGAGGAGGGTCTGAGGGGGTATTGGCTCAGCTGGGAGAGGGGTGAGACCAAGATCCCATCCCGCCCTGCGTCCTCCTCCCTATACCTGCCCCCTGGATCCTTGTCCACGCTGCTCACACACCTGGCCCCCAGCACCCGAGTGTGTGTGTCCCCTGTCTACCGCACGGCCCGGGGAGAGGGGCTCTGCTGCACCACGCACACACAAACTGGTCTGACACCGCGCGCACAGACACACACACACACAGGTCTGCCAGCCTTATATTGGACTTGACCGATTTATTGAACCGTCACATTATAGTCATTGTAATTTTAAGGAGATACAGTGGGGAAAAAAAGTATTTAGTCAGCCACCAATTGTGCAAGTTCTCCCACTTAAAAAGATGAGAGAGGCCTGTAATTTTCATCATAGGTACACGTCAACTATGACAGACAAAATGAGGAAAAAAAATCCAGAAAATCACATTGTAGGATTTTTTATGAATTTATTTGCAAATTATGGTGGAAAATAAGTATTTGGTCAATAACAAAAGTTTCTCAATACTTTGTTATATACCCTTTGTTGGCAATGACACAGGTCAAACGTTTTCTGTAAGTCTTCACAAGGTTTTCACACACCGTTGCTGGTATTTTGGCCCATTCCTCCATGCAGATCTCCTCTAGATCAGTGATGTTTTGGGGCTGTCGCTGGGCAACACAGACTTTCAACTCCCTCCAAAGATTTTCTATGGGGTTGAGATCTGGAGACTGGCTAGGCCACTCCAGGACCTTGAAATGCTTCTTATGAAGCCACTCCTTCGTTGCCCGGGCGGTGTGTTTGGGATCATTGTCATGCTGAAAGACCCAGCCACGTTTCATCTTCAATGCCCTTGCTGATGGAAGGAGGTTTTCACTCAAAATCTCACGATACATGGCCCCATTCATTCTTTCCTTTACACGGATCAGTCGTCCTGGTCCCTTTGCAGAAAAACAGCCCCAAAACATGATGTTTCCACCCCCATGCTTCACAGTAGGTATGGTGTTCTTTGGATGCAACTCAGCATTCTTTGTCCTCCAAACACGACGAGTTGAGTTTTTACCAAAAAGTTCTATTTTGGTTTCATCTGACCATATGACATTCTCCCAATCCTCTTCTGGATCATCCAAATGCACTCTAGCAAACTTCAGACGGGCCTGGACATGTACTGGCTTAAGCAAGGGGACACGTCTGGCACTGCAGGATTTAAGTCCCTGGCGGTGTAGTGTGTTACTAATGGTAGGCTTTGTTACTTTGGTCCCAGCTCTCTGCAGGTCATTCACTAGGTTCCCCCGTGTGGTTCTGGGATTTTTGCTCACCGTTCTTGTGATAATTTTGACCCCACGGGGTGAGATCTTGCGTGGAGCCCCAGATCGAGGGAGATTATCAGTGGTCTTGTATGTCTTCCATTTCCTAATAATTGCTCCCACAGTTGATTTCTTCAAACCAAGCTGCTTACCTATTGCAGATTCAGTCTTTCCAGCCTGGTGCAGGTCTACAATTTTGTTTCTGGTGTCCTTTGACAGCTCTTTGGTCTTGGCCATAGTGGAGTTTGGAGTGTGACTGTTTGAGGTTGTGGACAGTCTTTTATACTGATAACAAGTTCAAACAGGTGCCATTAATACAGGTAACGAGTGGAGGACAGAGGAGCCTCTTAAAGAAGTTACAGGTCTGTGAGAGCCAGAAATCTTGCTTGTTTGTAGGTGACCAAATACTTATTTTCCACCATAATTTGCAAATAAATTCATAAAAAATCCTACAATGTGATTTTCTGGATTTTTTTCCCTCATTTTGTCTGTCATAGTTGACGTGTACCTATGATGAAAATTACAGGCCTCTCTCATCTTTTTAAGTGGGAGAACTTGCACAATTGGTGGCTGACTAAATACTTTTTTTCCCCACTGTAGTCTTCTTCATGTGGTGCTAACAGCACTCTTGTGCAACAGGAAAGTAATAACCCCTTTTTCTCTCTCCTTTTCTCTCCCTCTCTCTCACTTTGATAGATGCAGTATTCTGGGGCTATCAATGAGACTTGCCTGCAGTCAGAGAGCTGAAGTGGAGGACATTTTTTACATTTGAAGTGCTTTATTGCCACGTCAATGCTGTGGTACAATGGAGTCACAGCTCTGTGTCGCTTCAAACCACTTGATTATCCAGTATTCACACCCCTTTACTTTTTCCACATTTTGTTGTGTTACAGCCCAAATCTAAAATGGATTAAATTGAGTTTTTTTGTCACTGGCCTACACACAATACCACATAATGTTTTTCCAAATTTGTACAAATTAATTACAAATGAAAAGCTGATATGTCTTGAGTCAATAAGTATTCAACCCCTTTGTTATGGCAAGCCTAAATAAGTTCAGGAGTTAACATTCGCTTAACAAGTCACATAATAAGTTGCATGGACTCACTCTGTGTGCAATAGTAGTGTTTAGCATGATTTTTGAATGACTACCTCACCTCTGTACCCCACACATACAATTATCTGTAAGGTCCCTCAGTCGAGCAGTACATTTCAAACACAGATTCAACCAGAAAGACCAGGGAGGTTTTCCAATGGCAGACATTGAATATCCCTTTGGTGCGAGGAGCAGGGACAGGCCGAACCGGGCTGTGGAGACGGATAGGAGACCTGGAGTGAAGAGCGGCCACAACCCGTCCTGGCTGAATGCCTACCCTCACACACTCTGTGTGAGGCATCCGCACAGGACGTACAGGGCGGTGTACCCGTAACCTGGTGGCCTTCTGAATCCGCCCCTTTTCTGCCTCCGTCAGCCCCGTCGTCCATGCCGTGTGCCCCCCCCTAAAAAATTTCTGGGGTTGCCTCTCGCCTGTCCGACGTTGACACTGCTGACGCCGCTGCTCCTCTTTCGCCAGGGCCTCTCCTGGCGCTTCCTCCCATGTCCAGTCCAAGTTCTGCCCCGGGACACGCTGCTTGGTCCTTACTTGGTGGGTTTTTCTGTCACGATCGTCGTATTGAATAGACCAAGGCGCAGCGTGATGAACGAACATGGTTAACTTTATTATCTTTAGTGATAATAGACACCAATAAACAAAACAAGAAACGACTCGTGAAGTCCACGGTAACAATGACCAACACGGAACAAAAACCCACAAACACAAAGGGAAAACAGACAGTTTAAATATGGCTCCCAATCAGAGACAACCAACGACAGCTGACACTCGTTGCCTCTGATTGGGAGTCACTCCAGCCAACATAGAAATAAACACAACAGAATGAACACACCCTGGCTCAACATATAGAGTCCCAGAGCCAGGGTGTGACAACTATGAAGCCAATGGTGACATTAAAACAGTTACAGAGTTTAAGGGCTGTGAAGAGAAAACTGAGGATGGCTCAACAACATTGTAGTTACTGCACAACACTAACCTAATTGACAAAGTGAAAAGAAGGAAGCCTGAAAATAATAAAAATATTCAAAAACATGCATCCTGTTTGCAACAAGGCACTAAAGTAATACTGCAAAAGTAATACTGCTAGCAATTACATTTTTGTCTGAATACAAAGTGTTATGTTTGGGGAAAATCCTATACAACACACAACTGAGTACCACGCTCAATATTTTCAAGCATAATGGTCGTGGCTGCATTATGTTATGGGTATACTTGTAAACATTAAGGACTGGGGAGTTCTTCAGGATAAAAAATATGGAATGGAGCTAAGCACAGGCAAAATCCTTGTTCAGTCTGCTTTCCACCAGACACTGGGAGATTAATTCACCTTTCAGCAGGACAATAGCCTAAAACACAAGTCCAAATCTACACTGGAGTTGCTTACCAAGAAGACGGTGAATGTTCCTGAGTGGCTGAGTTACTGTTTTGACTTAAATCTGCTTGAACATCTATGGCAAGACCTGAAAATGGTTGCCTAGCAATGATCAAGAACCAATTTGACAGAGCATGAAGAAATTTGAAAAGAATAAGGGGCAAATGTTGCCCAACCCAAGTGCGGAAAGCTCTTTGAGACTTACCCAGAAAGACTCACAGCTGTAATCGCTGCAAAAGGTGCTTCTACAAACTATTGACTCAGGGGTGTGAATACTTAAGTAAATGAGATATTTCTGTACTTCATTTTGCAAAAATGTCTAAAAACATGTTTTCACTTTGTATTATGGGGTATTGCTTTTAGATGGGTGAGAAGAAAACTATGTATTTAAGACATTTTGAATTCAGGCTGTAACACAACAAAATTTGGAATAAGTAGAGGTATGAATACTTTCTGAAAGCCATGTAAGTGGATTATGTTGTCATGTCATAAGGAAGATGGGTCCTGGGTCAGCTGGGTCAAGATGAAGAGTTGTAGCTTCAGCATAGAGCTAATGTGTTCCAAGCATAGAGCTAATGTGTTCCAAATGGATGGATTCAATTTCTCTGACTCCTATGAGAAGGATTGCCACTGATGTGTGATAGGTGGATGAGGCTGAAGAGAAGGAAGGGTGGATGGAGAAAAAGAAGACAAAGAACCCCCTAACTTTCTTGAATAACCATATCTTCTCTCCCATCATCCATCGGGTCATATTGTGGACATGCTGTTACACATAGGCATTTTAATAATTTCTGATAAAAATAAACAACTATATACACTTCATAAACAAGGAGTCAAATTAAAATGTACTTGTACGCTTTCTCACATATTTTTGATATATAGTTTTCAGTTTAGCTTCCACATAATAGGCTGCAGTCAACATTTAAACCCATCAGCCTGGCTCTTGTGAACTTGCTTGTGAAGATCGCCATCTAGTGGGACACATATCTTACCACATGTTGTGACAATCAGGCCTACATTCAACTTTTAGATTTTTTTCTCTGCTGCACAGTACACCCCTAAGTGTGAATATTATGCAAAGCCCATGTTCCAATTTAACAGCAATGCATTGGTCTCATATAGAGGGTAGATAAATTGCAATATCTGAAAACAGGAAAACATTTAATCTCACATCTGATCTTCTGGGTCGTTCCATGTCATTTCAGCAAGCCATGACACAAACCATTTCAGATTATTCTGAAATCGTTTCTGTAGTAAGAAACAGATAAGATAAGCATTCCAGCAACATTATTTTGTTGAAATATCATTTGATCTCTGAGAAATTAAACTAATTGATTGCATCCAAATTGGCCATTTAAATGTATAGGATTCATATAATATTCAATAAATATAGTACCTAACATCCGATTTGGATCCAACTTTTTTCTAACAATGAGTAAGACATGAGGAATCCAAAGAAATTGTCAAAAGTCGCCCACAGACCCCCCACACCCCACGCCAATCCAGAGAAGGCTGGTGGGAGGAGCCATAGGAGGACCGGCTCATTGTAATGGCCAGAATGTCATGAAATGGAGTCAAACCAGTTGTTTTCATGTGTTTGGTACCATTCCATTGATTCCAATCCAGCCATTATAATGAGCCCTACCTTCTATAGCTCCTCCCACCAGCATACTCTGCGCCAATCCCACCCCAACAACTATATGCCCCCTCAATGTTAAAGGGATAGTTCACCCAAATTACAAACTGACATACTGGTTTCCTTACCCTGTAAGCAGTTTATGGACACGGTATGACAGCAACCGGTGCTTTGGTTTTGTTTACCTAGCCACTGTTTCAAATTCTAACTTTTTAGCATTTGTGGCACAAATCCAATGCAAGTCAATGGTACCTATATTAGCATTTGTGCGATTCATATCCAAATCATCTGTAAGAAACATCAGTAACCACATTTCCATCCACAATTTTTAGGCCAGTAAATTCATACTTATAAAAAAAAAACATGACAGCTGTGATGTTAACAGGAAGTTCGTTACAATTTTATAAATGCAGACAGATCATTTGTTGGTTCGACATGGTGGGATCTTTTTGTGTCTGTAAATTTAATTATGCAAGAAAAGGCGATGCAAATGACAAATATCGATATAATAACCATCATATCGAAGTAAACAAGATGGTATGGTGTGTGGTCCTCACTAGGTCTGTGGCAGTCATTACATTTTGTCAGCCAGTGATTGTCAAGCAAATAACAGCCGGTCTCACGGTAATTGACCGTTAACTAATATAACCACATTTAGCATCTCCTGGCTTCCACACATAGCCTACAAGCCACTGATGCAGACCTTTGGAACATCTACATTTAAAAAAGTATAATAAATCCATGTAATATAGCCTACACCATCACAATAAATCCATTATTTATTTTAGACATATCTAAAGAAACATGATATGAAGAAAATGTAGTCTATTTCAGTAGAACAGAATAGCATACTCTTGAGTTGTCCTTATGTTAGGCCCTGATCTGGCTATGCCATATGGCTAGTTAATTAAGCAGACAAGATTTGCTTAGAATTCTGTGGCATTATTTTATATTATTTTATAGTATGAAGAATACAATTGAACATAGCTGAATAAAATAGAAAATATATATTTTCTCTAAACATTTTCTATTTTACGCAACAGTTTTGGTGACAAAACTATCGGTAGAGTTGAAAATGCGATGGAAACACATTCAAAGTGTTTATTCGGTATATGAAAACTTGAGCGAACTACATTGAACTACATTTCGTGTGCACTAAGTCATCACCTACTAATTTTTAACAAGTCAGTTTGGTGGAAACACACCACAGGTGGGAAAATGTGCATATTTTCTTTATGTGGATTTTAGAATATTTTTCATGAATTGGATGGAAACCTAGCTATTGAGTTACACGATACATGTTTTGGTACATTAAGATGATTTGGACATGAAGTGTGAAAATGCTAATATAGGTACCATTGACTTGCATTGGATTTGTGCCACAAATGCTAAAACCTTTAGTGCTTACAGGGTAAGGAAACCAACATTGAGGCGGAGGGGATTATTTTTATTTTTTTATCACCTAATAGCAGGAAGAGCACCATCTAGTGGTTAGAACCTGGTAATATCAGGATGTAGGATGGGACATAAACCTAACAACTTCAATGACTAATTTCTATGAACAGGGGGGGAAAAACATCACCAAATTCACTGGATGAAGAAACAATACTCAGAGCCGCAGCTCCATACTACTTTTCAGACATAGAGAACTGATACTATATACTCGTTGTTTGGGTGGGATTGGCATGGGGTGTGGGGGGTCAGTGGGTGGCTTTTCAGATTCGTCATGTCTAGTTCATTGTTAGAAAAAAGTTAGGTCCAAATCGGATTTTAAGTACAATATTTATTGAATATTATACGAATCTTATACATTTAAATGTCCAATTTGGGTGCAATCAATTAGCTTAATTTCTCAGAGATCAACAAAATAATTGTGCAGGATTGCTAATATTATCTGTTTCTAACTATAGAAACGATTTCAGAACAATCTGAGATGTTGGGTGTCTAAATACTTTCTTGTTCTTTTTGAGGTGGAACGACCCTTCTTGTATTCTATATACTCAATGTTAATATCATATGAGGTAATAAAACTAGTGTAAATTATTATTAATTTTTTGTAATTTCATTTTGGAGTGTAAAAGTCATTTCAACACACAAACAAATAGGCAACTGTATGATTGTTGTCAGGTACAGTATGACCATTAATATCTCTAGACGAAATTTTCAAATTGTCACATGCTGCAGCCTGCAGCACCAACACAGATTGATCTGCATTAAGAATGAGCCTATTAAACAGCAATCATTTTTTACACCAGTGAGTCCATTCTATCAAAGATAGTTTCTTCTCTCAAGAGACAATAACTTTTTAAACTGCAACACACGCTTAGAAATAACATTGTGGGATCAAAACAGTTCAAACTTTGACAAAACGGTGCAACACCGGAATTTGCAGAAAAAAATTATTGAGCGCTTCCACCCGTTTAAAATATACTGCTATTATTGGTTTACACAACGGGATTTCAAGACCACAATAACCAATCACAACCAGTATGAACAATAGAAAGGGGCGCGGTTTATTCACGGCCCATCCAATCGGTAGAGACTGTACTGGAGTCCCGTGCTGGACTGGGCCTCGGTCTTGCCTGGTGTCATGCAACCGACTATTGAATATGTGATGGCGGCAGAAGACCTGAGAATTCCCGGGGAGGGAATTCTTATAGGGGATAAGATATACTCTGGAGTGACCTTAACTTTAGATAACTGTCTCCTGCCACCGGAGCGACTACAGCAGAGTCCGTCCGCTGAACATGGGCTCTCCGCGGATACCGAGGAGCAGCTGCGAATGCGGGGCTGTGAGTTGATCCAGGCCGCGGGTATTCTGCTGAGACTTCCGCAGGTTGGTAACAATCTAGCTAACTATTGTGCCGAAGTTAAGTAGAATTTGCATTAGAAGTCAGAGAAATGTAATTGTACAAGTCAAACACGAGACCATGTCTAGAATCAACAGCTAAGTTAAAGGCTCGTGTTGTTTACCAATGAGGCAGGCCAGGCGAGGGATTTAAATCGTAGTTGGCTAACTAATTGATGAACGTTCTCTCCAGGTAGCCATGGCCACGGGGCAGATCCTTTTCCAGAGGTTCTACTACTGCAAGTCGTTCGTCAGACACTGTGCAGAGGTAGGACCCTCACTATCCTGCTCTGTTTGGCAAAAGTCCTCTATCAGACTTAACTCAAACATTCAACCCTTTACTATTTGTTCACCCTGTTGCTGTGACTAACTAATCTCATGATGCTGTTTGTCCTCTTTCCCCTTCTCAAAATATCCATCTACCTCCCTGCCCACCTCATTCCAGATGGTTGCAATGGCTTGTGTGCACCTCGCTTCAAAGATCGAAGAGGAACCACGGAGGGTACGAGACGTTCTCAACGTGTTCTACCACCTCAAGCACAGCAAAGGCAAAAGGTAAGGGGTTCTGAACTCCTCTTCCTGTTCCCCCAACCCTCTTGAGGTATTCTGTATATCTCTAACCATGTGTATCTTCCAGGACCCAGGTCCCCATGCCTCTGGATGCCAGCTACATCAGTGCCAAGGCTCAGGTGATCAAGACGGAGAGGAGAGTGCTGAAGGAGCTGGGCTTCTGTGTGCATGTCAAACACCCCCACAAGGCAAGCAGCAGACTCCTTACCTCACCACCTTCAATACATTCAGTGGCGCATTTGATCTAAAACAGGACAATTGATAACCACTGTGGCTTAGGCCCTGTTTGTTCTACTGGTTTGTTATGATTGCTACTCTAGGCTTGGATTTGTATGATCATGACATGCCTAGTAAATGCTCTTATCAAAAGCAATTTACATTGCATCTGGTCTTGGGAATTCATCCCTAACAGTTTTTGTGCTCCTCTGTCACAGATCATTGTGATGTACCTCCAGGTGCTAGAGTGTGAGAAGAATACTAAGCTGGTACAGACGGCTTGGTGAGTATCTTGTTGCTATTTTGTCTTTATTTAGTTTAATCATTTCTCAATGTATCTCGAATGTCATATTAGGAAGAGTTCTTATTTAGCTATTTTCACCTCACTCTCCCGCTCTCTGCTGCTATCTGTTTTCTAGGAACTACATGAATGACAGTCTGAGGACAGATGTGTTCCTGAGGTTCAGTGCTGAGACCGTGGCCTGTGCCTGTATCTACCTGTCAGCCAGAACACTTCAGGTAGGACACTACAGTGTACACTCATGTGCTTTAAAGATGCTAACACATAAGGTATTTTACAGTAATATACAGTAATATACTTGTCATTCATACACCTGCACATATCAGCATACCTACTACACAAACCAAGATTTTATCTAAGGACATATGCTCAAACATGATTAGCTGGTCTATATAGCTCCCAGATATCCATAACAGCGACATGACCACCTGTCTGATTCCTCACCCTCCTCCCGTCTTCCCTGCAGATCCCTCTACCGGACCAGCCCCCCTGGTTCCTGCTGTTTGGTGCGTCTGAGGAGGACCTGAGGGAGATCTGTGGGCGGATCCTGAGGCTGTACTCGCTGCCCAACGTCTCCCTCCCCAGTATGCTAAAAGAGGTGGACCAGTGTCACCTGGCCCTGGACGCCCGCATCGCCAAGGCTAAGCTGGTAGGAGGGGGACTGCTGACTGTGGGTACCCCTACCCTTGATGTCCCCTCCAGCTTCTCCCCTGCCTCCAAAGCAGGTGAGACAGACACACACCGCTCACCCATAGGGAAACACACTGTGTAATATGTGATATCCTAATGTTTTATCCCATGCTTTTTTGTTTCTATTTCCTTTTTTTTTTGCATTCTGGCATCTATAAAAAAAAATATTATTACCGTTTGTCTCATGTGCTCATCATTTCCTTTAGCAACCCTGTGACTTTGGAACCATTTCCTCCTACAAAGTTCCTTATGCTTGTCTCTCTTTGTCCTAGCGTCACCTGCTGTACCACAGCCCAACAGGGAGTCTCCCCTAAATCAAGTTGCCCTAAAGAATGCCTGCCGGAAACTCACTAACGGAGACGAGTAAGTATTCCTCCTCTACTGGAGTATGGGGATATCTGTACTGAGTATATTTGTTGATTGAATGGAGCTGCTTTCCCTCATGAAATGTAGACTCTTCTATTTTTGCTTTTCTCCTTCTTTTTTTTTCCTCACTCAGGAAGAAAAGAGGGAGCCGTAGTGATGAGAGGAGAGGGACTCAGTCCATGTCTCCTTCCAGAAGAAGGTATGGAAGAAGCACTGTGCCTTACTCTGTTCCATATGGACTCCATTTTGAGTCTCAGTTCTGAGACTAACTTCTCTCTCTCTCTCTGTTTCAGACGCAGTCGCAGTGTCTCTTCTCCTTTGTGCTCCGTCTCTCCCGCCCACCGCCAGAAAATCAGTCGCAGGGATAGAGCGAGAGAAAGGGAAAAAGAGAGGGAGCGTCGGCGGGAACGGGAGAAGGAGCGGGGAAGAGGAAGGAGAGATGAATACTCACGTAGAAGATAGCTGTTATCAAGGAAGAGCTATGAGCGTTACCGTAAACAGCACATCATGGACCAAATACAAGCCAGACTTTCCAATGTTTTAACTTTTGTAGATTGTTTGTATTACATTATAATTTGGGAAACTATGCTCTAAGATCATAGTCCAAAGCTTTTGTCTGAACAATATTTTTGAAATAAAAATGCTTTTAGATGATCTGTTGTCTTGATTTATGAATGGCATCAAGTGATTGAGATCACTTTATTGGTCAACTGCACACAAGGTCCAACCGAACTGTGACTTCCGCTTTTAACCCAACCCTTCCGAAAGACTCATACATACAGGTTTTGGAGAGGTGCGGGAAGCTGTTGTGGGGGGTTAGGTGCCTTGCTCAAGGGCACAACGACAGGCAACAGCATCTAGGATTTTGATACCAGCAACCCTCTGGTTGCTAGCGCACGTCCTGCCAGGTTTTCCTGTCGGACCCGGGATTCAAACTGGCAACCCTCCTATTGCCGGCTCGGCTCTAACTGCTAGGCTACCTGCCACCCATTAAGCACCACAACCAAACACACCTCTACCTCCCTCCCTAGGGAAGCTAGTGTGGCATCATAATGAACCTAGTTGCTAAGGAAGCATGTTTCAATTAGGCTGATTGATTAATCTCTCGCTCAGTAGCTAAACTCTGGGATTGAAACCCCCACATTTCCATGGGTACACTGCCTCTGGCCTAGCAGAGGTTGGTTGAGTAACTAGGGAATTTGCTGCAATTTTAGGTGGATAGGTATGGCAGGAACTACTTTGTATATATCTGGTGTCCATGGTGATTTTACATAGGTACTTCTGTGGGAGGTTGGGCTTGTGTTGGATGCTACAGAGAGAGGGAGTGTATAAAAGTACCTATAATAGATGGGAAGCAATCAATATGAATTTTTTTGTACATTTGTATTTATGATCTATTACCAAGAGGTGTTCATATTTGGAATAAAACATATAGCAGTGGATTAGAGGATGCAGATAGAATGGAGCTGACATCTAATATAACTCACTCTTTTTAGAAAAACTTTTGAAAATAGGGCCCTGGATTAGGATGCAGAGAGACTGAAAAGTTTTCTACCCAGAACTCACTATAATTCAGTAGAGATGGAGGCCCCAATGCCGGAGTTGAGAGGGCAGGAACTGGTGGGGATGGGGCTCCGTGTCACTACGTCTCCCATCCAGACCACCTTCTACATCATTCTAGACCTGCTGGGTATCGTGGGTAACGCCACGGTGGTTGGTGTGATCGAGGAGAGCGTGTTCAAAGACCCCAGTGGGGGATGTAACTCCGATATCATCCTGATGAACATGGCCCTCTCCAACCTGCTCATGTCTGTCCTGAGGAACGCCCTGCTGGTCATCTCTGACCTGGGGCTGGAGGTAAGGAGCTGGGTTGATCTGGGACAGGGGTCGAGCACTGGGGCAGAGGGTGCTGAAGAATAATGGCTGTATGTGGATGCTCGAGACAAGGGGGAGGCAGGTATGGGGATTGTGTGTGGTTTGGGCTCTAAGTAAAAGGGTTGTGATTATGGGATTTGGTATTTAAGATATTGGAGGGTTTTGGGCTGATCTTTGAGGAATGGTAGTTTAAAATGCAAGCGCTAGGGAGGGTGGTGTGGTCTGTGACTAGAGATATGCTATGTGAAATGAAAGCAAGCTGACAATATACTGTGCCATAATTACTGAAATAGCATTGTTCAGCTCGACACTATTGGGTACACACACACAAGAACTGACACCCAGCTCTCTCACATGGCCCCTCCCTCAGGAACTGTTCACGGGCACCGCAAGTTATTACAGAGAATGCATGTTTATGTGTATGTTTTATGACCCTCATGCTAAGAGAATAAAAAAACTGGTAAATAGTTTCACAGTATTTTCCCTTCCTCTTTCTCCAGGTGATTCTAGCCCTCATCATGCTCTTCATTGGGTCTTGGGGAACCAGCCTCATCTCTATAAACTACTTTATCTACAACCGAGGTTCGTCAGCTGAGTTCCTCCTGGTTATAGCTCGCTTTGCCAACACCATCTTCAACGCCATTTCATCCATCGTGCTGGCAGTGGGTCACCGACGGCTGCGTGCTGTCATTAAGTATATTCTTACTCGCAAACAGAGCCCACGTTCTGACACAGACACTGCAACTGAAATTATGGGGAAGTCAGTGGAAAGATATTATACCTGCCCTCAGCCTAACAGTAACATAGAATTATATGGTTGTTCGCATTCCTCTAACCATTGGCAACCATTTTTATCCTCTTCCCTTAGGCAGGCTGTTTTAACATGGCCACTATGAGAGACAAACCCATTATTATTTTTTTACTACAATTTCTAAGGATTCAATGAAGAAGAGCACTGTTACTTGTTCGGAGAGGTTTTGTATAAAAGATTGTTGAGTTCCTAATTGGAATGAAATGTGATACTCTGTACTTGTTAGTGAGACTATGTTAACACAATTTCTTTCTGGCAAGCTGCCCTTTTGTGAGTGAGAGAATGGTTTTGATGTATTGACTGTATGTAAGAGGGCACTCCTAGCTGTAGATAGTTGTCGTTACACGTTCTGATTTGTTTGCTCTTTAAAAAACAGTGAAATAAAGGTCTTTATTTGTACCATCTCCCAGCCTCTGAGACAGTTTATGCCCTGAGGTTCCTCTACATCAGAGTTTCACAAACTCGGTCCTGCCCCCTCCCCAAATACTCCAAATGTAGAAGATCTTAAACATTCCAATACTTTAAAAGTTCTAAGGTATTTATTGGATGGGTTATTACTTATTTAGACAGAGTTTTTATATACATGTTCACATTTAAACATTGAGACTGAAGGAGAGGCAAGCATTGGTTAATTAATGATACCATACAAAGTGGTACGCCTTAATTAATTCATTAATTCATATTTGCTTTAACTCGCTCCTCTTATTTGATAACCTCTCTCTCCTTCTGAATAGTGAAAACAGGTTGATTTACTTTCCTCTCCCTTGTGTCTGGAGCTTTGCTTTCATCTACTATTTTCTCCTGTTGACATTTCACTCTGTCAGCACAGCCAACGATCATCCTCATGATCCTCCTCCTCAGCTTGCCGTGTCCCAGAGCCACCACCATGGGACTGAAGCCCACAAACAGAGAGGCAGAGAAGTGGGCCACAGTCAGCAGCTCCTCCGCATGGTGCCCCCTGTTATGGTTATAGTATGTCACCGCCGCAACCTGCAGGGCCCAGCACACCACAAATAGCATCACCAGCAAAATGATCACATGACCGGCCTTGCGTTCACTGGCCACATGTCTGTCCAGCTTGCCCTGCGTCCCTCCCCCTGCCTCGCCCGCTGAGGTGACGGCCCGCATGTGTTTGGCCAGCGTGTGCAGCGTAGCCAGGTTGGTGCCCACCATCAGCACCAGGGGAACCACCTCATTGAGGGCCAGGGAGGTGGAGGCGAAGGCCAAGCCCTGCTCCTCCGAGGGGAACTGCCACATACAGCCCAGAAGGGGCCTGGTGGTGCAGCTGATCACCATCAGCTCCACCGTGGCATTGCCTTGGATGTGTGTGGTGTAGACCAGCGCCGGCAGGGAAAAGGCCAGGTTGAGCCCCCAAACCAGCCCCAGAACCACCCACACCTTCCTCCTCTCATGCTCCTGTGCCAGGGGGCCCACGGCCACATGCTGGCGCCTCAGGGTGACACAGTGGAAGGCACTGAGGGTCAGAGTGACCCAGCAGCCCACGGCCCGCCACCACACCCACAGCAACATAAAGAGGCGGCACCAGCCCTGGGACAGGGACACGTCCAAACCCAGATCAGACACAAAGATGGGTACCGTGCGGAACAGAGACGTCAGCAGGTTGGCCAGCGACAGGTTCACCAGGATGGTGTCAGAGGGATGTAGCCGATGAGACAAACTTTCAATGGCCGACTGGAAAACCTGAGAGAGAGGGAGAGAGAAAGAGTATAATTTATTATTACACTTAACACTGTGTGATGTCATCTTAGGCTGAGATATTCCATGGCTATTGGCAGTTAGGGTTCCATTTCTTTAAAAAAAAGTTTGATAGTTCTCTCCTCACCATATGGATGATCAGTATGTTTCCCAGGATGCCAGAGAAGACCAGCAACCCAAACAGAATAGCATCTAGAGTGAGGACCTTCGACATCGCATTCTCCTCAGCATGGCGCCACTATTTGTTTCTTATTCATTGCATGGATGTGTATCTCAATAGTGGTGAGAGCTACTCTTCCTACTCTGTTACTATACCAGGATCTCTATTGTATCTCTGCCTTTATCCTGTTCATTGTGAACTATTTATATAGACACATACACACAAACAAAGCCATCCCAAAAACAAACTCAGCATTTTCACCGTTGCTGTCCCGGCTCAGGGTCAATTTACTCCAATAATTTGTCGCCTAGATACCATGCCCTTACCTGCTGCTAAGGCTTGCAGATTTTTCACTCCATTGGCCAGCTGCAAAAACACACACCTCTTATCAACTCATACCCCACAGACAGGCCATATCAACAAGACATGTGAGGCTGACAAACACCTGAGACCATAAAGATATACAAATCACTTCAGCTCATTTCAGTGGGTGTCCAGACATGTATTTATTTGTCGCCCTGTTACAAAGCTGGCTGTTATGATCCATTTGTTTGTGCCCCATCCCGTGAGTGTCTCTACCCCTCATCGTTAGCTCCCATTGCCCAGATGTTAGTTCCAATTAGACTAATTAACCCAGCATCTTCCAGGGGCTTCCTAGGGGTCTTATTAAAACCATCCCATCTACTGATGCTGCAGTGTTATACATTAATCACACTGTTCCTGTCCTCTCCCTTGGCACTACTAGCTTGTCAATTTTTTCCTTTTGGGAATGGAAATATAATCATTACCTCCAATAACCTTGTCCGTGAACTGCTGAGTCGAATTGATCAGAGATTAAACTTAAATGCTCTCAAATTCAAGATCTTCACAGATATGAAGCTTTTTGTGACCATTATAACTGCCAGTAGTTATAATGTTGTTAGACTGTGAGTTGTATTACCTATTTGATGATTGGGCTATTCATCAACACAGCAATCAATGTGTATTTAGAGTGTTGTAATACAGCTCTGGTTATACATGATCTGTTCTAATTCTCCACGATCATTCCGATGATACTATTTTAAAGAGGTTATAAAGAGGTTGTATAACTAACCAGAAATGAATGTATCAGCAAAATCTTCAGAAGTGTTTGAGTGTGCAAAAGAAACCTAGCTCTGTACAACGTTATAGACCTGTTATCAATTATCACCACTTGATGTCATTGTAGGTTTGGAAATAGCATCACATCAAAATCAACTATAGCTCTGGGTTACCGCTGACAATATCCAAATGTCAGTTAGCATAAGTAACATATACTTATCTCATGAATGTGTTATAAACTGTTACCAGAGTTCATTGCTGCAAGTTTCATAGTCTTTTACAAGAAAATTATTCCTGAAAATAGGACATTTGTATTACAGGATAAAGATGCACAAAACAATCACCTCTAATGCATTTCCAATAAACTGCCTGACTTGATCGCATGAACAAAAGACTACACACATCAGCCTTGAAGACTACAGCCTCCTGTAGCTCAGTTGGTAAATCATGGCGGTTGCAACGCCAGGGTTGGGGGTTCGATTCCCACGGGGGGGCAGTATGAAAAATGTATGCATTCACTAACTGTAAGTCGCTCTGGATAAGAGCGTCTGCTAAATGACTAAAATGTAAAAATGTAAATGTAACACCAAATGTGGAAGGACGGATGGGTGGAAGGATGAAAAGGCACAAAAAAGTAACTGAAATGGTGGCAGCGAAATTAAGATTGGAGTGGGGACTTCAAATGATGACTCATGATGTAATTGACTGCTGATGACTAGGCTACAAGCATTCTGACAGACAAACGCACACACACCTCCTCACGACAACCATAAAAGAAAGCCAGACTGGAGGACAAGACTGGGCCAAATGTGATTAAAAAGATAACCGCCGCGGTCCTCGTTCTCGAAAACCCAGACATGTAAGTTATTTTCTCAAATAGCCAAAATGCATCTTACATTGATTGCCGTTTACATTAAACACTTGTAATAAGCGATGTGACCTATTTATTGTTTGGTTGAGTTGTGTGCATAACCAACATTTGTGTATGGATGAACAGATCAAGAATGCATATCCATGTGATAGAAGTCTGGTTCATTCTCTAATAGTGTGGACTGTAAGCTATCAATCGTCCAACTAGGTATATGATTGTTATTGTCCGCGTTTGTTGCAGATTGTTTTCGTGCTCTGCACCAGGGAGAGGCTATACGGCATTGATGGCGTACGACTGTTATGGAAGCCACCTGCCCCCGTACCGCTCTTTCTCGCCTCGGATCTCCGCTGACAGTAACGGCGCAGTCCACTATCAATTTGCACTAAAACAGTGAGACTGAAGCTGTAAGAGGGGAAGAAATGAGAGGCCAACCGCCGCTGTCCCTGGTCGCCTTCTCTGCAGTGCTTCTCTGTCTGTGCCGCACAACAATCGCAGTCTCCAACCGGACACGCAGCGGCCGCGATGCGCAATTACCATCAGCATCAGCATCTTCATCAGATGAGGGAAGCAAGAAGGACGTGGGTGTCTCCCCAAACTATGGCCAACACAATAACTACGGTGGTATTGATTATTTCAGTAAGAATGAAACCATGAGCACACCAAAGCTGGAAGGGGACCTCAGCCATAGGAATGGCACTTACTCCATCAACACTAGCAGAGGCAATACAGGAACCACTGTGATATCTGGCAGGCCAGACCATGTGCAAGGTGGAACAAGGTGGGTCAGGGCCATGGAGGGAGAAGTGGCACCAATATGTGCCTACCGGGTGACAGAGGGGGGAATCGGGGGGCGGTTGTGTTTTCAACACACACAGCAGGGGTTCAGGTGTCATCATGGAGACTGCCGGACTGTTCCGTCTCCAGGAGGGTCCCTGGTGGCCAACGTTCTGACCAACAGCAGTGTGCTGCTACAGTGGACATACGAAGGTCTGACAGGAGAGGCTCAAGGGACAACCAAAGGAAACACAGCTGGACATGACCTTGATAAACAAGAGACTGAGACTAGAGGAACAATTGTAGAGGGACAGAAATGGGCACCTGGGACAGGACTTCGGGAAGAGAGCAGGTTTTTGACTGCCCCACCAAAGATGGTATTCAGTGGACGACGGGTCAGAAGAGGTGGGTTTGCGCTGAGCTGCTGGTGGAACGGGAGCTACACCCAGTTTGAGTGCGCTGGTGTCCATCTTGGCTCCGGTTGCAGGGACTTCCTGCTGACTGAGCTGCATGAGAACGTCCCCTACCGCATCTGCCTGCATCCGCTGGCCTCCACCCTGATCCCACCGCCCCACTCAGGAGGAGCAGGCCAGAGAGAGGACCTGGGGGACTGTGTGGAGTTCACCATCTCACCCTTGGGCATGCAGGACATTGTGATCGCCATGACAACAGTGGGAGGAGCAATCTGTGTGATGCTGGTCATCATCTGCCTGTTGGTGGCGTACATCACTGAGAACATCATGAGCCCCACGACACAGCACTCACACTCCACATACCACACACACTCTCGCCACTAATGTCACTTACGCACGCACACACACACACACTTGTATCCTTGTTCAGCAATATCACACTCATTTATTTTACTCCCACATCTAAATCAATACACAAATGTATGTAACATAGTGTGATTGAACACCCACACACACATAATAGAAATCTCACACAGATTCAGGGCATCACACCTTACACACAACTAAAACACATCATACTGATGTGCAAGCTTGTGGAAGAATAATGAACTAAGCCTCAGACAGACCATCACACTTTCAAATACTATTAAATACTTTTCAAATGATAGGGCTCAGAGAATTCTCTCTGTTTGTGTGTGTGCATATTTTCGTCTCATGTGTATTTATCTCATTAGCCTTTCTGCTAGTAATCAAAGTGTGTTGTATTAAAGATAGTAAGATGATAGTCGGTAGGTCTACCTAAGAGTGAAACATTTTCTATAGTTGAGCAGTGAAAAATAAAAATTAATGTGTACCAACCAGTATAAACCAGTATTTATAAAGATTTCTCTATTTTTTGGGAGCCCAGTTATAGATAGGTTAGGATTACCTCTGTTCAGTGGCAAATAATAAGTGCAAGCACAGTAGGTAATTTAATTAGTGCTTTCTTCCTTTTTACCTCAGAGAGGATTCATTTAATTAATGTCAACAATGCACCCAAGAATGATTCCTATTCGCCATACCTTCTCATGGCTGTAGACATCTATGTATGTCATAGACCTTCAACAGGCTGGTCTGCTCTGCAGTCTGCCAAATACTGTGCCAAACCTCTACTTTAGGAGGCCCTGTGGAATCAATAAAACACTGCGAGAATATGTGTGTGTATGTGTAACTGTGTACAGAAAAATATTATTAATATTTGTATCTATCCATCCATCGATCCATTGTACAAATAAAATATAGATGGCTATGCCTAGACTATGTGTGCAATTAATGTAGGATACATGTGGCACAGTTGCAGTCTGTTTTCCAGCATCATCAGGGCCAGAGGACTGGTCGGGTCAGACTGGAGAAGGTTATGTTTGGATGACGTCATGCATGCACAGGAGGAAAAATAAATCGCTTTGGTGTGAAGCCCTGCCCCCATATGACATCAGCTGTAGAACCTTGTGGTTAAAACACCCCGTCGCCATTTTAACAGGATCACAGAAAGGAGATTGTCAGATCATTTTGAGTCATTTATATACCCAGTTGTATTTGGTTGGTTAGTTTAAATCGAAGGCCTTCCCTGCAGTCTTTTTTGTGATAGCTACATTTGTACCACGTTTAAACTAGTTGTGTGTTGTACTTTCTTAACATTTAATTGCTAGTTCTTTCAGAAAAATAGCATTCGCAATGCCGAGCCACCCGCTGCGCGTGGCGGTTGTGTGCTCGAGCAACCAGAACCGCAGCATGGAAGCGCACAACATCCTCAGGTAACATTACTGGAAGAAAAATAAACTACGACGACATGCCACGAAGCCGCCACTTTTGATTTTCAGCGGCCTGTTTTTTTACCTGGTTGAGAGCTCACCCTTTTCCACACGACAATGCAGGCTTGCTACGCCGACCGCAGTCTGTTTGCGGCAAACGACGGGTCGACGCATTTTATTTCACTAATATGGCTAATTTCCAGATTATAGAAGACCGAGATGTATACACTAGCGCGAGCCCATAGCAAATGAATTGATTCGAACGTTTGCAGAGCCTATTTTGATTGGGATTATGCTTAGAATTCGATTTCGCCTAATGGCACCAAAATATGTATACTTTTTCATTTTACCACTACAATTTGTTGTTGGGACGAAACTGAACAATAACAACGTGTAGAAAGTAAACATCCACACCTCGATGGTGTCAACTGTGCTATGTCTGCATAAAGAGGAAGTAGGGGGAAAAATGGCAACTTCTATTTCTGGTCTAGCGAACGATGAAAACGGAGTACGCTGTCCAGCCTTACATAATTATAAATATGAGATTGTCGTGATTAAATTTGTGTCCTACTTGGAAGAAAAAAAATATATACACATTGCGAAATATACCAACATGCCTCTCCATAGGAAAACAATGTGGGGAGTTCAGCGTTCCAAGGACAAAAAGTATTTCGGGGCTAGCGTTTGACGACAACGAAGTACGGTGCCCAGCTTTACATAGTTAGAGGAGACTCTCATTATTAAAATGCTGACCGACTTGAAAAAATCAAAATATACACATTGCGAGATATTTGGCGAAATACACAGACATACCTATATTTCCCTTTAGGAAACAATGGGACGAACTCAGAGTTCCATGAGTATTTTTGTTGTTGTTGACGTTTTAACTATTAGCAATTAGTTCAACCTGGGCAGGTCTCATTGCCAACAATAGCGAAGCAGGCATTGTGACGTAGAGCAATGGGCTGGGAATTAAACATTCGGAAGGCGAGTTGGTGTTCAATGGAACTAATAGGAGCTGGCAGGGTGAAAAAATCCCTAAAATAAGGCCTTTTTTTTTTCGTGATTAAAACTACGGCAAGCAGCTGGGACATTTGGTAATATTATGAAACTGGCCTCCATGGCGGATGCAATGAACTAGTTTTTATCCGAAAAAAAGCGTTTCATGTGTCCAGCCTACCGGAAGTAGGACATGTTTAACTCCGTGCAGTGGCCGTCGGCATAGCCGTCAGTCACTAGTTGGAAGTAACTAGAACAAACTGGCTAGAACTAGGTAGGCAACGAACCAGTCAACTACCTGAAATTATACAAATATGGTGGGGAAAAAATAGTTAGACCTGCCATGCATCACCTAAAACTTACTTTCAGGTTCTGGATTATTCCATGAAAGGATCATAAAGCAATTGTCACTCAACAGCCTCAGCGTTCAAAATGGATCAGCTTTTTAGGCAGGGTAACACTAAACGAATACATCTTAGACTAATTTGTCATTTTACTGAGTAAAAAAAACAGATGGAAAATCTCCATGCATGGAAAGGAAGGTAAGGAGAGCCTATTGGGGAATTACAGGAGATTCCTGCAGTATGGCTCTTGAGATGAGATCCACTCATTTCCCCTGCTGTAGTCTGTATACTTTTTGCCTTGTATGTGCAGGTCTGAAAGTAACCATATTTTCCCCCTTCATTCTCTATCTCTTTCTGTCTCTACAGCAAGCGAGGCTTTGACGTGCGCTCTTTTGGGACAGGGTCTCATGTGAAGCTACCTGGTCCTGCACCGGACAAGCCCAATGTGTATGACTTCAAAACCACTTATGAACAGATGTACAACGACCTGGTCCGCAAGGACAAGGAGCTGTATCCCCTGCACTCTTGCATTCACACACACCTTGAACACAGCCCTATCTCTTCCATGTTTCTTTTCTCCAGTGAGTTATTCTCTTAATATTCACTGGAAAATATACCAAATTAGATGTATGAAAATATTAAGGGTCACTGAACATGGAGGTGCATGTTATAGTTTGTGATTCTTGGGTGATTTTGTAGGAAAGGATGGCCTTCACTAACCTGATCCCAGATCTGTTTGTGCTCTTACAAATGCTGTTGCTGCACTTGTTGAGACAAACATTGGCATGACATGGAGTTGGCATGATGGCACATACAGACTGGCACTCAGGCTAGTCCTCTCATCTATTTGTGTGAGATTTATCACATGCTGTCACATATTGCTTTTTCTAACAATGAGTGGTGTGCATAAAATATTTCACTTTCAACAGGTTCATGTGAACAAGTAACCATTTACCCTCTATAACCAGGTAGGTTGTTTCTGGGCCCAGAAACTAGGTCTAGTGAACATATCCCAGTCTTTCCATTTCAGGACCAAGATGTAGACTATAAACAAAACAGAAAAGCTATGTATTTGACCTAACTAGTAGTCTGTAGTTTTTGAATCTTGCATTGTAAATTGTGAACATTCTTTCCTTCTGTTCTGTATTAGTATATGCTTTCACATGTAAATAATTGGACCCCCTCCACTACAGGGCTCTCAACCACACACTCCTCAGAAAATACATTTGCCATTGGAGCCAAGTTCTTACCTTTTGAAAAGGCATAAATTCATATGACAACTCTAGAGCCCACATGGTCCAACCTTAAATGAACTCCTACCTCAACACTTGAGATCTGAATAAATTGGATAGGTGTAAGCAGGAAGGTGAACATTGGAGCTATTACCATATTGTAGATGCCTATAAAATCCTTTCAGATCTACTCAAGTGCATGGCAGGGTAGGGGCTACCAATCAATTTGGGATTGAGCATAAGACTGAAGTATTTGATACAGTTCTGTGTTAGAAGGCATGCTCGCTAGTGTTTTGGGGTGAGTGTGGTTAAATATGTATTTAAATATACCCGCCAAAATGTTTTCCCACAAAGATTCTATCTGCATGCATGTAAAAAGAAAGGGGATATATATGAATTGTTAGTGGGAGCACCATAAGACTCCTTTCACTTCCCAAGTCCCTATTCTGGGAGTGTACAAGAGTTGACTCCCATCCTTACAATGCAGGCAAGGATTGGAGATCATTTCTGTAATATTTTCTTGACTATTAATCTTGCTCTTTGTTCCAAAAAATTGCATATTTTCTCCAAATGTAAAATTATTAGATAAGGAAGGTGAGTTTATCTAGAATATTGCACCGATAGTTCATATTATTAGATGCCAGTTACAATAGTTATTAGAGGATATAATTTAAAGTTATTAGAAGCTTCCAAAGATCAAATGTTTTTCATATGTGTTTTGGCCTCTAGAGGGCGTTGTCTAACTGACACATTGTTTCATATATTTTCATAGATCCCTTAATATTTGAGGTCTTGTGTGTTCCTCGTCTTGCTGTGTTCCTTGACCCTCAGCACCTCAGATACACACAGAACGGAATCCTGCACATGCTGGACCGCAACAAGCGGATTAAGTCCCGACCGGAACGCTTCCAGAGCTGTAAGGACCAGTTTGACCTGGTCATCACCTGTGAGGAGAGGGTCTACGACCAAGTGCTGGAGGGTGAGGGGACCGGCGACAGAAGGGGGGGGGGGGGGCTTCTTGTATCAAGTTATTAACTATTATAACTGGGGTTTAATGCATGTGAAATGCAACAGAAATAGTGAATACACTTCCAATAGAGCATGCATAACTACAAAGTTAGTCAAGAGCTAGGCCACTCTGGCTACATGTTGATCAACGATCACTACTCTCCCCAATCTCTCCCACTCAGACCTGAGCTCTCGGGAGCAGGAGACCTTCACGCCGGTTCACGTCATCAACGTGGACATCCAGGACAACCACGAGGAGGCCACACTGGGGGCTTTCCTCATCTGTGAGCTGTGTCAGTGTGTGAGTGTGTCTGCCTGACCATAAGGAACTACAATCACACAGTTACTTTGTCATAGGGAATACCAGCTTTTGTTATAGGACACATTATGTAATGGGGAGTCAAAGACTCTGTGCTCCTGGGGTACATAGTGGTCTTTTTTTCTACAGTGTTGAATGAGCTCTGCTAGATACATGATGTTGGTGACATACATGTAATTGAAGATGGTACACAGAGCATTTTGTGGCGTTGGGATGATTGTGTTGAGAGATAGTAATGGTGCATGAGTCTCTGTGATTCTGTCAAACTGGGACTTAAATTGTATTTGATGCATTTGCCTTGCCTAGTGTAGCAGGTGTTGTGTACCTGACTGTCCCTTCTCCCCATCTCAGATCCAGCACACCGATGACATGGAGAACGAGATGGACGAGCTACTGCAGGAGTTTGAGGACAAGAGCAACAGGCCTTTCCTCCACACGGTCTGCTTCTACTGATGCCCCTGCTACCAAATCTGCAATATCATATGCCCCCCTGACCAAACATGCACGTTTATACACAGACTCATGCACACTTCCATATGCACTTACTGATTACCGTTCACACACACACATACACACACAGACATACACAATCCTCCGTCTCTGCTGTTGGTCAGGGCTGAGGGTAAAGGGATGGATGCTCTCTGCTTTCTCTATTAAATGGACAGGCTCATCCCTCCTGCTCTGCCTTTCCTCCTCAGGGCCAAGGTGGGCCCAAGGTCCTCCCCCCATCCTACAGTGAAACCACTGACCCGCCTCCCCACAAAGAGAAATTCCCTTTTTGTCAAACACATCCTCCTCCACCTCTAAAGGAGGATTTTTTTTCTTCCAAGTGTTGCACATTGATGCTGATTGCAGAGCAACATTGATTTGAGTTCCTTTTAAAGAATGGTTATACTTTTTTTTTATTAAGTATGATTTGTCACATTTACTCTTGATTGTGGAGAGTAGTAGTGTTTACGGGATAGAGTGGAGACGGGTTAGGCATGAATGTGTTTCAGTGTGTGACTGTATCTGAGTGTGTACCAGTAGTTAATTAGGAATTCATTTAAATAGGGGGCTGTATAATGAACAACCAAATAGAGACCACAAGGTTCTCATTTTGCCCTCTTCATTTCCATTATGTATGATTCATATTTAAAAACAGAAGATTTGCTACCTTTTTCAGGGAGTAATATTTTTTTCTTTTGTAAACAGAAAAGAATGAAAACGTTGTAATTATTTGCAAGCTGAGAACTCAGTCCATAGTGCCTGAATATTTCTGTATGTACATATGAACCCAATAAATGAATAAACATGTCTAGAAAAACAGAATAATTGACTGTTATTTTTAGTACGTTGCACAGATATTTATTTAATTTTTATTTTTTTTATTTTAGTTGTTTAGCAGACGCTCTTCTCCAGAGCAACTTACAGGAGCAATTAGGGTTAAGTGCCTTGCTCAAGGGCACATCGATCGTTTTTTCACCTAGTTGGCTCGAGGATTCAAACCAGCTACCTTTCGGTTACTGGCCCAACACTCTTAACCGCTAGGCTATCTGCCGCCCAGATCCGGGATGCAACCGGTGTAGAATAACAGTGAAATGCTTACTTACGGGTCCTTTTCCAACAATGCAGAGTTATAGATTGACAAAAAAAATTGAATTATTTGACACAAGGAATAAATACACAGTGAATAACAATAACGAGTAAAAATAACATAGCTCTATACAGGGAGTACCAGTACCGAGTCGATGTGCAGGGGTACGAGGTAGCTATGTACATATAGGTAGGGGTAAAGTGACTAGGCAGGCAACGGGATAGATAATAGAGTGAGCTGTAGCAGCAGCGTGAGTGTGTTTGTGGCGTCAGTATGCATGTGTGTGCATGTTATGTGTGTATGGGAGTATGTAGTGTGTGTGTTGGGGTGTCAGTGTAAGTATGTGTGTGTGTGGGTAGAGTCCAGTGTTTATGCATAGAGTCAATGCAAGAGAGTTCGTTAAAAAAAAAGGGTCAATGCAGGTAGTTCAGGTAGCCATTTGATTAGCTATTTAGCAGCCTTGTTTAGCAGTCTTATGGCTTGGGGGTAGGAGCTGTCCTATTGGTTCCAGACTTGGTGCACTGGTACCGCTTGCCGTGTGGTAGCAGAGAGAGTCTTTGACAATTTTTTGGGCATTCCTCTGACAATGCCTGGTATAGAGGTCCTGGATGGCAGGGAGCTCGGCCCCAGTGATGTACTGCGCTGTACTCACAACCCTCTGTAGCGCCTTGCAGTCGGGTTCCTTGCAGTTGCCATACCAAGCAGTGATGCAGCCAGTCCAGATGCTCTCAATGGTGCAGCTGTAGATCTTTTTGAGGATCTGAGGACCCATGCCAAATATTTTCAGCCTGCTGAGGGGGAAGAGGCACTGTAGTGTCCTCTTCACAACTGTGTGGGTGTGTGGACCATGTTAATTTGTTAGTGATGTGGACACCGATGATCTTGAAGCTCTCGACCCGCTCCACTACAGCCCCATCGATGTGGATGGGGGAGTACTCCCCCCTCCGTTTCCTGTAGTTCGCAATCAGCTCCTTTGTCTTGCTCACGTTGAGGGAGAGGTTGTTGTCCTTGCACCACACTGCAAGGTCTCTGACCTCCTACCTATAGGCTGCCTCATCGCTGTCGGTGATCAGTACTACCACCGCCGTGTCATCAGAAAACTTTGTGGGTGAACAGGGAGTACAGAAGGAGACTAAGCACACACCCCTGAGGGGCCCTGTGTTTATGGTCAGCGTGGCGGATGTGTTGTTGCCTACCCTCACCGCCTGGGAGGCGGCCCATCAGGAAGTCCAGGATCCAGTTGCAGAGGGAGTTGTTCAGACCCAGGGTCCTGAGCTTGTTGATGATATTGGAGGGGATTATGGTGTTGAATGCTGAGCTGTAGTCAATGAACAGCATTCTTACATAGGTATTAATGTTGTCCGGGTGGGTGAGGGCAGTGTGGAGTGCAATAGAGATTGCATAATCTGTGGATCTGTTGCTTGAGGTGGTATGCGAATTGGAATGGGTCCAGGGTATCTGGGATGATGGCGTTGATGTGAGCCATCACCAGCCTTTCAAAGCATTTCATGGCTATAGATGTGAGTGCTACGGGGCGATATTCATTTAGACAGGTTACCTTGGCGTTCTTGGGCATGTGGACACTATGGTCGTCTGCTTAAAACAAGTTGGTATTACAGACCGGGTCAGGGATAGGTTGAAAATGTCAGTGAAGACAGTTGCCAGCTGGTCAGCGCATGCTCTGCGTACGCCTCTCTGCATGCAGTTGGACAATTTTAATCAACAAATGTACCTTGTCAAGGTTCTATAGTCCAATGACAGCATTCATAAAGAATGCAGTGAGAATCAATGTCATCCTCTTCCATCTGCTCATGTCCTTGGCAACATGATAATATGTATACCATTTCAAATGTGTTTTGCCCTACTAGGTCTTTTTAATCAGTTACCTATGGCATTGTCAGCATGCCCAACTAACATTTTGTTCTGTCCTGATCTTACTCCAATTTCACTGATTAATGATAAGTAATACAGTTGTTATGTTCAGTGCACAGAAACAATTGAGTGGCTGGGACACAGTGTAGCCTGGCTCACCTTGAGTTGCACATGGAACATAATAATGTCAGAGAGTATGATTTGATTGATGCAGCAGTTTGTTCATATTGAGAGAGGGAAGGATGGGAGGGCTGCAAGGTCACTGATTTATGGTTAATGCTAAAAGGAAATTCCCCAGAGACAAAGCTAGGGTTAAACTAAAGTGACAGTCCCATATCTTAACCTCCCTCTGTCTTCTCTAGTGACATAAATGGATAAATGACCTTGTCCTTGCCATATATTAGCTACAATAGGCCTATAGGACCAGGGGGTTTTGTTTGTCATAGGCCATTTAATAAACCTGATTCTGTGACATTTTAGATTTCAGGTGACTGGTATACGAAATATGGTGGAAACTCGGACTCCCCATAGCCCATGCTATACCAATCCAATGTGTTTAAATGTGTGGGGAGGACAGAGAACGGGGACGCTGGGAGAGTCACTATACAAGCCTTCTGTCTGCAAAACCACACCTTCAACAACAGAGGTCCAATCTGGCTCATATTAGAGCTGACCGCGGTGCTGTCCACGGCCGTGGTGCTGAATCCATATCCGCTGGTCGCGGTGCTGTCCATGTTGCTTATGTTTGGACCCTTATAAGGAATCTGTGACACTTGGGTTTCCGGCAGGTTAGAAACTCAGGACAACATTAAGAAAAATACTTTCAATATGTGACATTCTATTAATCCCTCTTGGCCGATACCGGGCTGGCATTCCCATGGCCCCAATCCACTCAGGCCTAATTCATCTTCCTCTTGCTTGCTTTTCCCTGATAGACGTTAGCAACAACAAAAAATGTGTCACAAACGAAGCCTAGCCCAACAGAATGGTGCAGCATACATATTTGAACTGCAATGTCAGGGAGAGAGAGAGAGAGAGAGAGAGAGAGAGAGAAGTATACATATCCGTTTCTTTCAATCGTTGTTTATTAATGTTGAAGCATGCTATCATCATTATCATACGCTCAAACCTTGACATATGAATAGGCGGGCCTAGGGTACTAAACTGTTAAATTGATCAAAAGAAAAATGGCCGGAAATTGATACCGCCTATAAAAAATGCCACAGCTAAATATCAACTGGAATGCACAGGGAGGGACCGTTCTCTCTTTCAGCTGCGCCAAAGTAGCATATGTTGGACTATACGAATTTATAGATAGCATGACAGTAAACAAACACCTGCTAGAGGGAGCTAACACGGAAAACGATCTGATACGAGAAGAAAACATGCATCGATACCTCCTTGCCTAATGCTAGTGGATGCGTCCAGGTAAATAAGCTAGGCTACACCAGGAACAATGTGCAGTGGCGGCGGTCATCACAACAACACATGGATCGCGACCTCATCCTGCTATCTTCTGTGTTGCCGTGCTCTGGAATTGCCTAATAACAATCTTATTTCTGACATAGGCTACAGCTTTCACAACGCACCACGCCTCCTCATCCTTGCACGCACCTCGATTAACCATCTTCGGGGGTGCACAGTGTGCTTTTCAAAAGGGAGCAAAAGAGAGACTGGTCCGCATCTCCTCATGTCGCGGAGAAACGAACATTGGATAGACGAGGCAAGGATGGGTGGTTTCACCCTGATTCTGCATCCATGAGCGACTTCATTTCCAACAGAGTGTTGCTTTTTGGCCAAGGTACCACTGGATAGTTCTGGCGAGAGAGCAAGAAACTGCTGTTAGGAAGTTTGGATGCAAATGGCCACAACCACCATGATCTTTATGATTTTGGGGACTTCACTTGTGATGGTAAGAACACAGTTATGCCCATTCCCGCACTCCCGTATGTGTAACAATGTAACGTTTTAAAAGCTGTCAAATTGATATTTCAGAAGACCTAGACATCAACGTGGCCTAGCTACACGAGGCTACACAATCAATAAACAAACTGTCAATGGAAAACAATTTATCTGGAGTCAATTAATTTTTAGAATTTACATTTATGTTTGTCATTTACTTGAGAAGTCGGGCAACAGATGGTGTTATGGGAATGTAGCTTGTTTTGTCCCAGTTGACCTCAGTGGTTCTTTTCAGGCTGTAGCGTGTCTTACGGACATGAACGCTCTACTGGACCGCTTTCACAACTATATCTTACCACATTTACGAGGAGAGGACCGCGTCTGCCATTGCAACTGTGGAAGGTAAAACAAACTTTAAAAAATAATGCAATTTAAAGTTATGCAAAACAAGAGCATGAGTAAACCATTAGTTTGAAACTGCAGGTGATTTATAGTGCACTGTTTATGGCAATGGTCCATCATAATTTAATGTTGTTTGTTATATGATTAAAGGACAAACATTGTTGACTCTCCTGTTTTTGTTGAATCACCTCAGAGGTTTGATCACTGGTGAACTGCATGTTGTCTATCTCCTATCACTTTCATCATCTCATTACAGTCTGTACATCAAGGATGTATGAAACAGCTGTGAACTATGTTGAACTATGCTCCTGTCCATGATGGAAATGACTCTGGCTCTACATTCCCACAGTGTGACACAGTCACATTGAAACACAGGTCACCTGTCAAGTTTTTAGTCTACTCCTTAGGCCCACATCTTAGTAATCACTTACAGTTTAAAAAAATTGAAAAACGATTTGTTTGGGGCTTTAAATAAAAATGTAACTTCAATAATTGTAATGTTACTGAAAACAACTGAATCTGTTGGTGGGTTGATTTTCCTGTGAACAACATTACTCACTCCTGCAGGCAGCCATACCTCCCCCCTCCCACTCAGACCTGCTATGAGCTATGGGATGTGAGTGAGTGAGCGAGTGAATGAGTGAGTGGCCTGGGTGTGTGAGAGAGATGATTAGACAGTGTAGGAGAGCAGCACCGAGTATGCCAATAAAGCTTTGTGAATTTAATCATGTGTTTGAGTAAGATAGAGCTGGAGACGGGAAAAAATATAGGTATTTTGAGACCTCCCAGATATTGATGAGTTGTCAGGGTTCTGGATAGCAAGATCTTTCACTCTCTCACATGCTTCCTTAGGTTCACTTCTCTCAGTTGTTTGTGCACTCCACATCCTCCTTTTCTTGTTGCCACATGCCTCTCTCCCTTGACCTCTCTGCCCACCTCTCTCTTCTTGCTGCTGTGGTTTCTCTCTACTGGGAGCGATGCCTGCAGTAATAGAGGGAGTTGGTCCACATGCATCCCCGCGCCCCAACTCCCATGGGGCAGCGAGGCCAGCTGTTAGTGATGCGTTTCCTGTGCTGCCCTCCAGCTGCAGCTGTTCACCTCTCAGCGATGGGGCTGACAGCAGCACACCCACCCATCCATCCATCCATCCATCCCACTCACCCAAAGCACTACAGCAAAGCATATGGAACCACACACAGCCTAACCATATACAGTATACTTGATATATGGTAGATTTAATTACTCACTTATGTAATTGTCTTCCTCAATGCACTTTTTCTTCATGATCTTTTTTACTTCTTCCTCTCTCCACTCTCCCCCCCTGCCCCCCCCCCCCTCTGTCCTCCTGTCCCTCCTCTCTTCTCGCTTTTCTCCCTCACCTTTTCCTCCCTTCCCTCTCCACTGTGTCCTGCGTTCCCTCCTCTCTTCTCCCCGTGTCCTCGTCTCCCTCCCCTGTCTCCTCTTCTCTCCCTGTGTCCCCTCCCTCTGGGCTTCAGGCACCATGTCCACTATGTGATCCCGTACGATGGGGACCAGTCTCTGGTAGACTCGGCAGAGAACTACTTTGTGAGTGATAGCGTGACCAAGCAGGAGCTGGACCTGATGCTGGGGCTGCTGCTGGGCTTCCTCCTCAGCTGGCTACTGCTGTGGCTGGACGGGGCGCTGCACGCTGCCCTCAGGGCCTGGAGGGCCAAACAGCACCATGGTGAGTCAGCAGGAGGCCCCCAGGGGCTACAACCACACTGGAGGGCTCTGAGAGGCAGATAGATACTTTGTATGGGGAGCTGATCCAAAAAGCCTGACACACAACACTTGAGGAGCTCTGAGTTTAAAAAAAGGTAGCAGTAGAAAGTTACTAAGGAATACAGATTTCTTTTCATGGGGTGGGGGGAAAATAGGATGCTCTCTGGGTGGGTGAAGGAATGGACAGGAGAACAATAGTCTGAAGGTGCAGAGGTATGATCTCTCAACTTTTAAACCTCTTTGGATTAGCCTTGTTTGATGAAAACTGAAGTGTCGTGGGAGCCTCAGTGTGTAAACCTGTTTACGGTTCGATGGCATTTATAAGTGTGACTCAGCCATTGACCTACTTTATCACAGTATTCCCCAGCTCGCTGCTGTTTCTCTTTTGATTTTCTATATGTCATTTTAGGTCAGCGTTTTTCAGGCTTAGATATGACAGCGGGAGTTTTTTACCCCTCAGATTTCTATATGAAACTGTTGGCACTGATATTGTCATCATACATTCTTCCCATTTAGTCTAGTCACTGTTTTTCCTGTGTGTAGATTTTTCTCTTCATATTTCTATATTCAGTTGTGGGATTAGTATAATTCACACCCGGAGCTGCTTGTCGTGTAGGAAGTGATGGGGGTGGTTGGCAAAGAGGTGCAGAAATGAGTCATGTACAGTATAGGGATTCAAAATCATGTATTTTCAAATTGATATTTCCTCTCCTGCACACAAGCACACGCATGCATGTGCATACACACAGCGTTCATTTTCGGGTCCGTAGTTTTAAAACTGTGAGTTCAGAGAAGACCTACTGCAATGTTTCAGTGTCTTGTGATTTCTCTCTCCTCTCTGTACAGATTCTGAATCCCTCTCCCTCGCTCTCGCTTAAAATTCAGTATTTCTCTCTCCCTGTCTTTCTCGATTTCCAACTCCCTCCCATCACACCAACCAAATTCATGTCATTTAATTCTCCCCCATCGCCTGTCTCTCCTGTGAAAAGTCTAAGTGGGCTGTATTAGTATGGCGAAGATGTCTCATCCTCTCTCCATCTCTCCTTTCCACTCTCCTTTTCCCTGCACTCCTCTCCCTGTCTCTCAGCCCATGGTGTCCTCAGACTTAAATTAGATGAGTCAATTTGGATCACACCTCCATTCTCAGATATAAATACCCCACATCCATGAGCCACACACAAAATTACGCACACACACATACACAAACTGCACGCATGCTCGTACACAAATTAAATGGAGGACAAATCTTTAATCTTTCAATCACACATTTAATGTTATCTATGTCCTGTCTTCCCGGCCCCTTCTTTCTTTCCTTTACTGTGTCCAGATGTGTTCTCCTGGTCATGGGTTCCCCGTTTCTGTAACCTGAGAGACCTGGGGAAACGGGTGGACCTGAGAAAGCTGGAGGACTCCAGTGGGAACATGGTTCACATTAAGCAGAAGCTGTACCACAACGGACACCCCAGCCCACGCCACCTCTGAGAGCCATGGACTGGCTGAGACAGACTGAGACCTGCTGTCAACTGACCAACCAGACTTTAGTCACATGGGCAACAAAACAAAGACTATCCAAGATATAGCCTTCAAACCATACTGTTTCTTATGGACACTGGATAGAGCACTTTCTCAAGTGACGCCATGGTCTTCACCCACGGTGCAAAACTCCTCACCCTCCATATTTTATGTAAAAAGATTGTAGGTAATGGAGGATCCATTTAGGAGGGTGTAAGCAATTTGCCAGAGTGTGTCTGTTTTTGAAAATAGTTATATATATTTTGTTTTAGAATGTCCATTTTGCTAGAAGTGGGGATAGGGTGTATGCAGTATTTTGCTTGGGTTTTGTCGGTTTGTAGAAACGTGTTTATTTTGCCTGAAGATGTCAGTTTGAAATTAGAATATGTATTTTGCTCGAGATTGTTCATTTTTGACAGGGGTTTGTGTATTGGAAGAGGTACACTATATATACAAAAATATGTGGACACCACTTCAAATTAGTGGATTTGGCTATTTCAGACACACGCATTGCTGACAGGTGTATAAAATCGAACACACAATCTCCATAGACAAACATTGGCAGTAGAATGGCCTTACTGAAGAGCTCAGTGACTTTCAACGTGGCACCGTCATAGGATGCCACCTTTCCAACAAGTCAGTTTGTCAAATTTCTGCCCTGCTAGAGCTGCCCCGGTCAACTGTAAGTGCTGTTATTGTGAAGTGGAAACATCTAGGAGCAACAAACGGCTCAGCCGCGAAGTGGTAGGCCACACAAGCTCACAGAACGGGATCACCGAGTGCTAAAGCGCGTAGGGCGTAAAAGTCGTCTGTCCTCGGTTGCAACACTCACTATCGAGTTCCAAACTGCCTCTGGAAGCAACGCCAGCACAAGAACTGTTCGTCGGGAGCTTCATGAAATGGGTTTACATGGCTGAGCAGCCGCACACAAGCCTAAGATCACCATGCGCAATGCCAAGCGTTGGCTGGAGTGGTGTAAAGTTCGCCACCGTTGGACTCTGGATTGTCTGGAGTGATGAATCACACTTTACCATCTGGCAGTCCAAAGGACTAATCTGGGTTTGACGGATGCCAGGAGAACGCTACCTGCCCCAATGCATAGTGCCAACTGTAAAGTTTGGTGGAGGAGGACTAATGGTCTGGGGCTGTTTTTCATGGTTCGGGCTAGGCCCCTTAGTTCCAGTGATGGGAAATCTTAACGCTACAGCATACAATAACATTCTAGACGATTCTGTGCTTCCGACTTTGTGACAACAGTTTGGGGAAGGCCCTTTCCTGTTTCAGCATGACAATGCCCCATTGCACAAAGCAAGGTCCATACAGAAATGGTTTGACGAGATCGGTGTGGAAGAACTTGACTGGCCTGCACAGAGCCCTGACCTCAACCCCATCGAACACTTTTGGGATGAATTGGAACACCGACTGTGAGCCAGGCCTAATCGCCTAACATCAGTGCCCGACCTCACTAATGCTCTTGTGGCTTCATGGAAGCACGTCCCCGCAGCAATGTTCCCACATACTTTTGGTCATCTGGTGTATGACATATTTGAAAATCAGTGCCACCTGTTTGTCACCCAAGACAGATTTATATCATTCGTGGCTGAATGGAAGCAAGTCCCCGCAGCAATGTTCCAACATCTAGTGGAAAGCCTTCCCAGAAGAGTGGAGGCTGTTATAGCAGCAAAGGGGGGACCAACTCCATATTAATGGCCATGATTTTGGAATGAGATGTTCGACGAGCAGGTGTCCACATACTTTAGGTCATGTAGTGTACTTTGTGTCTATTTTAGAAACTTTTCATGTAAAAACTGTACTGAAAGGGGCCTAGGGGACGGAATGGAATTATAAATAATTAGGGGTGGGGAAGAGAACGGAAATGCTGCCTGCTTGTCTAACTGTGTGGTGTGTACAGTACATGCAATGTGTCAATGTTGAAGAACCATGAGGAAAGGTACGGTTGTGTGTGTGTAACGGGTTACAGGATTTCTTTGATATTTTGTTCAGAGGGTCATCACCATGGAAACCTGTAGACGAAATTCCAAGACTGAGGGTTACACTCAGGAGCTCTATATAGTTGACAAAACACTTTACACTGAACAGCCAGTTGTAGAGAGCCTTCATCATGGTGGTTTAGAAAGGGACTGCCTGTGTTATATTTAAGCAATAAGGCCCAAGGGGTATACCACGGCTAAAGGCTGTTCTTATATAGCTCTTTGCCGTGGTATATTGGCCATATATCACAAACCCCCGAGGTGCCTTATTGCTATTATAAACTGGTTAGGGCAGTAAAAATAAATGTTTTGTCATACCTGTGGTATATGGTCTGATATACCACGGCTTTCAGCCAATCAGCATTCAGGGCTCGAACCACCCAGTTTATAATAATTAACTAATATCTAAAGTAGGTGCAACATGCCCTTGTCATGGAATTGGAGAGTGATGCTGTGTGAGGACTTGGTCACAATTACTGTGACACATTGGGATCCTGAATGTATTCCTTCCTTATGAATTTGTCCCTAGGGAGCAGAATGTAGACTCATTCAATTTTGACCCTCTCTCTTTCCTGCACCTCCCCCATCTTCCCTTGACCCGTGCCTCTCTCCCCCAGTCTCTGTCCAGACATTGGTGTTGTGAAGATGAAATGTTGGTTTCATTAAAAGGGACCACTGGGGTTTAACACTGACGGAGTGCTGGTGTGTCATTACACAGGTTCAAGATACAGTTCACCATGATATCAGCATTTGTTGGTCACGTTTTCACAATGGCTTTTATGTCTATGAAACCATCCCTTTAGAAATCACAACAAAAATGCAGCCATAGTAAGAAACCTGGATTATTTTACTATTCATAAAAAGTAAGTCATCTCCATCCACACCATTTAAATAGAGTATCATCTCTTACAGTGCACATCAACATTATTACAGACATAGGGTTTCCATGTAAAGTACACTTATCTTCAATTTTACACAAATCATATATTATCACAGCTCTCCAGCTTCTCCAGGATTACTTCATAAAATGTTAGTGCCTCCATCCCTCCTCCCCCTACCTATTTCAGTCAGACAGACAGATGTACACAGACAGAGACTACAGACAATGAGGAGGAACAAGAGGCGACCTCCCTGTAATCCCAGGCAGCAGCCCCTGTCCTTCCTTTGGCCCCTAATGTTAAACTGGAGTCCCATCCTTGGGAGGAGCTTTGGTCTTCCCCACCTTCCCTGTCCCACCCTCACTGCTAGGGGCTACATCAGTCGGGGCTACACCCTCTGCCCCCTCCCCCTGACGTGTTACCACCGCTTCTGCTTTGACACCCTCCCCCTTGGCCTGGACGGTCCCCTCCTCCACAGGCAGGGCAGCACTGTCTGATGAAGGTGGGGCTGGCACCTCTAGTTTCAGCTCCTCCTGAATGACAGGGGCCTCTGGTTTGTTGTCCATCTCCAGAGCCGGAGTGAGCACCTCCTGGGCCTGCGGCGGCTCCCCTAGAGGCAGAGTGAAGCCTATCTTACGGCTGTCTGCTGGTCCAGCGCTGGGAGAGGCTGTGCTCTTGGCCCCAGCCGCCTCAGTGTCCCCATGCAGCCAGTCCATCTTCTGGAGGTGCTGCCGCATGGCTTCGTCCACCCGAGCATCAATCATGGCCTCCGTTAGGACGCCGTCCTCTGAGGAGTAGGCTGCCGCCTGCAAGAGGACATGGAATACATGGATTATTACATCACAGTCATCTGAACAAGGACTTTATCATTACACGGACAGCCCAGTAAATCTCTAATATCATTTATCTACAAATATAAATGTACAGTATTAACTACTTGCAAGATCAGTGTATGAATATTGAGTACTGTATAAGGAATTTAACAGACAAGGCCCACTTGTCCACAGAAAGAGGCTAGCAGGAGAGATGAACATGACACAGCAGCAGTGGAGGGACCATGGTATACATAGCGATCCACTTCCCAGCTCTGCTTCTATTAATAAGCCCATGGAGGGAGAATAAATGGGTCTAGACTTCCTGGGCTAACCAAATCACCTTGGGTCAGCATTGTCTGATTCTCCCATCCCTAACCAAGTTCCAGCCTGTGCACAGGCTCTCCTTCCAACCAATCATTTATGTCAAATTGGCTTAATTGGAAAATTCTGCACGACACCGCATCACGGTTGTTAACCGTTCAGAAAGCTCAGGAGAAAGCATTGAAGTATGAACAACAGGGGAAACATGTCACATACCTGCCAGGCCACGCCCAGTTTGGAGATCTCTCTGCCTGACATGCCCTCTGCCCGCTTAGCGATGTCCGAGCACTTCTTACCATAGTCAAACTGAGCCAGCTTCATTCTCCTGCAGGGACAGAGACAGAGGAAGATGGAAACAAACAGAGAGAGGAAGATAGACATAGAGGGGGATTAGAGACAGATAGAGGACTGAATTACATCCTGTCTGTCAGAGATGAAACAGGCCTTTGTTATGAGGTCTGGTCTGACTGTCTGGGGAGACACTCCTTAAGTGGCCCAGCTCCCTCTAACAGCTGGCTCTGTTGTCTGAGTGTGTTGTTGTTGTTGATCCTGGTCCAGTTCCCAGTGCCCTGTGTATAGGTCACCCCCTGCCCCTCTGCCTCTCAGGCTCCAGGCTCTCGGAGCCCCAATGTAATTAGTGACTTAGCATGGCTACAGCTGGCTGGGCTCCTGCTTACTGCTGGGTCACCTGCTCTTCAGACCTGCTCCTGACACTCCACAGCTCTCAGCCAGAGGTCATTTACATGGAACATGACAGAGATAGGCCTCCCTCCTCCCAGGCACTCAGTGTTAATGCCTGTCCCCATGTGTGCGTGAGTAGGTGTGTATGTGTGTGTGTCACTGTATGCAGATTACTCGAAGGCTGCATTTACACAGGCAGACCAATTATTTAGCCACTAATTGGTGGTCTTTTGACCAATCAGATATTTTGTGGTAATAATTGGGCAAAAGATCAGAATTGGGCTGCCTATGTAAATGCAGCATAAGTGTCTGGGAATAGCTTGACATCAGAACAGTTGCATTATGCATCCCAGTATGAGTGCTTGTGAAAGTGCCCTATTTAAACCTGCACTGCCTTGTCGTGTGGGTGTAATGCTGTATGACTCACTGTCTCCCTCCTGTGGCAGGCTCCAGCACATATCTGTCAAAGTACAGACGCACCAGCCTCTCCCTCTCATCAGGACCCGGCAGGGCAAAGTTGACTATCTCATCAATACGGTCGTTGATGGCCCAGTCAAACTGCTCTGGCTGGTTACTGGCCAGCACCATCATGAACCTGTAGGGAGAGACAACACAACAGTGGTACATTAGGGTTAGAGTGCTGTGATATCTGAGGGACATGGTACATCAGAGGTCTTGGGCGTAGATATGAAATGTCTAAATAGAAGAAGTAGTTGTAGAGGACTGACTTGGTGCTCTGCTCTCCAGTGCGATACAGGAATGCATTCAAAGTGGCTCTGAGCTCTTCACTGATCTTTTCCTGTAAACAGAAAGAGACACCGTGAATTCTGTTTTCCAATATTTCTACAAGATCATTGTTTTGGTTTTGCTATGAAATACAGGAAGGTACACAACAGACTTACAGTAGACCTCTTGCGAAGGAATGCATCAGCTTCATCAACAAACAGCAGCAGGCTGTGTCAGACAAGAGACCGGATGGCATAAGCAGAGTTGCACTGGTCTTACATCATTCTCTGTACATTGTTTAATGTGCATGTCTGTTTATGGCATATGTGTGTAATGCAAGTGCAAATGTATTTCCTGTCAAGATGTGTAGATGCTTACGTTACATGGTTGCACACGGTTACATCATGGTTACATTTACATGAAGGTACTGCAAGTGAGGGTAGCATACCCGCGGCGACTGGTGTTGGCCCAGTCAAAGACTTTGTGCATGGCGGTGACGCCCTCACGGCCCATGGGCGCCACATCTCCACCAGTCATGATGGCATAGTCCATCCCAGAGTGCACTGCCAGCTTCTACTCAAAACACAGAGACAGTTACCAACATATACAGATACCAAGATAACACCTCTTGTCATAGACAAGATGATTCTGTGCGGGACCTACCTTGGCGAAGAGGGTCTTGCCAGTACCTGGGGGGCCATACATGAGGATGTTCCTGTAGAGGCCCTTGTTCTGACGCGTGTTCCTAGTTGCTATGGCGATATCACGTACACGTTCTTCTAGGTTAGGCTGTGCAGAGCAGAGGGAATAATTCATGAGGGAGATCAACATTTTGACTCAAGGCAGGGCTGCAAAAACATACATTCACAAAAACATACACAAAACTAGATGTGTGCACAGCATTCTCTATGAATGTCTCTTTCATACATGTGCTGGGTATAATATCTCCCAGGTTTAGTTGTGTTGAGACTCTATAAGGTATGGCTCTCTGGTGCTCAGGTGTGTGCTGAGTGTCGGTACTCACACTGAGCACTACTCCCTCCAGGGCATCCTGAGGTTTACTTGTCAGGCGCTTTGACATCTAAAAGAGGGGAAAAATAAGAAAATGCACCTCACCATCACTTCATAGTACTTCAAAATGAGCGTTTAGGAAATGTAAGTTAATCACAATAAAAAAACACCAAAATCAGACACAGGACGTATACAGTGCATTCGGAAAGTATTCATACCCCTTGACTTTTTCCACATTTTGTTACATTACAGCCTTATTCTAAAATGGAACTTTTAACAAATATTTTCTCTCATCTATACACAATACCCCATAATGACAAAGCAAAAACAGGTTTTCAGAAATGTTTGCCTATTTTTAAAAATATAAAAAATGGAAATATCACATTTACATAAGTATTCAGACCCTTTACTCAGTACTTTGTTGAAGCACCTTTGGCAGCGATTACAGCCTTGAGTCTTCTTAGGTATGACGCTACAAGCTTGGCACACCTGTATTTGGGGAGTTACTCCCATTCTTCTCTGCAGATCCTCTCAAGCTCTGTCAGGTTGGATGGGGAGCGTCGCTGCACAGCTATTTACAGGTCTCTCCAGAGATGTTCGATCAGGTTAAAGTCCGGGCTCTGGCTGGGCCACTCAAGGACATTCAGAGACTTGTCCCGAAGGCACTCCTGCGTTGTCTTGGCTGTGTGCTTAGGGTCGTTGTCCTGTTGGAAGGTGAACCTTCGCCCCAGTATGAGGTCCTGAGCGCTCTGGAGCAGGTTTTCATCAAGGATCTCTCTGTACTTTGCTCCATTCATCTTTCCCTCGATCCTGACTAGTCTCCCAGTCCCTGACGCTAAAAAACATCCCCACAGCATGATGCTGCCACCACCATGCTTCACCGTAGGAATGGTGCCAGGTTCCTTCCAGACGTGAAGCTTGACATTCAGGCCAAAGAGTTCAATCTTGGTTTCATCAGGCCAGAGAATCTTGTTTCTCATGGTCTGAGAGTACTTTAGGTGCCTTGTGGCAAACTACAAGCGGGCTATCATGTGCCTTTTACTGAGGAGTGGCTTCCATCTGGCCACTACCATAAAGGCCTGATTGGTGGAGTGCTGCAGAGATGGTTGTCCTTCTGGAAGGTTCTCCCATCTCCCCAGAGGAACTCTGGAGCTCTGTCATAGTGACCATTGGGTTCTTGGTCACCTCCCTGACCAAGGCCCTTCTCCCCCGATTAATCATTTTGGCTGGGCGGCCAGCTCTAGGAAGAGTCTTGGTGGTTCCAAACTTCTTCCATTTAAGATTGATGGAGGCCACTGTGTTCTTGGGGACCTTCAATGCTGCAGAAATGTGTTGGTACCCTTCCCCAGATCTGTGCCTCGACAGAAATCCGGTCTTGGAGCTCTACGGACAATTCCTTCGACCTGATGGCTTGGTTTTTGCTCTGACATGCATTGTCAACTGTGGGACCTTATATAGACAGGAGTGTGCCTTTCCAAATCATTTCCAATCAATTGAATTTACCACAGGTGGACTCCAATCAAGTTGTAGAAACATCTCAAGGATGATCAGTGGAAACAGGACGCACCTGAGCTCAATTTCGAGTCTCATAGCAAAGGGTCTGAATAGTTATGTAAATATGTGGAAATAGGAAGGGGTCTGAATACTTTCCGAATGCACTGTATGATGCACAGCAGGGCCTCTCTACCTTGATCGGGTGCTTGATCGCCTCCGCCACAGTGATGCGAGAAGTCTCTCTGACCAATGAGGGCTTCCCGAGTCGGGCCTCAATGTAGCGCCCCGCCACGCCTGTGGCGTTCCGGGCAGAATATACACCTACAGCCAGCAGGGTCAGTCCTGCCACCTGGTGGTGGAATTACACTACATTTAAAGACACTCCAGGACAGCTCAAATCAGATATAAACATTTAACATATCATACACTGAACAATTAGTTAGTGAGCATTTCTCCTTTGCCAAGATAATCCATCCACCTGACAGGTGTGGCATTTGAAGAAGCTGATTAAACAGCTTGATCATTACACAGGTGCACCTTGTGCTGGGGACAAGAAAAGGCAGTTTTGTCACACAACACAATGCCACAGATGTCTCAAGTTTTGAGGACGCATGCAATTGGCATGCTGACTGCATGAATGTCCAACAGAGCTGTTGCCAGAGAATGTAATGTTCATTTCTCTACCATAAGCCGCCTCCAATGTTGTTTTAGAGAATTTGGCAGTACGTCCAACCGGCCTCATAACCGTAGACCATGTGTATGGCATCGTATGGTCGAGCAGTCTACTGATGTCAACGTTGTGAACAGAGTGCCCCATGGTGGTGGTGGGGTTATGGTATGGGCAGGCATAAGCTATGGACAACAAACACAATAGCATTTTATTGATGGCTATTTGAATGCATAAAAATACCGTGACGAGATCCTGAGACCCATTGTGAGGCCCATTGTTTTTTAAGGTATCTGTATACCCAGTCATGTGAAATCCATAGATTAGGGCCCAATTCATTTGTTTCAATTGACTGATTTCCTCATATGAACTGTAACTCACTAAAATCAATGAAATTGTTGCATGTTGCATATGAATGAACATAAACAAGTATGTAGAGTGGAAGGGAGGTTTCACCGTAGCTGTGACTTTATCCCAGTCCGACACAAAGGCCCGGAATCCTTCCCCAAACACAGCACCTGCAGTCCTGAAAACACACAAATATACAGAGACAGTCAGGTCTCCAATAGTATCTCTCACCGTATAGTCTCTAGTACAGTATGTCCTTGTCTCAGCGTATAGTCTCTAGTACAGTATGTCCTTGTCTCAGCGTATAGTCTCTAGTACAGTATGTCCTTGTCTCAGCATATAGTCTTTAGTACAGTATGTCCTTGTCTCAGCATATAGTCTCTAGTACAGTATGTCCTTGTCTCAGCGTATAGTCTCTAGTACAGTATGTCCTTGTCTCAGCATATAGTCTCTAGTACAGTATGTCCTTGTCTCAGCGTATAGTCTCTAGTACAGTATGTCCTTGTCTCAGCGTATAGTCTCTAGTACAGTATGTCCTTGTCTCACCGTATAGTCTCTAGTACAGTATGTCCTTGTCTCAGCGTATAGTCTTTAGTACAGTATGTCCTTGTCTCACCGTATAGTCTCTAGTACAGTCTGTCTGTGCTCTGCTGCCTTCAGGCGGATCTGCTCGCGGATGATGTCTGCGTTTTCCCGCTCAACACGTGCCCGCGCTTTAGACTCCGCCTCTACACGTAGCAGCTCATTCTTGTGCCTCAGCTGCATCTCGTGCTCAATTGTTGCTGCATGGAGAGGATACATCAGTGGACATTTTGTGATTGCCAGACCCCATATGGCTATATTGAGCAGTGAATATAGAAGCAGAACCATATTCCTGGAGGCTGTGTGAGCTGTGTGGCTACTATATACCTTTCCTCATGGCCTCCTGTTTCAGCACAGAGTCCTCCTGTTTGCGAAGGTTGTCATCATTCAGGGCTTGCTGAAGACACAGAGGAGAGGCCACACTCAGTCAGTTGGACATGGTATTTTCACTGTACTTCTTTATAGCCTAAACAGTACTGAATTGATATTGCAGCTAATGGCAGTTGATCTTACCTGTTGCTTGAGTTGATCCTCATACCTCTGTCTGGCAAGTCTGTCTTGGAACTGTGCTCTCTGTGAAGGGATAGAGACGGTAACAATAGTAACATGTATGGCGCCCTCTGCTGGACAGATATGTAATCCCTTGTTCCACTCCCTCTCTCATTGTACCCTTTGTTTCAACAGCATTAAAGCTAATTGTGCAAACAATTTCAAGCTTACATACACAATTCTACTCTCTACAAACTCTTCAAGATCTCTTAACTACTACAGGGAAAATACTTCCTTATATGGTTTACCCATACCTATGCATGATGATCCATGCTATTAGCCCATCATTGACCACATACTATGTAGTACAATGAATACTACTGCACAACCACCCAATCTGCAGTACCACTAAACCCTTACTCTGCTCTCCTCTCACCGATTGATGCTGCTTGGTCTCCTCGCCGACAGTTTTCCTCCTCTCCTCCCCTTGAATACGCAGCTGATCCCCCTTCAGCTGCTCCACTGCTGCCTCATACTCCTTCCACCATCACACACAGAGAGAGAACAATTAGCATGATCAGATTTGTGATTGATAGTACTGTATTTGGTGTCCTACACATTACTCTGCATGTGCCTTGTTTAGTGCAACTGTACCTTGATTTTGGTCTGGTGTTCCATCTGAACAGATTGCTCCTGCATGCGAGCCAGATCCAGGGCCTCTTTGGCATGACCTGAAATTAAGACAAGGGAAAGGACATTAGTCTTCCAGATATACGTTTGATTTAATGACAGTAGCTATATTCCCACTATACTGAACAAAAATATACAACGCAACATGTAAAGTGTTGGTCCCATGTTTCATGAGCTGAAATAAAAGATCCCAGAAATGTTCCATAGCACAAAAAGCTTATTTCTCTCAAATTCTGTGCACAAATTTGTTTACATCCCTGTTAGTGAGCATTTTATCCTTTGCCAAGATAATCCATCCACCTGACAGGTGTGGCATATCAAGAAGCTGATTAAACAGCATGATCATTACACAGGTGCACCTTGTGCTGGGGACAATAAAAGGCCACTCTAAAATGTGCAGTTTAGTCACAACACAATGCCACAGATGTCTCAAGTTTTAATGGAGCGTGCAATTGGCATGCTGATTGCACGAATGTCCATCAGAGCTGTTGCCAGAGAATTGAATGCTTATTTCTCTACCATAAGTCACCTCCAACACTGTTTTAGAGAATTTGGCAGTATGTCCAACCAGCCTCACAACCAGCCTCACAACCGCAGACCACGTATAACCACGCCAGCCCAGGACCTCCACATCCGACTTCTTCACCTGCGGGATCGTCTGAGACCAGCCATCCGGACAGCTGATGAAACTGAGGAGTATTTAGTATTTATCCCAAGTGGGTGGGGCTATGGCCTCCCAGGCCCACCCATGGCTGCGCCCCTGCCCAGTCATGTGAAATCCATAGATTAAGGCCTAATTTATTTATTTCAATTGACTGATATCCTTATATGAACTGTAACTCAGTAAAATCGTTGAAATTGTTGCATGTTGTGTTTATATTTTTGTTCAGTATTTTTATTTAGTTAACCTTTATTTAACTAGGCAAGTTAGTTAAGAACAAATTCTTATTTACAATGATGGCCTACACCGGCCAAACCCGGACGACGCTGGGCCAATTGTGCGCCGCCCTATGGGACTCCCAATCATGGCCGGTTGTGATACAGCCTGGAATCGAACAAGGGGGTCTGTAGTGACGCCTCAAGCACTGAGATGTAGTGCCTTAGACCGCTGCGCCACTCGGGAGTATACTTTGACATTCTAAGTGAAATACTTGCATGTTTGACTAGAGCAAAGATTAACTATATACTGACTAGAGCTATTTGGCAAAAAAGGAATGACCTTTGCACCGTTCACCTTGAATGCACTAATGACCAATTTCCAACATGAATGAAAATGTGCAACACAACGTTCAAACCAAGCAGTGAAACCTGCGATTCTCGTTTACTATAGTGTTATGTTCTACTGACAGCGGTCATCAGGATTTGATAGCTAGTTGACTAGATTAGATACCTGTAGGAACTAGGATAATATATGTCAGACACCGGCCCGTGTTGCATCAGCATCACTGCTTAGGCTGTAAAGCATGCTGCGGGTGCATCGGTCTTTCTGGGGAGATTAACAAAATGTTTCAAGCTAGTTACTAGTTCTACAGTACTATATATAATATAGTTAACATGCAAGACACTTACGAGACTTGTCAAGCTCCTTCGCCGCTTGGGCCGCTCGTTCCAGCCCGGTTGGGTCGAAGTTGCTCCATTTGTCCTTGGGTTTATCCCCGCCACCTCCGGAGCCGCCAGCCGGTGGAGGGGGTGGCGGTGGAACCGGGAATTCCGGGGGAGCCTCAGGCTGCCCCTTATTCAGGCCGAACAGCCAGGACATGTTACGGTAAACGGAGAATAAACTGCAGCCCAGGCCGGTAAAGGTGATCTGGTTTGGCGGTCTGTCAGTCACTACACTTCCTCCACACGCGTGTCACGCTGCCGTCTTTGCGCAAGTGCAGGAGAGGACAGATTTTCCCTGAAAGACAACCATGCTGATTGGTTACGAGGAAAAAAATATTCCTCTCATTGGTTGTCCTTTGCAGAGGTCAAACATGTAGTCACACCCATAAGAGGGTATGGTAGACGCAGTGGCCCAAAAAAGGAAGGTCTTATAATAAACCTGAATAACCTCACTGGAAGGCCATTTGACACAATTCATTTGATACTTGCATCATATGCGGAGTATTTTTTGTACTTCGTTCAACAGAAAAGTTTTCATTCATTGGAATTTTCATTAGCTCACATTTTGTGTGCTGTTTGGATTTTTAAGTAATACATTGCAGTAGCATTTCAGGGAAATCTGAATCTCTGTGAAATATTATTTTTGAACAAATTGACAGTTGCTGAATAATTATGAACATTATATGTAACAGTACCACAATTACTTGTGACAAAATTGCACAGCACTAATTTAAAATGATATTGCTTTACATAACCTCCTTTAGTAGTCTGTCTTGGAAACCCTAAATTGAGAAAACCACTCTCTAGGAGAAAGTGCATAATTTTTCATTGTAATGTGTGTAACATTAGCAACAACAATATCAGAACACTGAATAGATAACAAAATGTTTTATTTACTAGACAATCATTTTCCACATGTATTGACAGGAAACAGGCAAATACACAATCACACATATATACATAGAGACACAAGGCATTACAAATGAAGGTCAAGTATTTTCTCTGTAACTCTGGCCCCCGACCACCAGTCAACCGTCTACTATGAATACCATCACATTAAGTGTGGTTTGGAGGTTGATTCTGTCAGTATGATTCAAAGAGGGAGTAAAATGGTTGCAGGGCAGAACTAGGTTGGTCGTATTGCAGGTAAGGAAAATGGGTTATTGGATGGGTGGGTCGCTTGCAAAGAGGTGGTATGGTGTCCATTGCAATTGCCTATGGAGGAGGTGGCTAGATCACTGTAGCGTGACAATGCGTGAGAAGACACCAGGAGGCTCTTTGCCATCGCCCAGCGCTGCACCGAATCCCTCCTGTTGCCTTGCCCTGGCCAGCTTTGCAAGAGATAGGAATGACTTAGGTTCTGTGATGGCAAGGTCGCTCAGAACACGTCGATTCACCTCAACACTACTCTGTAACGGGAGAGAAGAGTAAAAGTGTAAATATATATACACCTTGAACTAACAAAAATCTAAGGAGATCTTAGAAAAGGATGAGAGAGGATTTGAGTTACAACATTAAGGACAAAGGAGTGGGATGAGAGGGTAGTGCATAGGGTTTTTATAGTTCAGTATATACAATCAATAATGTAACAACATTCTATTTGTACCATTCATCCCTATTTGTTATTAATATATAACATTTTCAGTGAATCCCCTCCAGCTAATATTTTTATTTTCTAAGTATTTTCTGTGCTCTGATTACATGTGGTTGCCCTCATATTAGAGCACCATTGTAAATCAAACCTTGGGAACAAAAATGCCATACAGCAGTGTACTGAATTCTCATGTGGTCCTCTGTAGCTCAGCTGGTAGAGCACGGCGCCTGTAACGCCAAGGTAGTGGGTTCGATCCCCGGGACCACCCATACACAAAAATGTATGCACGCATGACTGTAAGTCGCTTTGGATAAAAGCGTCTGCTAAATGGCATATTATGAGCTGGAACTGAGAGACAGAGTGGTAACTAGGTTAAGACATATACTGTAGGCCTACTGTACTGACCTTCACCAGGTTGTGCATAAGGGCAGGGTACTTCATGCCGTGCTCCCGTGATGCTGCCGCGATACGTGAGATCCATAACTGATGAAAGACAGTTTTAGGATCACACAATAGCAGTCATCTACATGTAGCTGATTATCATAAGGATGAGAGAGGAGAGATCTTGATGACATGTCAGGGTGCACATATAGATCCAGGGTATAGCATAGCTAGCACATCAGATTAGATGTATCAATGACATGGCTATAATTCTGAACATGCTCTTACCGTACGCATGTTACGTCGTTTTATTTTGCGAGCCTTGGTAGCATATACAAAGGCCCTTCGTACTGCCCTCACTGCCAGGCTGTAGCATCTGTTCTTTCTACCTCTGAAGTGCTAATGGACACACAGATAGGGGAAGAGAAATACAGATGATGGGAATGGGCAAAAAGGGTTCATTTTAACTCTGACAATACAGGAAGTGAATTTTAATTAATTAATGTTAAAGTCCATGTAAATAACATTGCACAATTTTAATTCATCCCCAGGATTAAAATGGAATTTAATTGAACCCAAATGGAAAGGTAGATTCGTTTTTACTTCATTAACGTTAATTGGCTGATGATGACCTCTAGTACTCAGGTAAAATGTGGAAACATCTTCGTTTCTTAACCACCTAGCTAGTTTGTTAACTAACTAAAGACAACTAACGTTAGCTATAACGTTACCACACTTGACTTGTACACTGTATCTGCATGACATATGCAAGAGGTGAGTAGGCCTAGCTACATGTAGCTATAACAGGCCTAGAATTGGCACAGTCCTCCTCTCCTTGGAATGAGAATAGCCCTGAAACGAGTACCAGCCAGCTATTTGAGAAACTAGCCGAAATGCTTCGTCTTTACCTAGATGGCTCTTAACTAGCTTCATAACTAGCTAGCTATATAACGTTAACTGATGAGTCACCTGCAGTGTGAAACTGTCACTACGGTGAGTAAAGGTTGCATACAAAGCAGCTAAATTACGTAAAGTCAATTAAATATAATAACTAGCTAGTTAACTAACAGGGCTAGCTGCTAGCTAACTGGCTGTCAGTGGCTAGCTAACTAGTAGCTACAGTGCTAACTTACCCGTGCATTACTGAGAACTTCTTGAACCTTCCAATATCGATCAGGCCCACGATTGCGGATCCAGCAAGATAAAGTCAAAAACACCATCTTTCTTTCGTAAAGATTTTGCTACGATCCCGTAGTTTTTCCCTTTTTCAAACTCAATGGATTAGATGACCTTAATGCAGCACGGGAGATGACATGTGTGCGCTGCGGTGTTCTTGACTAGCTAGTATTATGCCAGCAGCACAAATTATGACGTCAAATTTGTATGGTAAAGAGGAAACCTAAATAAAATCCCGCATTTCAAAACATTACAATGTGGATAACTAATTCAAAAGATATTGAATTTTAATCAATTGGCACTTTTATTGTGCCAACAACAAAATACAATAATTAATTAAAATAAATATATATATATATATATATATATATATATATATATATATATATATATATATATATATATATATATATATATATATATGGTTAAAAAAAAAGTAAGACCAATAATGAAATAATACTATGTTTGATACTGGTATGTTATGAATATTGGCCTGTAAAGGTAACTTTTTCTACCTGGAAAATACACAGTAGGGTCTCTACTAACCAAATATGTGTAGTTTTGGAGGGGGACTGTGTGTTGTACAGGAGCTCACCGGAGCTGAGTACCATCACCTCAAATGTTCTACTGCTTGAGCTCCTGTTCCTTTTATAGAATATATGTTCAAAAGTATTGTGGAGCTCCTGCACCTAAACATAAACAGTACCGGCACCCAAAATGAGTACCGGAACCTATTTCAGTCCAAGTCAAGCATTGGTTATACATATCCAGCAGCACTTTGTTCTCCACCCCCTCCACATTCTCTCTACAAGCCTATATGCATCCCATGTACAGTCTATTACAGTGTATTGCATTGGGGGCTATGGAGGGGGTGGAGAACAAAGTGCTGCTGAATATGTATGACACAGTCCCCCTCCAAAACTACACGTATTTGGTTAGTAGAGACCCTACTGAGTATTTTCCACCCCAATTGAGCTGAGACAGGTAGTGGAGTTTTTTCTCTACAACCCAATAAGTATGCCATATACAGTGTATTGCATTGCAGTGAATGGAGTGGGTGGCATCCCAGCCGAAACAGTTCAGAAGAGTTCGTGCATATATTATGACCACATTTTGTGACGTTTTTATGTGTTTGTCAATCAATGAGGGGCGACTTGTTTTCATGCATATTTTTTTATTGAGAAATACTGAACCAAACATCTTAGTTAGATGTAAAATTGTGCGACTAAAGCTCTCTTCGGCAAAAACGTCAAACTTAAAGACAGATTTCTTGAGTTATCTTAGAATAATTCGGACTAGTTTGGCTACTGCGTCTCAAAATGAACAAACAGGACTATTGCCGCTTTTTACTTGTTTTTAAAGGGAAGGTATTTTTAAAAAAAAACCTAGAGTCGATGTACAAAAATGTCTGTAGCGTCCGAACGGTTTCACCTAGAAACTTATTATGAACCCTCTATGGGAAGATGAGACTCTCATGAAGCATCACGGGACTCGTCTGAAGTCGGTACAACCGATCTGCCAACTTCTGTTTGTAGACTTCTGAACAGTTTGGGCTACACACTAATATGACCCTTCTATGGAAAGGTGAGTCTCACGAATACATACATGTCGGTTGTTTTGCTCATGACGCCCAAAAGCCTCACAAGACTAGTCTGAAGGTAGCCGGGTACCAGTTTTAAAAAATGAATGGAAGTATATATGGAGATAGTCTAGTGCCTAACAAAAGGGGTTGAATACATATATACATATACACACACATATATATATATATATATATGTTTAGACCTTAAGGGTCCTAAAATTCAAAATCAAATAGCTAAATGATCCTTGGTATGACCATATTAAAACAATTCCATGTGTTAGCTTAATAACCCCCCCAGGCTTAGACTCTTAAGGATCTTTTAAGGGAGTATGCAAGCACACTCGTTTGGTTTGCCTAGTCGAACTGAAGCATGCTGATGCCTTGAGGAGTCACCAGCACTCTGTATTAAACCTGTTACACAGCACAAGAGACCAATTTAAGTTTTGCAGACTCTATTGAGTAATTCCAAAAACATATATTTGTATTTTATTAAAACATTTATTTATTTAAATATAGCCTACACAATAGCTTTCAACATACCAGTATTTGTGTAAACTTTTAAAATAAATACTGGTATGAATAAGAAAATACAATTCAAATACAATTTTATTGGTCACATACACATATTGAGCAGATGTTATTGCGGGTGTAGCGAAATGCTTGTGTTCCTAGCTCCAACAGTGCAGTAGTATCTAACAATTCACAACAATACACACAAATCTAAAAGTAAAATAATGGAATTAAGGAATATATAAATATTAGATCGAGCAATGTCGGAGTGGCATAGACTAAAATACAGTAGAATAGAATACAGTATATACATATGAGATGAGTAAAGCAGTATGTAAACATTATTAAAGTGACTAGTGTTCCATTATTAAAGTGGCCAGTGATTCCAAGTCTATGTATATGGGAAGCAGCCGGGTGCAGGGTTGCGTAACCGGGTGGAAGTCGGCTAGTGATGGCTATTTAACAGTCTGATGGCCTTGAGATAGAATCTGTTTTTCAGTCTCTCGTCCCAGCTTTGATGCACCTGTACTGACCTCGCCTTCTGGATGATAGCGGGGTGAGCAGGCTGTGGCTCGGGTGGTTGATGTCCTTGATTATCTTTTTGGCCTTCCTGTGACATCAGGTGCTATAGGTGTCCTGGAGGGCAGGTCGTTTTGCCCCCGGTGATGCGTTGGGCAGACTGCACTACCATCTGGAGAGCCCTGCGGTTGCGGGCGGTGCAGTTGCCGTACCAGGCAGTGATACAGCCCGACAGGATGCTCTCAATTGTGCATCTGTAAAAGTTTGTGAGGGTTTTAGGGGCCAAGCCAAATTTCTTCAGCCTCCTGAGGTTGAAGAGGCGCTGTTGCGCCTTCTTCACCACACTGTCTGTGTGGGTGGACCATTTCAGATTGTCAGTGATGTGTACGCTGAGGAACTTGAAGCTTTCCACCTTCTCCACTGCGGTTCCGTCGATGTGGATAGGGGGGTACTCCCTCTGCTGTTTCCTGAAGTCCACGATCAGCTCCTTTGTTTTGTTGACATTGAGTGAGAGGTTATTTTCCTGGCACCACTCTCCCAGGGCCCTCACCTCCTCCCTGTAGGCTGTCTTGTCATTGTTGGTAATCAGGCCTACTACTGTTGTGTCGTCTGCAAACTTGATGATTGAGTTGGAGGCGTGCATGGCCATGCAGTCATGGGGGAACAGGGAGTACAGGAGGGGGCTGAGTACGCACCCTTGTGGGGCCCATGTGTTGAGGATCAGCGAAGTGGAGGTGTTGTTTCCTACCTTCACCACCTGGGGGTGGCCCATCAGGAAGTCCAGGACCCATTTGCACAGGGCCCCGAGCTTAATGATGAGCTTGGAGGGTACTATAGTGTTGAATGCTGCGCTATAGTCAATGAACAGCATTCTTACATATGTATTCCTCTTGTCCAGATGGGATAGGTTGAAAAACAGTTGGAATGCACCAGAGTGCAAATTATTATTTTTTGGGAAGTTTAATTAGCATGTCTTTGCAGGTGGACTCTTGTTTTGAAAAAAGAAAACCCAGATCGTGCTGCCATTGTAATATCCTGCTACTAGGAGAGCGGTAATGTCAAAGATTTTTATAACTAACCCAAGATAGACCACAGCCTGTCTTTTCCAATGGGAGCAAATGACTCATAGTGGGCAGCACAAGCAAGGAGGTAGTCAGAGCCAAGCACGAGCTAGCACGATCCTATTGGTGCATTCGAGCATGTATTTGCATATTTCCGTTAGGGAACGCCTACTATTTGAAGTGCGCGGGTGCAATAACTCCATTCGCCCTTGCACTCCTTCTAAACAAAGCAATTTTTTAAAACTTTGGCAAAGGGTAAAGTCTACAGATCTTAGTCCAGTCTGTTCATAACATATTTGTTTTGGGTACAGAAAACTGTATTGAGATCAAATTTTAATCTATGAGAAAATTATTAGAATATCAACCAAAATCCATCTCGCACCATCTTCTCCCACTGCCGGCCACTGGGCTTCCTCTCATCACCATATTGGTCAATCACCAACAGTAGGTCAATTTAGTCAACCTAATTCCCCTCTATTAGCGCCATATGTACTTCTGGTGTACCAAAATGCCCTGACGCTGTCGGTGTGATCGAGGCGTAAAGGAAATACCGCAGTGCATTCTGGGATAGCACATACAGAGAGAGGTCAGAAAACTTCAGATTGCTCAAGATGTCGGTCATTTGTCTATCGTCCTTGGGTCGCTGTAGCGCCGTGGCATTCCGTTCTTCCGCCGGAATGGTGGTAAGGATGTGTTAAATACGTCTGTGTCCATTTTAACGATTACCCAAAAGTTAAGGTGGTTTGTTGATCGTTTCGAACGAAATGCGCTTGTCAGCTAGCTATTGTTTACAGACGGCTCGTTGCGGAAGCTTCCGTAGCATGGCGTACTCACCAAAATAACGTTTCCAGTCAACAGAGGAATATTCAGTATCTCCAGGAACAATACTTACGATTGTGTTGAATGTGTCCGTCGCTATCAAATAAGCGTTTAAAACACGCTTTAATCCAGGGTCTCCCATTTTCCGCCTGTGGTGGGCTGCCATTGTAGTCCATTTTAGACCACGTAGTCACGCGAGAGTGAACTACAACAACAGCTCCCATTTCTACAGCCTGAAAATGGGAGACCCTGGATGATAACATGTCTTAAACGCTTATTTGATAGCGAAGGACACATTGAACACATCGAATCGTAAGAGTTGTTCCTGGAGATACTGAATATGCCTCTGACTGGTAACATTATTTTTGTGAAACCGAATAGTTTAGATTTAGTTGATCAAGGATTGATCACACCTACAGCATCATTGCACAAAATGGTATGCAGCATCATCTAGATATGTGTGCAACAAAAGTTCAACATTCACCTTCTGCTACCATTTCTGTCAAGTCGTCTATGCATACAATTTGATGCATACCTTCGATAAATCTAACGTATGAACCACACAGAACGCACTGCAACTGCCTGCACAGGCAGTGATCACAACGACAGGGTCATTGCGGTATGGTACACCAGAACTACATTCATTTCCAATGAAACGCTGCGTTTGCCTTGCAGCATTGCGTTGCAGACGCCTCGATAACATCCACAGCGTTACATTTTCGTACACCAGAACTACATTCATTTCCAATGAAACGCTGCGTTTGCCTTGCAGCATTGCGTTGCAGACGCCTCGATAACACCCACAGCGTTACATTTTCGTACACCAGAAGTACATTCATTTCCAATGGCAGAGGCAGTTGCAATGTGTTCTGTGTGGTGCATACGTTGGATTTATCGAACCTATGTGTGAAACTGTATGCTTAGACGGCTTGACAGAAATGGTAGCACAAGGTGAATGTTGAACTTTTGTTGCACACGTCCAGATGATGCTGCATACCATTTTGTGCAAAACACTATCGGTGTGATCAAGGAGTAAACAATGGCTTGTTGTTTGATGAAGCACTCTTGCTAGCTGCTAATGTTACAGCAGAAGCTACCTAGCCTGCTGGTTAGGATAACCAGTGTCAAAATGTTAGCTGTCACTTGAGAGTATGTAGCTAACCTCTCATCAGTGTGAGGGAGTTTGTTACCTGTGTAACTTAACTATCTGGGTAGGTTAGCTAGCTAGCTATCATTACTTAGTAAAGTAAACAAATGAGAACTGCTGCTAGCTAGGTAGGATGATGTATGCAGAAATAGGGAGTGGAATGGACCATGTTATATAATAAGGGTTCACCTTGGTTGATTTGTCACTGTATGAATTAAGTTAGCTAATTAATAAAGCTGGGCTGGTTATCTCAGTCAAATTAAGTAAGAAATAAATACTATTTCATTATCTGACTGAACCTTATGCAGGCTTAACAATGTCCTATCAGTATAACGTTAGCCCTGGTACTTCAGTACTTCTACTAGACCACCATGTAAGGAGGCTATTTAGTCTTCTTTCCATACATACAGATAGATATACATTTTCTTATATATATGGCTGGTTTCTTGGACAGAGTAGGGGGGCTTGCCAGCTAGCTATATGGCTAGTGTCAGAGTAGCCGACTAAACTCAAAATAGAGTTGTGGTGACTAGCGTGGGTGGACTGGAGTTCCGACATCACATAAAATACAGTTTTTATCAAAAACGATTGCACAATGTCGTGTGTAATTGCAGACGATTCTTTGGATGCAAAAATCAGTAGTTTTTGATAACTTCATTTTATGTGACATCGAAGCTCCAGGCCTCCCACACCAGTCGCTGGTCAACTCCATCGTAAATCGTGGAGTTTAATCGGCTAGTGTCAGAGCTGACAGTAAGCAAAAACTAGTGGATGTTTTGGCAGCCGCTGCCAAAATAGCACAGCAATGTAAACAGGATGGCCGACTTTGCTTAGTCAAATAAAGGCACATATTTTGTGCTATTGTTTGATCTTGCTTCATCTGTTGCTTGTCAATACTTCATATTGTGTCCACTGGAGATAGTGGTATTGTTCACATGTTTAAAATGAAGTAAATACATTATGTGCAGAATGAGTTGGGTTAGTGGTGTAAGGTTATATTATCATATAACACTTGATGTAATGTAGTTATGTGATCTGTAGGGGGACCTGTATGGGAATGCCACAAAATATGTCTGACCTTGCTGCACCAGGTATACGTTTCCTCTGATGTAGGATCAGCTTACCCTTCCCCATATCCTGACCTTAGATCAGTGTCTAGGTGGGGCAACTTCACACAACTCCCTCAAATACCTTCTATACACCTACTCTCTGTGATGGACTAACGTTAAACTATTCACTCAACACTGTTTATACAATCCTCATACCAGGAACATCATTCATGAAGAACTTGTTCTAGGCCACAGTTTGTCATGTGGTTTGTTATGACACACATGGAAGAAGCAGTCCTCCTCACTCTCCTCTCTTACTGTCAGGCGGTTCGGTATGCTCAGACAGCAGCAGCCACAGCCCCACAGCCTAGAATCAAGAAGTTCCAGGTGTACCGCTGGGACCCAGACACAGTTGGGGACAAGCCTCGCATGCAAACCTTTGAGATCGACCTCAACACGTAAGTACAGCCCGCCTTATCAGCTCCACACTTCCATTAGTTTATTGGAACAAGGACTTTGTCATTTATTGAATGTTATCACAAACCACGTTTAATTTCTTGCGCAATTTCATTGAAAAGCATTCACAGTTTAGGCTACAGGGTGGTGAAAGTGCACGGTGATGAACTTGATGCTCCTTTCCAATAAAATCGAGGGTCTTAATTTGTATGCTAGTGACATGATGATCGGTGCTTAGCTGCCAATGAACAAACAAAAATGATTTTGCTCTTATCCATCTCATCATATAACCTAACCTGTCCAGTGCCCACTTTATCAGCTAACTGTTGTCTAGAGAGCATGCACGAAAACCAGATTGGGCAAGTTTGCCATTTGTCGCAACAGTTTGTCTGACAACACTATCAATAGAGTGAAAAATGCAATGGAAACACATTTAACTCCTGTTTTTTTATTTGGTACATGAACCTTAAGTGCAAAAGTTATTTTTATGTGCACTACTTCATCACGCACAGCCTTTTATCCCCAACAAAATCAGTCTGATGGAAACACCTCTGGTGTGGAAATGCATTTTTTTACTGCTGATTTTATCATATACGCATGAAAATCTGTCGCAAATTGAATGGAAACCTAGCTACTGTGCTAGATCTTTTTAGTACAGCTCTCCCCTTGTATATGGTGGTGATGGAAGAAAACCCCTCTAGATTAGAGAGTGGCTGTCCTTGACTGGTCCTGGGCAGTGGTATGTTCTGTTGATGTTCATCCTCTTTCATTTAGGAGTTTGCGACTTGGGAGTTACAGAATGGCTTCACATGTCTCAAGGCGGCCAATTATATCTCCCGATACAGTCCTCGTATAGTTCTCAGAAACAGAAGAGCATGTTGCAGTGGTGTTTAGGGCATTAAGTATTAACTCAAGTGACGACACTGTTAGAGAGCGAATCATGAGCACCCTTCATATGGAATTAAGGAGGATAATCCTGATACTCTGGATAGGTTCCCAGTCCTCTTCCTGTTCTTTCTCCATCTGTCCAGCCCTATTGGCTCACCTCTGGCAATGAGGCATCGTGACAAAAAAACCTTGGGGTACTATCAAATTGTATTACTCACATGCGCCGAATACAACAGGTGTAGACCTTACAGTGAAATGCTTACTTACAAGCCCTTAACCAACAATGCAGTTTAAAGAAAAATAAGTGTTAAGTAAAAAGTGGATAACTAAAAAATAACAAATAATTAAAGAGCAGCAGTAAAATAACAGTAGTGAGGCTATATACAGGGGGTACCGGTACAGAGTCAATGTGTGGGGGCACAGGTTAGTCGAGGTAATTGAGGTAATATGTACATGTAGGTAGATTTTAAAGTGACTATGCATAATAAACAGAGAGTAGCAGCAGCGTAAAAGAGGGTGTGAAATGCTTACTTACAGGCCCGTCCCAACATGCAGAGAGAAAGAAAATAGAGAAATAATAGAAAAATAATAATAAATATAACGTGGCTATATACATGGGGTACCGAGTCGATGTGCAGGGGTACGAGGTAATTGTACATATAACTAGGAATAAAGTGACTAGGCAACAGGATAGATAATAAACAGTAGCCGCAGCGTATGTGATGAGTAAAAAGTGAGTGCAAAAAGGGTCAATGCAGATAGCCCGGGTAGCTATTTGGTTAACTATTTAACTAACTATCTAGCAGTCTTATGGCTTGGGGGTAGAAGCTGTTCAGGGTCCTGTTGGTTCCAGACTGTGCATCGGTATTGCTTGCCGTGCAGTAGCAGAGAGAACAGTCTATGACTTGGGTGGCTGGATTGTTTGACTATTTTTGGGGGGCCTTCCTCTGACACCGCCTGGTATAGAGGTCCTGGATGGCAGGGAGCTCGGACCCAGTGATGTACTAGGCCGTACGCACTACCCTCTGTAGCGCCTTGTGGTCAGATGCCAAGCAGTTGCCATACCAAGCAGTGATGCAGCCAGTCAAGATGCTCTCAATGGCTCAGCTGTAGAACCTTTTGAGGAGCCGAGGGCCCATGCCAAATCTTTTCAGCCTCCTGAGGGGAAGAGGCGTTGTCGTGCCCTCTTCATGACTGTGTGGGTGTGTGTGGACCATGATAGATCCTGTGTGTCTTAGGAAACAATACGTTGACTGTCTGTCTCCCTCCTTTCAACAGCTGTGGTCCCATGGTATTAGACGCCCTCATCAAGATCAAGAATGAGATGGACGGCACTCTGACTTTCCGTCGCTCCTGCAGAGAGGGTCAGTCTCCAGTGGTGGGAAGGGAAGTGGGGTTAGTTTGGGGATACTGATGAATAGATGAAATGGTTGGAATGATTTTAGTGGTGAATCACTAAATGTTCTGTGCGGAGTGAGAGAAGAGCTGGGATCAGTGTTCTTAAAGGTTGGCTTGCTGTTTTTTTTACTGTTACATTAGGGGATTTAGATAGCATCATCGTTGGAAAAAGATTGGAGAAGAGGTTGAAAGGTTGGGCGTTTGATCCCTGGCCCAGTCATACCAAAGACTGTAAAAATGGGACCTGATGCGTCTCTGCTTGGCACTCAGCATTAAGGAGATACATTGGGGGTAAGGTCTTGCGATAGACTAGCGTCCTGTCTAGAGGGTGTACTTGTACATCAAGTTGCCTCATGCTACAGAAACAGGAGATGGGCTCCTGCTCCTGTGAGCCATTCCGGCTCGCGCACGCCAAGGTTCGTGCAAGGCTACTAAGGTTGGAAAGTGTGTCCAGGATGGAATTATCTAAGAACAGGCTGTCCAGGGATAATACTAGAGCAGCTTAGATCTAGTGACTGACTATCCTCAGATGGATATGCTCTAGCCAAGGAAACCTAACACGTGTCAGTTCCTTCTACAACTTCATTATGATGTCCCAGGTGAGTAATACAGTGTGTGTATCTGTGGGTTTGCTATGGAGCAGGTATCTGCGGATCCTGTGCAATGAACATCAATGGAGGCAACACACTGGCCTGCCTCAACAAGATTGACACCAACACCAGCAAGGCTACCAAGATCTACCCTCTGCCACACATGTACGTGGTCAAGGACCTGGTGCCTGTGAGTATCATCACATTCCCTCAAAGCTCTTTACAAACTGGCTGTATTCCTTTATCCACCATTATGGCTTTCAATGGTCAATCCCACATGACAATTGGAGTGAGTTTGTGATGGCGTTATGTTTTGGTTGCAGGATATGAGTAATTTCTATGCTCAGTACAAGTCCATCGAGCCCTACCTGAAGAAGAAGGATGACACAAATGAGGGAAAGGAACAATATCATCAGACTGTGGAGGACAGACAAAAACTGGTACACCCAAATTACCTTAGTTCAATGAGCATAATTGAGATGTTTGAACTGAGGGCTGCAATTGTGTCCATTCTGCACTCTTCTCCCTTTCCGCCTCATGACTTGATATTTCTCTCCCTCCCAGGACGGGCTGTATGAATGTATCCTGTGTGCGTGCTGCAGCACCAGCTGCCCCAGCTACTGGTGGAATGGAGACAAGTACCTGGGACCCGCTGTCCTTATGCAGGTCTGTGCTTTTGTGTATTTGAGTTTAAACTAGTCTGAGGGGGAACTTTTTTGTTTAGAGTTGGTGTATTTTGGTCAACAGGACACTGATGGGTGAATGTGTGTATGTACCTTGGACTGTTTGTGAGCTCACATGTCCGTCCTCACTCCAGGCCTACCGTTGGATGATTGACTCGCGAGACGAGTTCACAGAGGAGCGTCTGTCCAAGCTGCAGGATCCTTTCTCCCTCTACCGCTGTCACACCATCATGAACTGCACTAAGACCTGCCCCAAGGTAACCTCAGTCTAATAAACAGCACTACTCCCTTCCAAGGTTTAACAGTAACTTCACTGCTTACTAGCACACTCTTCTTCTTTCTCATTGTACTCAAATGCATCACCTCTCTCCTACTCTTACAGGGCCTTAACCCAGGGAAGGCGATTGCAGAGATTAAGAAGATGATGGCCACTTACAAGGAGAAGAAATCAGCTGCTGCTTGAAGTCTTGGGTTGTGACTCTTGACCCCCCCCCCTATAAATTATACTATAATTAAGATGCCCTACCAGTGGGTTCTGCTGGGCCTGCACACCTGTCAACTTCAACACCTCCACACTCCTGCACTACTGACTGACACTGGACTCCAAGAGAAATGGGTGCATGGTCAACGCCGGATTGGTGTGTGTACTGTAGCGTGTGTTTGTGTGTTAGAGAATGCATGGGTGCATACTATATGTGAGACATGACCCACTGACTTAAATGGTGCATTCCTTGGTTCATATACCCATTGTTTGGTCTCGTAGGTGTGTGTGACTATGTGTGGGTGGGTTTGAGTTCAGAGTGTGATGGATTCACAGACATTAAATATGTATATGATCTGCAGCTCTTCTGTCATACCTATATCTCTCTATATATCTCTATCAGGAGTCTGCTTGTAATAAATCCAATGGTTTAATGCCTGCCATTGTTTCCCTTGTTATTATGCCTGCTTCTGACCAGATGTCTCTTCCACTTTATTCCATTAGTAATAGTTATCACCACTTAATTTATCAGCACCTTCATTGAGTGGTGTGATTATTTGTACAGCATTTGAATGATGATGGGTTTAAGGATCAGCTAAATACTTTTTTTTTTAAATAGCTGGGTAGTGCCCAGTTTCACATATGTGGAATTTCAATATGTCCTCTAGGCGTCAGTATTTCCCATACTTACCTGGAGTTGAGAAATGCAGAGAGGGAAAAGGGAGAACAAATAAGGACCCTGTCCAAAAAAAAAAGCACCTTCAGTGTACGCAATTTGGCGAGTCTCCCGAAGCCTATTGTTGGGCATGCCATAAATGCAGCATGGCAAATTACAATCAATAACATAGAACCATGAATGTATACTATTTTTCAATGGCAATGGCACAAGTTGTGTCACAGTACTGCTCTGCAAATTGATTGTCCCCAATCACGAACAATGGCGTGGACAATCAATAAAGTCATACACGAAAACGTATATCCCTTGAGATCAATCATGTGGGTCTACGGTCTACTGCTTTCAAACATACCTATTTATCCATCCTGGAGAGTTAGAGGGTTTATGTGCAGTCAGTGCCATGGTCTCCTGTCTGTGGTTGGTGGGGGTCGACGATGTGACGGACAGAGGCGGGAGAGGGGGCTTGAAGGCGGGGCGCTACAATGTGGCGCTTGGTTAGACGTTGCTGAAGAGGGACGCATGAGACTTGCGGATCGCCGGAGCTAAAGGAAATCGAGGTAAAAACTGGCAAGTTGTTAAAATTAATATATTTAGATATGAAATAACTGCAGAAACAGCATAAAAGTGTATTTGTAAACGTGCACTTATTTTGATTAATTTGAATATTGACCATTAATCAAAGACTAAGGTAGTTGGGCTACATTTCATAAGAGTTGAGTCGTTTTTTTTTTTTTTTTTTACACCATGTGTCAGGGTGGTGTGTGTTGTTGATCACTTATCAGTTATTTGAAAGATGGTTATTTGTATCCATCATCAGTATCGAGTTATAGGCCTACCTGAAAGACTTTGATCAAATCAAATGAAAACTCTACAAGTTCAATAATAGCATGCAAGCAGTGGTGACCTGTCAACTAAGCTGTTTCTGTGTATTTTCCTTGCAATTCAGGACATGATTGGGCCTCATATGTAGTTATTCAACAGGTACTTGAATCTTTAATTTATTCAGAATAGTCTACTTTGTCAGAAGATTGTTCTAGGTTGACATGAGGTTGTCTGTTTACACTGTTGTGGAGAATGGGGCAATCTGCAATCCAGGGGGTGGGGTTATAGCTGGGGGCAATGACAATACAATGGAGAGGGGCTGGCCAACATAAATAAAATGAGAGGAAAGGGAGAAAAAGAATGAGGACTAAAGGGGGGTTGTTAAAGGGGAGAGGGGGAGGAGATGGAGAGCGAAATTATATATCTATTTTTACATAGTGCTTGAAAACAAACAATAAACTGTGTTGAGTAGGAATGAGAGGACGAATGAAGAGAGGGAGCTCTCCCCGTTCATGGTGGCGTTGTTCCCAAGTCCCCATGCTTTGGGGGAGGGGGGCAGTTAGGGCTGGGGAGGAGGGAGAGACAAAATGGGGTTGAGGAGGAGGGTGTAATAGCTCCCAGATGTGTGCTGTGAAAACATATGGTTTCCGATAGCCACTGTGATGCACAAGAGGAATATCAACACACACACACACTTTGGTGACATATACCTTCATACATACATGTACATTCTGACACACTACAGCCAGACGTCATAGCATGAAACATTAAATGTGATGATACTCACATATACACACGCTGATGATCACAGGATAGCACACTCAGTGCACAAAAAAACCACACAAGCTGGACTGTCTGATAGTGTGTAGTACAGTTAAACAGTAGGGGAGGAGTATCTGCACAGTTACTTATACGCAGTCTAGTTAGAAAAACTGTTCTCTGTGCCAATTGTTCCCAACTGAATGTGAGTTGTTGCAGATATATAAATGGTTTATGAACTTTACCATGACATTGTCTTTTACTTGAAAACTGTAATAAGCATTGGAGTGGGGTCGCATTGCAGCAGAGTACTGCTATCCTCTGAGAATACAGTCCTCTCTCTCTCCACTAACTCCCCCTCTCACTGTCTTTTTGGCGTGGCATGCAGTGGTCATACTGTATGAACTCAACCTGGCTAGCTCTCTGCTTATTAGAGAGAGAGAGAGAAAGAGAGAGGGGGGGAGGGGTTCAGGGAAATGACAAGAGAGGGCGACAGAGAGGAAATGAGAGACGTGGAGAGAGGAATATGGAAGATGGGGAGAGAGGGGTGGGGTGGAGGGGCTCAGTGGTTCTTTTCCTGGAATTTAGCCCCTGGTCCGTCTGCTTTAGTGTTTCGCAGTGGAATGGAGAAAATGAGAAAAACAGAGGGATTGTTAAGAAAGACAGACGTGCCACATTCTTGCTGTCAAAGTTTTCCTTTTTTCCCCTGACTGTTTGGGGCCAGAGGAGGGCAGAGTGAAGGAGAGAGCGGATGGTAAAAGAGAGGGAAGAGGTGAGGCCAGAATGCAGGATAGGAGAGAGATGGAAGGGAAAAGACTGTGACGAGGCCCATGGGTAAAAGACTGTGACGAGGCCCATGGGTAAAAGACTGTGACGAGGCCCATGGGTAAAAGACTGTGATGAGGCCCATGGGTAAAAGACTGTGACGAGGCCCATGGGTAAAATACTGTGACGAGGCCCATGGGTAAAAGACTGTGACGTGGCCCATGGGTAAAAGACTGTGACGAGGCCCATGGGTAAAATACTGTGATGAGGCCCATGGGTAAAAGACTGTGACGAGGCCCATGGGTAAAAGACTGTGACGTGGCCCATGGGTAAAAGACTGTGACGAGGCCCATGGGTAAAAGACTGTGACAAGGCCCATGGGTAAAAGACTGTGATGAGGCCCATGGGTAAAAGACTGTGACGTGGCCCATGGGTAAAAGACTGTGACGAGGCCCATGGGTAAAAGACTGTGACAAGGCCCATGGGTAAAAGACTGTGATGAGGCCCATGGGTAAAAGACTGTGACGAGGCCCATGGGTAAAAGACTGTGACGAGGCCCATGGGTAAAATACTGTGATGAGGCCCATGGGTAAAAGACTGTGACGAGGCCCATGGGTAAAAGACTGTGACGTGGCCCATGGGTAAAAGACTGTGACGAGGCCCATGGGTAAAAGACTGTGATGAGGCCCATGGGTAAAAGACTGTGACGAGGCCCATGGGTAAAATACTGTGACGAGGCCCATGGGTAAAAGACTGTGACAGTTGGGAGTCTGAAAAACTATACAGAAATACATCAACGATACAGCGAACACTATGTAACAGATGTGTGTCTCTATATCACTTGGAATCAGTAACCCTTTGAAAATGTATACAGTCTTCTCTCTCCTCCTCAGTGTCAGTCTACCTCCACACAGAGATCGACCATGAGAGTCCTCCTACTGCTGTCCATGCCAGGTGAGTCCAGCACAGTCACACTGAACACTACATAATATACACAACACTCTAATGTACACACAACAGCAGACTAACCCAATAAACATTCTATACAACAAAACACTTGTCCAGCACCTTTGCCTAAACATTTAGCCATCTTTGCCTCAACAGTCCTCCTGCTAGCCCAGCCCCCCCTCTACCAAGAACCATTTCCTTTCCTGGGTGAGTTCATCCATGTCATTATTACAGTGTCTGTCCACGTATACGAACACACCGTGACTCTGTACTGTGTCTCTCCACATCTGGTCATTATTTAATGTCTTTTGTCTACCCACCCCGAGAGTATACCATGTCAAAGTATTTTTTTTTACCAGGTTGATGGAAACATTTAGTGTTCTGTGTATTGTAATTTGTCTATTGTAAATACTTCAATGAACACTTACTATCTCATCATTTGCTAACATCTTGAATATGAAGTCATGCACAAAGACAATCTACCGTACATTTCCTCCCAATTTTAAAAGCAGGTGGTCGATGTTGTATTCTTGCATTTTATGTGAAATTCCCACTGTGCTTGAGTAGATCGCTGTTAGTCATCTGTCACACATAAAGGGTTGTTTGCCTGTCTGTCAGTCTGCCTGCTGTAAGTTTTATCACAATATGTTATCAGTCAATGTAACAAAAGCATATCTCATACTGTTCATTTGTTCATTTTGCTTCACAGAGGACTATGGCCCTGATTATTTCCCAGGTAAGATACTTGTGTGATCTTGTTACCTATGCTACTCTGGTAGTATCCTCAGTTTTGATAGACTGATGTAGAGAGCTTCTCTGCCTTTTGCCCATTGGTGATGTACTGAAAGTCCTGCTCAGCGCCTCATTTTCCTTGAGAAAATTCAGCAATTCCCTTGTTGTGCTCACTCTCTATCTCCCTTTCTCTTTCTCCCTTTTCTTCTTGCTCTCTTTTTCTCCATCTTCTTCTTCCCCCCCCCCCCCCTGCGCTCTCCCTATCAGAGAATCCTGACGCAGATGTCCAGCAGCAGACTCTGTTACAGGATCCCGAACCGTTCCCTGGTCCTGAACGTCCTGGTCTGTCTGGTACTCACACCTTTCATTATCTACTATTCAACATGTATTATCAACTAGTCTGTTCCATATCTACATCCCGTCCTGCTCTTCTGTCATATTAGCAGGGTTATTCCATTTAAATGTTAGTTTCTGTTTTGTTTCAGAGCAAGAGACAGAGCCCACAGAACCTGGCCCCTTAGGTAAGAAATGGGGAAAGAGAGAGGGGGAGGGTCTGTATGTATAGATGTTAATGGATGACTGACTTGGACTATTATGCTATATGTAGATGATTGTCTTGGATGACTCATTTGTTTTGTGTTGTGTAGATTGCCGAGAGGAGCAGTACCCCTGCACCAGACTCTACTCTGTTCACAAACCATGCAAACAGTGCCTGAATAGCCTCTGCTTCTACAGGTATGCTTCTGCACACCTAACCCTTAACTTGTTACCATGATAGCGTTGAACATGGATTATAAAGTGTTCAACATCACACTGTAACCCCATTCCTCTCTCCTCAGCTTGCGAAGGGTGTATGTGATCAACAAGGAGGTGTGTGTCAGGACTGTGTGTGCGCATGAAGAGCTGCTAAGAGGTGAGGTGTTCTTGTATACAATGCACAACCAGCTGTCCCCACTAAAGAAACGCACACACCCGTTCAGTTTTGTATTCACCTCTGTGGAGGACAAAACCTGTAACACTTCTCTCTCTCTGTAGCTGACATGTGCCGTGACCAGTTCTCTCGTTGTGGTGTAGCTGCGGTGAGTGGCCAGTGTGGGTCACTGGGGAGCAGCTGTGGGAAGAGCTGTGGAGGCTGTTGAGAACATAGGACACATCAGAGAACACCAGCCCAAATACTGCCACATCTCTAGGGTCCACATCCCGCCCCCTCCTCCTCCCGCCACCTCCTCCCCATCCCCTTTTCTGTTTCATCTTTGACTTTATTCCACATACTTTTTGGTACCAAAGAACTGCCATGTTTCTTCTCTTTTCATCTCGTCTCTCCTCCCTCTTTCAGAATTACATACATAATGCGAAGTGGGATCAGTAGAACGTGTGTATGGATAAATATATATATTCTTTTATACTCAACAGAACATTGATGACTGTATAACATCACTGGTGCTATAAAATCACTACCACACTGGTGCTATGGAATGGAAATCAGCAATCAGAGGCACATAAAAAAGCAACGTTTTGATCTTGTTTTTTTGCCTTACTGTATCCTATATTCTAAATCATTGTGTGGTGTTTGTTGTTGTTTACTATACCTGTGTTGAAAAGCAGTCATAGTAATGAGGGGACAGCAGTATACCTGTGTTTAAAAGCAGTCATAGTAATGAGGGGACAGCAGTATACCTGTGTTGAAAAGCTGTGTGACAGCTGCTGCTTACTGACCTCAACAACAGAGGCATTAGCAAAACTCAATAATTATCCATAACCATCCCACTGCCTCGGCACTGACTGGGTGGCAAGCAGCAACAATCAGACTTGAAGAGACGGGTGCTGACCTGACCCCTGACCTCTCTTGAGTGTTTTTGTGTAACATGGTCGGCCACGTGACTAGAGCTACGGTGGCTGGAGACCTTGCAGTGAGTGCATAGTTTCACATATCAGTGGCAAGAAGTGCTTTGAAAAGGCGGCTCACAAATTGTTACTGTACTACTGCTTTGTAAAACCCTTTCACTATACTGGAGAAAAAAAATAAAGTTTTTTTTTTACTATAACTTTACCTTGGTGTGACTAATTCTGATGAGTTGGATTGTTTGTGCTTCATATGGATCAAACAAACAAGCAGTGTAGTCAAAGATTCTTTATCAACATTCATTTCTTACAGATACATTTTACATTTACATTTACGTCATTTAGCAGACGCTCTTATCCAGAGCGACTTACAAATTGGTGCATTCACCTTATAGCCAGTGGGATAACCACTTTACAATGTTTTTTGTTTGGGGGGGTGGGGTAAGGGGGGGGGGGGGGGTAGAAGGATTACTTTATCCTATCCCAGGTATTCCTTAAAGAGGTGGGGTTTCAAATGTCTCCGGAAGGTGGTGAGTGACTCCGCTGTCCTGGCGTCGTGAGGGAGCTTGTTCCACCATTGGGGTGCCAGAGCAGCGAACAGTTTTGACTGGGCTGAGCGGGAACTGTGCTTCCGCAGAGGTAGGGGAGCCAGCAGGCCAGAGGTGGATGAACGCAATGCCCTCGTTTGGGTGTAGGGACTGATCAGAGCCTGAAGGTACGGAGGTGCCGTTCCCCTCACAGCTCCGTAGGCAAGCACCATGGTCTTGTAGCAGATGCGAGCTTCAACTGGAAGCCAGTGGAGTGTGCGGAGGAGCGGGGTGACAACTGTTCTCTCATTTCAATTCCCTTACAAACATGATTGATGCATGTGCTTCCATCCCCTAAACATCATCCTGATAGTTATCATAAATGTACCTCGATATGTGCTATTCCTAGTTAGTTACAAGCATATCAATCTAAAATCACAAACTGATATACATACATACAGCACATACATACTTAATCTCATGTAGTCACATCAACTAGTTAGCAGTCTTATAGCTTGGGGGTAGAAGCTGTTCAGGATCCTGTTGGTTCCAGACTTTGTGCATCGGTATTGCTTGCTGTGCAGTAGCAGAGAGAACAGTCTATGACTTGGGTGGCTGGATTGTTTGACTATTTTTTGGGGGCCTTCCTTAACACCGCCTGGTATAGAGGTCCTGGATGGCAGGGAGCTCGGACCCAGTGATATAGCGCCTTGCGGTCAGATGCCAAGCAGCTGTCATACCAAACGTTGATGCAGCCAGTCAAGATGCTCTCAATCGCTCAGCTGTATAACTTTTTGAGGATCCGAGGGCCCATGCCAAATTTTTTCAGCATCCCGAGGGGAAGAAGCATTGTCGTGCCCTCTTCACGACTGTGTTGATGTGTGTGGACCATGATAGATCCTGTCTGTTTGTATATCACAAACTGATATACATACATACAGCACATAAATACTTAATCTCAAGTGGTCCCATCATGTGTTCTACATATAATAGTGTCTATTGGTCCAGACAAAATAGTTGGTTCAATCTCAACCAAATACTAGCAAGATGGACGGTACAGTAGCTCCTTCATATGGCCGATCAATTTGTTGCCAAGTGCTCAAACAGTGACTCAGACTCTGTTCTCCCTTTGTATTCTGTTCTGCTGGTGTGTGTGTGTGGGAGGGAATCCAGGCCAACTGTATACTGGCAGAGCTGAGGATCTCATTCCTCCTCTGTTGTACCGGATTACACTTCTATCATCCACAGTCTCCTCCCGTGGTGTCGCTGAGTTTCTCCCTGAGTAGGAGGAGAGGCGTGTGTCAAATCATAGGAGATGATGATTGGATATTGGTTCTTGGAGCTGCTAGTGGGCTTTAGTACCCATGGAGGGACACAAGTGAGCTGCTCTGTGCTCAGTTCCCCCCAGACATCAGGGATGTGGGTAGAGATGGCTGCCTCCGCCTCATCTCCTGCTGCAGCTGCTCCTTCAGAGTGGACACCTGTGGGACGGACAAACAGACAGATGAGGTCAGGGACAGGAGGACAGAAATTAAGGGTATGTCTTCTTGCCCTCTGACCTCATGGCTGTATCTACCTGCTCCTCCAGGCCTTTGACCCGGTGGCGGTGGGCTCTCTCCCGGGCGGCCAGGGTCCTCTCTGCCTCCCTCTGGGCGACCCTCAGCTTCTCTGCCTCACGCAGCACCTCATCACGCTGCCGCACAGAGCTCGCACTCACATTGTGGGACTGCTCCATCTCAGCCAGCTGGGCCTGGATACACAGAGAGACATATACACACAGATAGAGGAGTGTTAGTCACAAACTCAAATCCCAGACAGAGACATGTCTCAGTGTTAACAACACAGGGTTAGGGTAATTTTCTAGATGGTAACAAGAGGTATGTCAACACTACATGGGACACCATAAACACACAGCTGGTGGGGCTGGGAGAGGTCTGACGACAAATGGTTAATAGCCCCTCTGTGGTGGTCACTGGTCACTTGACGTCTGCTTCTTGATTGGCTGACACAATGACTAGGAAAAGCTATTCACGTGCATGACCTTGATAAATTAATCTGTTGATGAAGGATTGAAAGAGAATCTAAAATGGACTATTCAGTAATATATGCTGAATAGTAGCCTCTTCAAATGAAATCAAAAGCAAATGAAGACTCCACAGAACACTATTCAACAGTGCCCTACTAGCTAGGCTATATCATGTAATTTTCATACTAAATGTATGTCAAGCATGTTGTGCATGTTCTTGTAAAACTTTCTCAACTTCATCCGTAACAGAAACCATAGGAGTCCAGACGAAGAACAAACAAGCCAAACAATTCTCCTCTACATTAGGTGTCTAACTAGCAGCAGGCTCAACATTAGGTGTCTAACTAGCAGCAGGCTCAACATTAGGTGTCTAACTAGCAGCAGGCTCAACATTAGGTGTCTAACTAGCAGCAGGCTCAACATTAGGTGTCTAACTAGCAGCAGGCTCAACATTAGGTGTCTAACTAGCAGCAGGCTCAACATTAGATGTCTAACTAGCAGCAGGCTCAACATTAGGTGTCTAACTAGCAGCAGGCTCAACATTAGGTGTCTAACTAGCAGCAGGCTCAACATTAGGTGTCTAACTAGCAGCAGGCTCAACATTAGGTGTCTAACTAGCAGCAGGCTCAACATTAGGTGTCTAACTAGCAGCAGGCTCAACATTAGGTATCTAACTAGCAGCAGGCTCAACATTAGGTGTCTAACTAGCAGCAGGCTCAACATTAGGTGTCTAACTAGCAGCAGGCTCAACATTAGGTGTCTAACTAGCAGCAGGCTCAACATTAGGTGTCTAACTAGCAGCAGGCTCAACATTAGGTGTCTAACTAGCAGCAGGCTCAACATTAGGTATCTAACTAGCAGCAGGCTCAACATTAGGTGTCTAACTAGCAGCAGGCTCAACATTAGGTGTCTAACTAGCAGCAGGCTCAACATTAGGTGTCTAACTAGCAGCAGGCTCAACATTAGGTGTCTAACTAGCAGCAGGCTCAACATTAGGTGTCTAACTAGCAGCAGGCTCAACATTAGGTGTCTAACTAGCAGCAGGCTCAACATTAGGTGTCTAACTAGCAGCAGGCTCAACATTAGGTGTCTAACTAGCAGCAGGCTCAACATTAGGTGTCTAACTAGCAGCAGGCTCAACATTAGGTGTCTAACTAGCAGCAGGCTCAACATTAGGTGTCTAACTAGCAGCAGGCTCAACATTAGGTGTCTAACTAGCAGCAGGCTCAACATTAGGTGTCTAACTAGCAGAGCAGCAGGCTCAACATTAGGTGTCTAACTAGCAGCAGGCTCAACATTAGGTGTCTAACTAGCAGCAGGCTCAACATTAGGTGTCTAACTAGCAGCAGGCTCAACATTAGTGTCTAAATAGCAGCAGGCTCAACATTAGGTGTCTAACTAGCAGCAGGCTCAACATTAGGTGTCTAACTAGCAGCAGGCTCAACATTAGGTGTCTAACTAGCAGCAGGCTCAACATTAGGTGTCTAACTAGCAGCAGGCTCAACATTAGGTGTCTAACTAGCAGCAGGCTCAACATTAGGTGTCTAACTAGCAGCAGGCTCAACATTAGGTGTCTAACTAGCAGCAGGCTCAACATTAGGTGTCTAACTAGCAGCAGGCTCAACATTAGGTGTCTAACTAGCAGCAGGCTCAACATTAGGTGTCTAAATAGCAGCAGATGCATTCAGAGCCAGAGGGCCCAGGGCTGCAGCCATTTTGTACTGATCCCAACTCACTTACACCTACATGGGGTTTCATTTGGCTGGCTTTAAAGGGAGTTCAGGGAATAACAGACAGGTGTCTGGGAGGGTTAAACTAATGAAAAAGAATGTACAATAATCTGCAACAAAAAGCACTATCTCGCCTGACTAACCCCTCACTTACCTGAACGGAGAATTTCAGAATAAAAACTACCAAGAAGAACACCCTAGCCTCGTCTTTATTACAGGGCATTCTGCTTATAGTGATCAACTGCTTATAGTGGTAAAATTGTCCTGCACAGATTTGATCACTCAAAGAGTAGTGCACTGACTGTATAACAATCACTGGACAAATAGACACTCACCATAGAAAAAGTGATCTTCTTTCTTACATCCACCAACTCCTCCTTCCACAAAGCAGCCAAATAAAGAATACACACCTCCAACATCAGCCAATCACCTCAGTAAATGAGGTTTGTTATTGTGGTTTGACTAGGAGATAAGTGGGGGAGAGGTTAAGTCTATTGGACCTGACTTTGATGAATGCTGGGCATTATCAAATGACTAAAATTGTATTCTGAGTTTGACTAGGGAAAATGGTAGTATGAATAATGATTATTTCATTACCAAATTCCTGATACAGTTCATGGCCTTTTTGGTCTCAAACTGAATTTGTTGTGATACTGACCCACACAGAAAACCAACTGACGAACCCAATTAACTAAAGGCTGAATGAACAACTAAATCTTGACTCCTTTGATAATTCTGCTACTGGGGAAAAAAGCAGGATGACAAACTCAAATGCTGAAACTGAACTAGGGCCTGGTGATATGGTTCATTTTTGACGGTATGGCGATATTTGACGTTATTTTATGTTTCTGAATAATACAAGTTCTAAATATGTTTTATTAGTAGTGCCTTTTATGGCAACAAACACATTTTAAGTGGTTTTAATGGGCTTTCTCATTCTGATGGTTTTATACTCAACCAAACTATTACAAAACTGACAGTGAATAGTCCAATTTGTATAACTTTTCATTTAATTTAGCAATGTATAGAAATATTGTTATAGAATCCATACAGGTACAGTGGGGAAAAAAAGTATTTAGTCAGCCACCAATTGTGCAAGTTCTCCCACTTAAAAAGATGAGAGAGGCCTGTAATTTTCATCATAGGTACACGTCAACTATGACAGACAAAATGAGAAAAGAAAATCCAGAAAATCACATTGTAGGATTTTTAATGAATTTATTTGCAAATTATGGTGGAAAATAAGTATTTGGTCAATAACAAAAGTTTCTCAATACTTTGTTATATACCCTTTGTTGGCAATGACACAGGTCAAATGTTTTCTGTAAGTCTTCACAAGGGTTTCACACACTGTTGCTGGTATTTTGGCCCATTCCTCCATGCAGATCTCCTCTAGAGCAGTGATGTTTTGGGGCTGTCGCTGGGCAACACGGACTTTCAACTCCCTCCAAAGATTTTCTATGGGGTTGAGATCTGGAGACTGGCTAGGCCACTCCAGGCCCCATTCATTCTTTCCTTTACACGGATCAGTCGTCCTGGTCCCTTTGCAGAAAAACAGCCCCAAAGCATGATGTTTCCACCCCCATGCTTTACAGTAGGTATGGTGTTCTTTGGATGCAACTCAGCATTCTTTGTCCTCCAAACACGACGAGTTGAGTTTTTACCAAAAAGTTATATTTTGGTTTCATCTGACCATATGACATTCTCCCAATCCTCTTCTGGATCATCCAAATGCACTCTAGCAAACTTCAGACGGGCCTGGACATGTACTGGCTTAAGCAGGGGGACACGTCTGGCATTGCAGGATTTGAGTCCCTGGCGGCGTAGTGTGTTACTGATGGTAGGCTTTGTTACTTTGGTCCCAGCTCTCTGCAGGTCATTCACTAGGTCCCCCCGTGTGGTTCTGGGATTTTTGCTCACCGTTCTTGTGATCATTTTGACCCCTCGGGGTGAGATCTTGCGTGGAGCCCCAGATCGAGGGAGATTATCAGTGGTCTTGTATGTCTTCCATTTCCTAATAATTGCTCCCACAGTTCATTTCTTCAAACCAAGCTGCTTACCTATTGCAGATTCAGTCTTCCCAGCCTGGTGCAGGTCTACCATTTTGTTTCTGGTGTCCTTTGACAGCTCTTTGGTCTTGGCCATAGTGGAGTTTGGAGTGTGACTGTTTGAGGTTGTGGACAGGTGTCTTTTATACTGATAACAAGTTCAAACAGGTGCCATTAATACAGGTAACGAGTGGAGGACAGAGGAGCCTCTTAAAGAAGAAGTTACAGGTCTGTGAGAGCCAGAAATCTTGCTTGTTTGTAGGTGACCAAATACTTATTTTCCACCATAATTTGCAAATAAATTCATAAAAAATCCTACAATGTGATTTTCTGGATTTTTTTCCCTCAATTTGTCTGTCATAGTTGACGTGTACCTATGATGAAAATTACAGGCCTCTCTCATCTTTTTAAGTGGGAGAACTTGCACAATTGGTGGCTGACTAAATACTTTTTTCCCCCACTGTATGTGGATCCATACCATTATTTATGATATACCGCCTAGCTCTAAACTGAACCCACATTTTCTCTCCTGTCACCTTTCAGACAAGCATGAAACCAACAGCAGCTGTGGAAACACACTCAGTGGTAGTGCTCAACATGGTCCATGTCATCTTGTTATTATCTTAGCCTTCCTTTGCCTGACCCTCTACCTGTAGCAGTGCTATGTGTCTCTGTGTCTCCTGTCTACCTGTAGCAGTGCTATCTGTCTCTGTGTCTCCTGTCTACCTGTAGCAGTGCTATCTGTCTCTGTGCGTCCTGCAGCTCCTGATCTGCGGTGGTGAGGGAGCGATCCAGACGGCCTTTCTCTGCAGACAGACGCATGCTGCCCTCCTCTGTCTTCAGCTTCTGACGCTCCACCTGGAGAAACAGTCATACATAGTCAGAATCCAGTCAATACCATTCAACAGTAGACTTTGGGGGTCAATTACATGTTTAATCCAGTTAATTGAGGAAGTGAATTGAAAAACTGCCATTATTTTCAGAGGATTTTTTCATTCATGAATTGCATTTAAATTCACTTCCTGAATTGAACTGATTGAAAATTAGTACTCCAACTCTTTTCGACAGTCATCATATTCCTAATGCCTGCCTACCTGTTGTGTGTGTGGTTCATGTTTTTCTCTCCCTCTTGTCTTCGTCTCACCTTGTCCAGTGTATTTCTCAGTGCGTTTTTGTCCTTCTCCAGGCGGACCGCCTGTCTCTCTGCGTCCTTCTTTTCTGTCTCCAGCATGGCCACGGCCCTCTGCAGCCCCCGCAGCCTCTCCTCTGCAGACGCCCTCTCTGTCTGGGCAGACTGGGCACTGCGCTGGGCTTCTGTCAGACTGGCAGACCGTTGACGCAGGGCCTAAAAGAGAGACAGGGGTGAGGGAACAGCTATACAGATGAGATACAGGCCTATGTCTCCCGCTCTCTTTCTTTAAAATGTTTTAATGTTCAATTCTTCACATGCCCCCGCTATGTCCTTACCGCTCTCCTCCTGTATGCGTATAAGGTTAGTGTTGAGGAAATGATTATGTATGAGTAAAAGTATTTCGCTTTCATTCTCGTTCTCGCTCCCTCCCTCTCACCTCCTGTGTGTGGGCCAGCTCTGCCTCCAGCTCTCCTCGTCTCAGCTCGCTCTGAGTCAGCTCAGTCTGTAGGCTCTGCACGCGCTCAGTGAGGGCCGTCATGCCTCTCTTCCCGTCCGCCAGGGACGCCCGCGCTCCATCCACTCGCTCCTGAAAACAGCAACACTCCATTCAGTTTCATGGGTTCAATCTAGACTTTTCATTACAATTTGCTCCAATCCTATTTAAATTACAAGGATGAAACTTGACAAAAACAAACACTTGAATTTCAGGCCACTGTCCGATCAATAATTCCTCCTCCACCTACCTGTAGATGCCTGCGGTCCTGCTCGGCCAGCCCCAGTGTCTTCTGCAGTGCAACAAGGCGCCCCTGGGTGGCGCTGTGGGCAACGGTGGCCTCCTGGAGGCTCTGGGAGAGGTTCTGGGTCTTCTCTCTGAGACAGACCTCTCCCTCCTGGGCTTTAGACAGAGCCTGGCTCAGCCTGTCCAACTCTCTCTGTAGCGACGTCACACGGCTCTCCCCCTCTGCCACCTTGGACAGATGCACAACACAGTGTATGTGAGTGGTTTAAGTCAGTGTGTATATTGTGCAAGTGTGTTTCCATTTAAATCTGGTTAAATCTCAGCATGACGTGCCTCTATCAAGGATGTCCTTGTTCCTATATAGTACATTGATTGAGTGTCCATTCAGTGTGTTACCTGTTTGAGTAGTGCGTCATGGCGCTCCTGGGTGGCCTGGCTCTCGGCCTCCCTGTCCCCCAGGCTCAGTTTGAGTCTCTGCAGCTCCCCCTCCAGGCTGCGTCTCCCCAGCTCCACCCTGGTCCCCCGGGCCTCGGCAGCCTCCAGGGCCTCCCGCAGGCGCCTCCGCTCAGCCTCCAGACGCACCTCACCCGCACGCTGCTTACTCAACTGGTCCTACAGGGGGGAGGAGGGGAGGAGAGAGAGGTGGGAGAAAGGGAGACAGAGGGAGATAATGAGAGAGAGTGACAGAAAGAGAAGGAGAGAGCTAAATATATGAAACTGTCAGACTGGCAGTCACAACAAGGTCACATGTCAAAGCCAGCCAGCCAGCCTGTCCATACAGTTACAGTATGTCATAGTGGCAGCAGAATGGCTGCTCTGTAGAGAGATATAGAACTAGACACGAGGGGAAAACACAGACGCTCCACAAACACACTCACAGAGAGGCCAGGCCAGATAGACATAAACACATAGATAGACAGTTGATCCACAGCTGGCCACATCCCTTCTTCCTTCCATAATGCTTTTCTCCCCAACTTCCCCCCCTCTCTTTCCAGCAACATAAATCATTCAAGTCTTTTCCCAGGAATACAGTCTATTAAATTATCTACTATATGATTCTGTGGCTCCTAACTATAATCTCTATAATCATAAATACCTACCCTCCTTTCCCTTCATTCATCTTTCCCCTTGCACTTCATCCCACTAACCCTCTCAATCTCTCTATTTCCTTCTCACTCAGCCAGTCCTTCTCTCTCTCCCTCTTTCCCCATGCTCCCTCTGTTGTCGGCTATGAGAAGTGTTTCCTAGGGTGGTGTGAGGGCTGGACTTAGAGGACTGGACATATGGGCTGTTGCTTTGCCCAGCAATATGACATGGAGTTTTGTTTAATGACTCAGTATTCTGTGGCATCTGTTGTTATGACAGTCACTGTTAGTTTTCTGCTTCCACCTAGTGCTTCCTGCAGGGTCACCATATGGCAGTGTTGGCAGGTCAGTGGTCAGCACTGTGTGTTAGCAGACACTAGAATCATTGTCAGGGAAGATCTTCTACATACAGTAAGTATGTGTTTGTGTGCGTGTATGTGTACCTGTGTGTGTTTCTTCTCCGTCTCGGCAGTCTGCAGGGCTCTCTCCAGCTCCTTGACTCTGTCAGTGAGGATTCTCCTCTCCCTCTCTCCCCTCCTTACCGTCTCCTCCTGCTGCTGGAGCATGGCCTGGGTGGAGCTCAGACGCCCGTCAACACCACGCTTACCTGGACGGAAACACAGAGACAGTCACAACACTGGAGCATTCACAGACAAGTTCTTTATGCTAATGTATCCTAATGACTTCACTGTGTAAATGATTCTCTTGGCCTTCTTATGGTTTGCGTGCGTGCGACATATGTATGTGTGTCTCACCCTCCTGGCACTCCTGCAGTGTGTTGTGTAGCTGAGAGAGGCGGTTCTGGGCAGAGTCTCTCTCCCCTGTCACCTCCTCCAACTCTCTCTGTAGCACCCCCAACTGGCAGCGAGCCTCGTCCTGAAAACCAACATCAGGAACACATTTCAACAACATGCCTTCAGACAATCTGACAGACTTTTAGCATTTCCTACATTCACATATCAGTGCTGCAGAGATGTACAATTGTTTACTGAGATAATTCATCTAAGAGTACAGAGTGAAAAGGGACTTCAATCTGTTAGAATAGGAGAATGTGTATCAAATCTAAATAGGTGTACTGCTCTGCCCATGTAGTGTGGCTGTAGTACCCGGTCTCTCTGAGCGTCTCGGAGCTCCTGGAGGAAGTCTCTGAGGCCACAGCGCAGCGCCTCAGGGTCCAGCTCAGGCAGGGGCATTGGGAGGGGGGTGTCGCCCTGCTCTGGGGAGATAGGCCTGGAGCAGCCCAACGTGTTGTCAGGGGTCGAGCCTCCAAAATCTGGAAGAAAATATTATATACAGTATAACTCCTCACAATGTATGTCCCACTTTCACATTGACATTTTTTGTGATATGTGAGCGTTTTACCCTCACCTTTGGGGGGAGATAGTGAGCAGTGTAGGGGCGAGAGGCTGCGGGGACGTGTGATGCTGCTGTAGGAAGCTACTGGGGGGCTCCCTCTGGGGCTCCTGCCCCTGCCCCCACTAGCACTTCTCCGGCCCCCCGTCCCGATGCCCAGTGTACGGGTCAGCGCCGACTGCAGGCTGCCCAGGCGGAACTCCAGCTCCCTGCGTCCGGCCTCGGCCCGGGCCAGCTCTGCCTCGGTGGCAGCCAGGCGGCCCTGGGCCTCGCTGAGCTGCAGGCTGGATTGGGTGAGGGAGTCCTGGGCTGTCTGGGCCCGCAGGGACAGGTTCCTGGCCTCATCCTGGAGCTTCTTTTCACAGCCCCGGGCCTCTTGCAGCTGGGCCGTCAGCTCCCTCTCACAGCCCCGCCAGCCTGACTCTGACTCTGTCAGACGCCTCTGGAGGATGGACAGCTGTAGGGAGGAGGAGGGAGGTAGGGAGGGAGGGAAGAGGAGGGAGGATAGAGATGGGAAGAGAGGTACAGTAGAGAAGGTTGTGTAGAGAGAGGTTGATTAAGTTTTATGTTTAACCAAGCCTAAATACAATCTAACCTCTCACTCTACTCCACCCCTCCTCAATCTCTCCCTCCCTCCTCACCTCTTTCTTGATGGAAGTCCTGGCTGTGTCAGCCTCGGCCAGCTTCTGTTTGAGGGAGAAGATCTCCCTCCCTCTCTCCTCCTCTCTCTGCTCCTCCAGGGAGAGACGCGTCTGCAACTCAGCCACCTCCCTCCCTTTCTGTTCCTTCTCTCCATCCAGTACCTTCACCTGATGGAGTGATCGGACAGAGGACAAGTTCTAGACTATGTCTAAGCCAAGGCCTGGGGTTTTTCCTGGTAAGATCCTGTGGATAGCAAGAACTCAATGCCCTAGTGAAGTTATGAGTTCTCTACAGCAGGTAAGGTAAACCAATAAGTGTAAAAGAATAAACAAAGTGTTTCAGAGATGTGACGGTATGTGTGACTGACCTGTCTGCGTAGCTCCTGCAGCTCTCTCCGGGCCTCCAGCCGTGACCGCTCCACCTCTCTCAGACAGCTGCGGAGCTCCGTCACCTCTCTCTGGACAGATGACAGGCTCTCCTCCAGAACAGCCAGCCGCTGCTCCTTCTCCTCACACTGACGCTTCACACTGACACACACACATTTCGTCCTTTTGTATACAGTAGATGCCTTCTGTGTATAGTTTTTACTACCTAATAGAGAGTGATACTAGTATATTAACTTTTGACAGGTGACAATCAGGGTCAGAGGTATGCAGCTAAGCTCTACCTGATTCTCTCAGTCTCTGCACTTCTCAGAGTCTCCCTGAGCTGGGCATTTGATAGGCTGAGAGTGTCTCTCTCCTTGGTGACATCACTGAGGGTGCGCCGTAGCTCCACCCCATCCCTTCTGTACCCCTCCCCGGTGTCACGGATTTGGTTGAGGCGCCTCTCCATCTCCAGCGTGTCCCGCCTCACCTGGTCTCGGCTCTCCTCACTGGCTGAGAGAGAAGCTCTGCACTCCTCCAACTGGAAGAGGAAGTTAGGGAGAGTGGTAATTTCTTTTTGAAATGGTCCAGAAATGGTCACCGGCTCCATCCCTGACTCTAACCGCCTCTTACCTCTTTGAGGGCAGCATCAGTGTGTGTCTGCAGGTCAGAGCTGTTCTCCTGCAACCGGTGCAGCTCCCGCTCATGAACACTGCCAGCCTCCTCCAGCTGAGAGCGAAGCTCCAGTAACTCACTGGTCAGAGCTCCCACTGTGGCCTGAAGACAAAGTCAGGGAAACTTTCATGTCTTTAAAAACAGTTCATGGTAGTACAGAATGGGAACAGAGTTCTAAAGCGGTCTATAATTACCCTCTCCTGTTCTTTGTAATGCGCTGCCTCTCTGGCCAGTCTGTCCAGCTCCAGGGCTGCAGTACCCAGCTCTGCCTGCAGGATGGACACTCTCTCAGACAGCACCGCCTTCTCTGCCTCCTTCTGGGACAGCATCTGAGAGAGGGAGAAAATAGAAAGGGCCTCTTGAACTGGGGATATGGATCACAACCTCATGAGAGTAGTTATCTCTTAACCGCATTTGCTCTGCACTTCATTACAGACTCTGATCTTTATTACATGTAGGTCTCTATTTTAACAAACCTAACGCAATGGTAAATCTAAGCACTGGCGGTAGTGCTATGCTATAGGTCCTGGGGTGTCAGAAATATTTTTGCTATTTCCACAGCCAGAATTATGAGCGCAATAGCTGCAGGTGGCTCGAAATGGCTAGGTTTTGATACATAAACAAGTTGTAGGTGTGAGAAAGGCTTGGCCATAATACAAAAATCCCCATCAAAATCTGCCAATTTAAGCTAGATATTTCTTGCATGGGCTGCGTCTCAATCCACCACATCCGCCTATGTTGGCCTTCCGCATCTGCGGTGGAAGGTGGCTGAGCTACAGTGGTGTTTGTCAGACCATGAGACATCCTGAAAATTGGTCTTCTCACAACAATGTCTGTAGTGTCTGAACGTTTTGGTCTACAAACTAATATTACCACTCGAAGTAAAGATGAAACTCTCACGAACACGATAGTGTTTTCCGTTTTGCTCTACGACCCACACAAAGGTAGCCCATGCAAATGAATAGAAGTATGGAGGTAGTTTTGTGCCAACAAAAATAAGGGGTTAAATATGTGTCCAAAAAAGCACAAATATTCCTGAGCTTTCTTAAATCTCCTAGATATAGGACAGACACTTCAAAACCTTATTCCTTATGATATATATATTTTTTACCAACTTATTTAGCCATTTATGAATGTGTTATTCAATGTGTTTCTATGGACTATAGTAGTAAAGGCCAAATTCAATATTTTATCAAATCATTTTTTTATATATTTGTTGATACCTAAAGGGTCCTAAAATTCCAAATCAAATAGCTAAATGATCCATGGTATGAGCATTCCCCTACGGCTTAGACTTTTAGAGGTTTTAATCAACACATTCCATAGCTTAATACTGCAGGCGCTTGTTTCCAGTTCTGTAGGATACTGATGGTATTTGCGTTGTCACCAACTCCATTTCGGCTGGGGGTACAGATTATTCTCGTCCTGGTCCATTGTGGATTGATATACTACAGTTTATTAAATAGCATAGGCTACAGTAACGAGTAGGCTAATAGCAACAGTAAAAAAAAACATCCAGTGTTTGCTTAATAGCCTGTTTGGAGTGTTGGCAGTCAACATTGTAGTAATTGGCATCAACGAGCCTAGCCTTCATGTCTTTACGCATCGCACTTCTCCTAAAATAAAAATTACTAGGCTCTCGTAAATTGTATTGAATGTGTGAGGCACGTTCTCAACAAGCAAAATATGATACTGCATCATTTAATTTAAATACGTTTGGAGGAGCGCGTCTTTGGTAACCGGATCAGAGGCACTCTTTGGAGATGGGGATGGATACTTGAACAAGAAAAATGAAGTATGCAGGTAGGCATATGTGTGTATGTTTAAGGATGTGCAGTACTGTATATTTTCAATTCAAGGCACTCTGACGAATAGACCATTTAAGGCCGGCACTACAGGCTGAAATTACATTTTTGCATCTACCTATCAGTTTTGAGATTTGTTAGTATTTTGTCCCATTAATATTAGTATTTTAAAAAATGAAACATAAAACTATCAAAATCTTGATAAAATGTATATGTTCCTTTGTTTATCATACTAGCATCATCAAAGTTTCATGAATTTTAACCACTTTAAAATGGTCATACATCTATAATTTCAAAGCTCAATGTTTTGAATTAGACATAATTTAAAAGCCCACTTCAAAGAGAATGTAACAAACTGGGATATATATATAGTAACTTAGTTTGAAGAGATGGTGATTGGGTCTAAATAGGTGTTTGGTAGTCTTAATTAGGTGTACCTGTCTTTATCTGCCATTTAACGAAAGTCAGACTCTTCCCAAACGCCAACTCATTTTCCTCAGCATCTGCTTTCACCAAATTTTGTGTGGTTATCCTCAGATATATTCTCGAGACTTGCCCAGAGGGAATTGTTGATATGTTGTAAAATAAATAAATCTAGATAATACATTTGGCAAAAATGCATTTTACAAACATGGCTTTAGTATTTTACAGCAAATATTTATCCACAATCTGCACTCAGTCAGTCCTGTCCTGGAGTGTCTTAACAAAATTAAACCAAAATATTTAGGGTGACTTAATCCAGTGTCCAGAAAAATCGATTTGCGCGATATGCAAATATTTGCATTTTTTATGTTTATCGCTTAATTCGCATATTTTACTACAATATTTCAGAAAATGTCAGTAGACCATTTTAAAACCCCTTTATTCATAGACTACTTGGCTAATGGCTAGGATAAAAAGATGCACCTATGTGATGCTGCTAAACCAGCCTTGATTAAGGGGAAGGTAGGCAGTGCTTGGTTTTTAATCAATTTAAACGGAATGGAAACCAATCTTTTTTTAGGTTTCTATACTGAACAAAAATATAAAACACAACATGCAACAATTTCTAAGATTTTACTGAGTTACAGTTCATATAAGGAAATCAGTCAATTCATGAATAAATTAGGCCCTAATCTATTAATTTCACATGACTGGGAATACAGATATGCATTGGTTGGTCACAGATACCTTTAAAAAAAGGTAGGGGCGTGGATGAGAAAACCAGTCAGTATCTGGTGTGACCACCATTTGCCACATGCAGCGCGACACATCTCCTTTGCATAGAGTTGATCAGGCTGTTGATTGTGGCCTGTGGAATGTTGTCCCACTCCTCTTCAATGGCTGTGTGAAGTTGCTGGATATTGGCGGGAACTGGAACATGCTGTCGTACAAGTCGATCCAGAGCATCCCAAACATGCTCAATGGGTGACATGTCTGGTGAGTATGCAGGCCATGGAAGAACTGGGACATTTTCAGCATCCAGGAATTGTGTACAGATCCTTGCAACATGGGGCCGTGCATTATCATGCTGAAACATGAGGTGATGGCGGCGGATGAATGGCACGACAATGGGCCACAGGATCTTGTCACAGTATCTCTGTGCATTCAAATTGCCATTGATAAAATGCAATTGTGTTCGTTGTCTGTAGCTTATGCCTGCCCATACCATAACGCCACCGCCACTACTCTGTTCTCAACGTTGACATCAGCAAACCGCTCGCCCACACGATGCCATACATGTTGTCTGCCATCTGCCCGGTACAGTTGAAACCGGAATTCATCCATGAAGAGCACACTTCCCCAGCGTGCCAGTGGCCATCGAAGGTGACCATTTGCCCACTGAAGTCGGTGATGACGCCTAACTGCAGTCAGGTCAAGACCCTGGTGAGGACGATGAACACGCAGATGAGCTTTCCTGAGATGGTTTCTGACAGTTTGTGTAGAAATTATTTGGTTGTGCAAACCAACAGTTTCATCAGCTGTCCGGGTGGCTGGTCTCAGATGATCCCGCAGGATGTGGAGGTCCTGGGCTGGCGTGGTTACACGTGGTCTGCGGATGTGAGACCAGTTGGATGTACTGCCAAATTCTCTAAAACGACGTTGGAGGCGGTTTATGGTAGAGAAATGAAAATTCAGTTATCTGGCAACAGCTCTGGTGGACATTTCTGCAGTCAGCATGCCAATTTGCACACTCCCTCACAACTTGAGACATCTGTGGCGTTGTGTGACAAAACTGCACATTTTAGAGTGGCCATTTATTGTCCCCAGCACAAGGTGTATCCTGTGTAATGATCATGCTGTTTAATCAGCTTATTGATATGCCACCACTGTCAAGTGGATGGATTATCTTGGCAAAGGAGAAATGCTCACTAACAGGGTTGTAAACAAATCTGGGCACAACATTTGTGAGAAATAAGCTTTTTGTGCATATGGACCATTTCTGGGATCTTTTATTTCAGCTCACGAAACATGGGACCAACACTTTACATGGTGCGTAATATTTTTGTTCAGTGTAAATACGAGATTCACCAGCACAAAAGGCACATCTCTCTTTCATGGGCAATGTGCGTCATGGCTGGATAGGCTGCGCTTCCGCTCTTAAAATCCATGCCATTATTAACTGCGCTATCGTTAAGACCTGCCTTTTGTGGGTCTTACAACTTCCCATAGCGCTGCATAAAATGGTCACTTTTTTGCTTGTTTTTAAGGACACACCTCAAATATTGCCACCCCTCCCACCTCAGCGCTAGCGAGCTGATGTTACACAGGTAAATTGCCAAACCTGGCGTTAGGGCTGGAAAATGCCAGTGTGAAAGTTTTTACATGACCAAAATGCAAACTATCGTGTGTTTGACACTTACGCCTCCGACCTTAGCGCCCGCCAAAAATAGAGCCAGCATTGTCTTTGTATGGTCTCTCAGATGTGCCTGACCTGTTGTTTCTCTGTCTCTGCCTGTAGCAGACTCTGGTCTCTGTCGTGTTGCAGACTCCTCACTTCATCTTTCAGGTCCTCCCGGTCTCTCTCAGCTCTGAGAAGCTGCTCCTCGGCCTCCTGTCTGACCTGTCGCAGTGCCCCCTCCTGTTCAAACTCCAGACTGCGACGCAGGGCCTCCTGGAGAACAAACATACTCAGTTGTTCATGTTCATTGCATGGGTTAAACCAGCCCACATAAAGAACATGAACAACTGAGTAGAATCAAGACCTACAGTGAGACACCTTGGGCAAAGCAAGAAAAAGCTAGAACAATTTTTTTTATAGTAAAACCATCCAAATAGTACTCTTACTGCTAGCACAAACACCTCTCCAAACAGGTCTAGACAGACAAGCAAAATCCAGCCTGAGCCCTCCTCACCTTCTCAGAGATCAGTCTCTCTGCCTCCTCCTGGTGGTCAGTGATAGCGGTGTGGAGGGCCTTCTGGGACTCCTGCTGGGTGGTAGTCAGGGCCTGGCTCAGAGCCTCTCTCTCCCTCTCACTCTGCGCTAGTGCATTCTCCCCATCCGCACGCACACGCCTCAGCTCCACTACACAGGACAATATCAGACATGGTGACCAGTTTCACACCTGTGTTCATACAGTCTCAGTCATACAACGGATATACCATCAAACGTGCAACAGTTTTTTACTAAGGGGTGTAGCTCTTTCCACTCACAGCCCCGTTCATTCCGTATATGGGTTGAAAATGGCAGATTTAGTCATTGATAAACGCCTACTTTGGAACGCAGTGGCTGTACAGTAACATGCTATACATGACGCCAGAGCCCCGGTTCTCCGCTTCACAGCGCTGTATGGATTTTGGCTGACAGCCTTTATAAACTTGAGCACCGCGCGCGACAATAAGAGGCCCCCATCCCTCCCACTAATGTGCTACTTTTGCACATTTGTTGTTGTCTGAGTGAGTGAAATGCTGTAAATCGAGAGGAGTTGATGTGATTTCAAAGATGAGCCGTTGAGAATTATAGTAAATACCGCTTTGATGTCATACAAGCAAACCACACACCCGTGAGTCCAAATGTGCACTTCACATTTCCGTATTAGAAAACTCATGTCATTTACAGTATCAACGTTGATGATCGCTATGACGTGCTATACACTGGGTTGTCCTGAACAGAATGACGTTTGTCTTATTGTGTAGAAATTTAGCCACAGAACAAGCACTTGAATGCACTCATGACTCCATTCTATGCGCACCAAAATTACAATCTGTTTGTCTGAAGTGGCTTTTGAAAGCCTAACACTGTAAGATCGTATTTTATAATTTAGCTAGCCATGTTGGCAATAGAATACGCTTTCAAATCATGCCCACCTGACCCAGATTGTGATTTACAGTATAATGGAACATTTGGGATTGCGTAAACAACAACAGTACTTGTGTGATGGTGGGGATGCAGGGCTGTGTTCCAAACAAAAAACTACAAGTGTGCTTGTTTCAGTTACTCAATGGCAAAGCTAGGAGAGCTAAAAAAAAAGCACCTTATGGTTGAAGGCTCTTTCCTTGAGTCATAAAAGTGCATTTAAATTACTTAGGAACTGTGCAGTTTGGAGAGGTGTGTGGCCACTTGGACACCGGTTAGACCTTTAACTCAAACCCTTGTAATAGTTTTTTCTTATTTTGTACCTACTCCAAAGTTTCTATGAATATTCTTATTATGTTACTCAATGTATCCAGAGTATTTTTTGATTTCGTTATTAACAAATGCTGTGAAAAGTCCAGTAAATGTAAAATGCACATAAAATCAACAGTGTAATGTTTGGATTCAGTCTTGTGTCAGGTGAACTGTTGTGTCCTTTCCCCATAATCTCCAAAGTGTTTTATTTCAATTGCTACCCTGGTCATGCATTTGCTTTTTATAGTTATTTTAGAAACATTTCAATTTGGCCCTATCCATATAGCCCAATTTCCACGAGTTTAAGGGGTTAAACACAGGTTTCTATTTCCTGATCTATGGCTATCTCCCTCAATGTTCCTTAATCATTTTCTTCCATTCCAACATATCCATCCTCCCCTCTTCCTTTCTAACTCTCACATAATTTCTCTCTCTCCTACTTATCATCCTCTTCTCACCCATTTATTTAATTTCTCTCTAAATGGTCATTTATTTCTCATCCTCCTCTCCTTTCCTCTGTCTCTCTCTCCATCTCTCACCGGTGGTGGTCTCCCTGAGAAGCCGCAGGCTCTGGTTCTCTGCCTCCAGCTGCTCTCTGCGAAACTCAAACTGAACCAGCTGCTGCTGCACCTCAAACAGGCTGGTCTCCAAGGCCTCTCGCTCCGACCTGCAGGGGCACGGACACTAGTATTAGTGACCAATTCGTCAAAACACACACACAAACACACACACACACACGGTCGGTCAGACACGCACACACACAGATCTCTCACCTGAATGCGGCCAACTCCTCTGTTAGTGTGGAGTTCTCTCGCTCCGATGCAGTCAGCTGGACCACCAGCCCCGCCCTCTCTCTGACCAGCTCCGCCCGGCCCCGCCCTACTTCCTCCAGAGCCACGCCCTGTCTCTGTTCCTCACCGCGGGCCATGCCCAATTCCGCCCCCAGAGAGCTCACCTCGCCACACAGCTGTTAGCAGAGAGATACACAGGTACATGCAGTAAAACTGTACACATTTACAAACAAAGGTTCACTGAAACAATGAGGTTTCAGAACACAGTGATTATCATGCTCTGTTAATGACTGATTAGTCAAGAGTGACAGAAGCTCTTTCTTGCCACTTTCCGATTCAGAGTGGAGAGGAGACTCATTATTTACCTGAGTGACTTTGTCCTGCAGCTTCACTCTATCGGCCCTGAGGCTCTGAAGCTCCGCCTCCATCACCACCCTGCTCAGCTCGGACTCCTGCAGGGATTGGTGGAGGGCGAGGCGGGCGGAGTCCAACTCTAGCCTGTCCTGCTCCAATCGGACGAGCTCATCTCTGATGGTCATCTTCTCCTGCTCCGCCTCATGTTTCTGGGCCTGCAGGTGGGCCTTCTCCTCTTCAAGCTGAGAGAGAAACATGGACATACAGTGGGGAAAAAAAGTATTTAGTCAGCCACCAATTGTGCAAGTTCTCCCACTTAAAAAGATGATAGGCCTGTAATTTTCATCATAGGTACACGTCAACTATGACAGACAAAATTAGAAAAGAAAATCCAGAAAATCACATTGTAGGATTTTTAATGAATTTATTTGCAAATTATGGTGGAAAATAAGTATTTGGTCAATAACAAAAGTTTCTCAATACTTTGTTATATACCCTTTGTTGGCAATGACACAGGTCAAACGTTTTCTGTAAGTCTTCACAAGGTTTTCACACACTGTTGCTGGTACATGCAGATCTCCTCTAGAGCAGTGATGTTTTGGGGCTGTCGCTGGGCAACACGGACCTTCAACTCCCTCCAAAGATTTTCTATGGGGTTGAGATCTGGAGACTGGCTAGGCCACTGCAGGACCTTGAAATGCTTCTTACGAAGCCACTCCTTCGTTGCCCGGGCGGTGTGTTTGGGATCATTGTCATGCTGAAAGACCCAGCCACGTTTCATCTTCAATGCCCTTGCTTATGGAAGGAGGTTTTTACTCAAAATCTCACGATACATGGCCCCATTCATTCTTTCCTTTACACGGATCAGTCGTCCTGGTCCCTTTGCAGAAAAACAGCCCCAAAGCATGATGTTTCCACCCCCATGCTTCACAGTAGGTATGGTGTTCTTTGGATGCAACTCAGCATTCTTTGTCCTCCAAACACGACGAGTTGAGTTTTTACCAAAAAGTTCTATTTTGGTTTCATCTGACCATATGACATTCTCCCAATCCTCTTCTGGATCATCCAAATGCACTCTAGCAAACTTCAGACGGGCCTGGACATGTACTGGCTTAAGCAGGGGGACACGTCTGGCACTGCAGGATTTGAGTCCCTGGCGGCGTAGTGTGTTACTGATGGTAGGCTTTGTTACTTTGGTCCCAGCTCTCTGCAGGTCATTCACTAGGTCCCCCTGTGTGGTTCTGCGATTTTTGCTCACCGTTCTTGTGATCATTTTGACCCCACGGGGTGAGATCTTGCGTGGAGCCCCAGATCGAGGGAGATTATCAGTGGTCTTGTATGTCTTCCATTTCCTAATAATTGCTCCCACAGTTGATTTCTTCAAACCAAGCTGCTTACCTATTGCAGATTCAGTCTTCCCAGCCTGGTGCAGGTCTACAATTTTGTTTCTGGTGTCCTTTGACAGCTCTTTGGTCTTGGCCATAGTGGAGCTTGGAGTGTGACTGTTTGAGGTTGTGGACAGGTGTCTTTTATACTTATAACAAGTTCAAACAGGTGCCATTAATACAGGTAACGAGTGGAGGACAGAGGAGCCTCTTAAAGAAGAAGTTACAGGTCTGTGAGAGCCAGAAATCTTGCTTGTTTGTAGGTGACCAAATACTTATTTTCCACCATAATTTGCAAATAAATTAATAAAAAATCCTACAATGTGATTTTCTGGATTTTTTTCCATCAATTTGTCTGTCATAGTTGACGTGTACCTATGATGAAAATTACAGGCCTCTCTCATCTTTTTAAGTGGGAGAACTTGCACAATTGGTGGCTGACTAAATACTTTTTTCCCCCACTGTATGAGAGAAGGGACGGGTGTGCAAGGCTTACATTTAAACTACAAGAAATCCTGATAGGCAATAGGCATACCATGATACCATGGCTTACAGAAAACATATTGGCAAGGGCAATGCTTTGATTTGATGAAGATTACATGGTTACTCTTGTATCAGTTCTATATGACATCCACCACAAGTGTTAGTCAAATGGCTGCCCCACCTGGCTGATGATGGAGTTGAGGTCAGACTTGTCCTGGGCCAGGCCCTCATTCATGCTGCCCATCTTGGCCAGAGAGTCTCGGAGGGCAGCCTCCTCAGAGTGAAGTTTGTTGACCAGCAGAGAGAGCTCTGCATTACTGCTCTCAGCCTGGGGGACCAGGGACAAAACATACAGGATATTTAACACAGAGGATAGGTAACCTTTCAACATAGAACAGAGAGGAAGTTAAAGGGACCAAAACTATGACAAGCAAACACAAGAGGAGCCAGAGAGTTATAGTGACATCCATATCTGTGTGTGTGTCATACCCGGGCCAGAGCCTCAGTGAGCTGGGCCTTCTCTCCCTCCAGCAGCTGCCTTTCCACCTCCGCCTGGTGGTGGGTCTCTCTCACTGCAGACAGCTCCCCTCGCTGGACAGACGCCCGGCTCTCACTCTGCTCCCACTGCTTCTGACTGTGGGGACAAGTACCAGGGACAGAGGACAAGGACAGGAATACAGTTATGTATACTTGCAATCTCCTCCATTTTCTTCTATTTCTCATAATTTACTTCCCTCATCTCCTCCTTTCTCATCATTTCATTATTTACATGTACCTCTTTTCCCCATCACTCTCTCCCTTCCACCTTTCTTTTCACACACTCTCACTCACACTCTCTCGGTCTCTGCCTTGGCCCGGTCTCTCTCCTGCAGCGCGTCCACCTTATCCTCTCTCTCGTGATCCCTCTCTCTCTGGGCCGACGTCACGGCCTGCTGCAGCTTCTCACAGTCCATTTGCAGAATCTGGGCCTTGACCAGAGCTGCCTGGGCTGCCTTCTCCACAGCCACCTTCTCACTGACAGGATATACACAAAGACACAGAGGACAACAGGACAATGGATACATTAGACATATCTACTGAAATATAACCTTTAATATACATAGAGTAAGTGTTCTTTAACCAGGGCACTGAGGGCAGACACTTCCTGGTCCTAAAGGGTTTTCCATCACCCAAGTTGTGTTAGGTTTTACCTAGCCAGTGTGTCCCTGTCATGTTTCAGACGGTCTCTCTCTCTCTGTGTGGTGTCCTTCTCTCTCTGAACTCCATCCCTCTCTCCCAGCAGGGTCTGACAGCGCTGCTCCGTCTCCCGCTTGGCTAACTCCGACTCTGTTAACTGCCTGCGCAGCGACTGCACTGATGACTGGGCAGAGGACAGACGCCCCCGGAACTCCTGTTGACCAGAAAAACAGAGGCAGAGGAGAGAGTGAGACACTGAACACTGGACACTGAAAGTGATACACTGAAAAATATAACTTTTATAGAAAAGGTTTGTATAGGAAAGTTTGACAATGTAACATGGGAATAAAGCAGGCCGTAAGAAGCCTCAATTTGCAATCCCAGAGAATCACTATAGTAAACCCATTTAGATAGTAGTATATGTGTTAATGTGTCCAGCTGCAGCAGAGGGACAGTGTGGAGGGGGTACCTGCAGCTGGAGATGTCTGTTGTTGACAGCAGAGCGCAGGGCTGACAGGCTGCCCTCTGAGACGGTGGCCAACAAGGAGTAGCGCCTGGGAGAGGTGGATCCCCGTGGTGATGAGGAGCGGTGAGGGGAGGAGCCACGGAGAAGAGCCAATAGAGGAGCCCCAGTGTTCTCCTGGTCTGCTTCTGATGACGAGTCCCCATCGGACAGGACAGTCTGGGAAGAGGATTCAATAAAGAGTTTTGGTAAAAGTTTGCTGTGTGTGTGTGTTTGTGTGTGTGTGTGTGTGCGTGAGACGGCTGTACCTGGGCAATGTCTCTCAGTGTGTCCAGCAGTGTTTCAGTATGAGCCCTCATCACCTGCATGTCTGTCTCATCGTTGCCACTCTGCTCCTGTAGGAGGATAGAACCATAATGAGAAGGGAGGGGTATGAAGGCTAAGGATGGCTAATGGCTACAGGAAGTATCTCTGCTGGGTTCACACAGGCCAGTCTCTCACCTCCAGTCTCCTGGTCAGTGAGGCCATGTCTCTGTCTCTCTCCTCACTCTGGCCCTTCAGCCTCTCCACCTCTCGCACTGCATCTGACAGCCTGCCCATAAACACACAGACCACTTAGTATACCATTGAATCTCTAAGATGCACGTTACACTCCTGATTTGTCTACCGCCACTAGGCAGATCAGGCTGCCACTTACCAAACACAAAGACACAGAAAGACAGACAGTGTCTGAATCCCACAGGGCTCTGCTCAAAAGTATTATACTATGTAGGGTGCCATTTGGGACGCAGATAGTGACGGAGCAGTGTTCAGTTCTCTCTCTGACCTGGCGTTGAGCTCAGCCCTTTCAGCGTCCGTCCTGGTCTGCAGGCTCATCATCTCGGCCACCCGTTCTCTGAGCTGCAGCTCCAGCTGCCCCCGCAGCGCCGCCTCCCGCTCCAGAGCCAGGGTCGCCCCTCCCTCCCGGCTGCGCAGTGTGGAGGACAGGCCAGAGCAGGACGACTGGACAGAGTGGGAGGCCCGGGCCAGCTCGTTACGCATGTCTGACAGGTCCCTGGCAGGGGGAAAGGGGAAATATGAAAGATTTCAAATACACAAACATGCAACTATATAATGGAGTGCATTTATGCAGTGTGTTATGCAGTTAGTTGTTCGGACCTCTCTGTGGCGCTCTTCAGCTCACAGACCTGTCTACGGAAGCCAACCACCTGTCGCCATACGGATAGCAGACGACTGTGCTCACTGCTGAAATAACTGTGGAAAGACTAAGAGAGAGAAATTGTGAAATGTCAATGTCACGTGACAGAAAATAAGAGAAGTGTTTCTAATATGAAAAATGAAAACAGCCATCCACAAAAACTCTAATTTCTAATACCCACCTCCTCCTCCCTCCTCCAATCAGACTCCCTCTGCTCCAGCTCCTCCCTGGATTTGGACCAATCAGCAGTGAGTCTGCGTATGTCCTGGCTGAGTGCCTCATTAGCCAGTCCTGCCTGCTCCAACTGCTCTCTCAGCATGGCGTTCACTGCAGACAGACTGCTGCTCCTGTGGAGCATAACACGGCATTGCATCAATTGCATTGAATTGAATTCTGTATGTCATTAGTTTCATTGCTGATTGGCCCAGGCAGATTCCAATCACTAACCTTTGCTGCTCCTCCTCTAACCGGATGAGAGCATTTTCCAGGTCGCCGCATGGATCCTCCTCATCTCGATGGTGACTGTTGCTGGACATATCACAACGACCCTAAAGGGAAATAAGAATGACAGCTATGCATCAGATGTGAATTGTAGATTAACTCAATGCTGTTACTAAATTGCATGGTTAGTTCTTTCAGAATGTCTCCATAGTGGCGTAGCGCATTACGAACACTCAGTCTGTGCTGCTCCAGCTCCGAGGACTTCTCCACTAGAGTCTGTTCTAGATCTCCACACCTCTTCTTGTACTGCAGGACCTGGAGGGGAGGACACAGTGAGCTGATCTGCTCTCTGACTGGTGACATAATATAGATTAGCTAATCAGCATCAGGTTCCCATTTGTCACCATCAAATTGTTTTATTCTTAGTAGGAGAGTCAGTAAGGCAGTGATGTCATACAGGAAGACATCTATGTGGTTCATGAACTTACATCCCATATTACAACCATAAAAAAACAATGCCATTACCTGCTTTCTGTTCATGTGTGTGTTCTTCAATAAAAATAAAGTTAAAAAAATACCTGTTGACAACTGAGAGGGGGTTGACAGACAATTACGGGCATACAAATGAACTAGTAAAACACCCTTTACCCTCCAAATAAATGGGAGGTGAATGTAAACAGACGCATCATAGTGTGATACCTTGGCCTGCAGTTTCTGCACCAGCTGAGCCTGTCTCTGCTGGCCCTCCTGGTAGGCTGTGAGTTTACGCTTGTAGGCTGCCTGTTCCTCGTCCAGACGCCGGCGCAGGTCCATGTTCTGCTGAGCCAGGCTGCGAGACTCTGGTGAATCCCGCTCCCCGTCACCTGTCTCCAGGCGGAGCGCCTGCTCTAGCTATGTGGATGAAAACACATAGAGGGTGGGGGGTTGATGATGCACAGGGGGAGTCGCTGCCTTACGCTTCAGAGTACTAGAACTCAGACTGATATGTAACCACTGTTGCTGACTGTCTTTCTTCAGGTTTGCCAGGTATGCTATAGAAAATAAATGAAATAAAATAAGATATGCTGAAATGTTTTACCATAATTCTCTGTGTTATAAATGCATAATTATTGCATCGTGCAAGGTGGTTCCATTTGCATCTACCTACCGCTATCTGACCAAAATGGTTTCTCAGAGGGCTCTGTGATTGAGGAGAGTTGTAAGCAGCATTGTAATGAATGTTCAGGGGCTCTCCATGGAGAACACCACAGTTCAGTCTAGCAGTAAACACAAACCTGTCTCCATAGGAACCTCTGTAGGTCCCAATAACTGTGTCTATATAGATAAGCCTTTCTGTATTCTACATTTAGCCATAAACCACTGACATGTGGATTCATGTTATAGTAGCCTGGATGTTGGATTTTAGCAGTACATTTACATTAGTCTCATTTGTCAGAAGAGTCATTTTAACTGCATGTTATCTAAATCACCATTTGAAGAACACTGATTAAAGGTAACATAGGAGATATTTCCTGTTTGTTTTAGAGCTGACAATCTTGCATGTACAGCCACATTTAGTAAGGCTAAATTCTAACACCATACTACTGAGCCCCCCACTCTGGCCTGATCTGCCCTCTCCTCCCCACTGAAGCCTCTGTTTACAATCACCATGGGGGACGAACGCCATAGCAACATGCCACTTCACTTCATTCCAGTCCCGTAACCAAGGAGACTGAGAAAATTCTTCAGAGCAGACAAAGAAAATAGTAAAAGGAGAATTGAGATAGGGGTACATTGATATTTCTTATATGTGTCTGTCAAATGCCCGTACGGAATGCCCCTTTGTGGGTCAAGCGTTTAAACCCACCACATATTTGCCTCTAGCAGCCAGGTTAGTGTAGTACTACAACCAGCCCAAATGAATAATTAAGAAGAGAACTCACTAACTAATCGCCAACAAATGCATTCATTCTCCCTCTCTCAACCTCCATTTACTTATGTGCTTCACATCCAATCCTGTTATCTTTTCCTAAATAATCTCATTTTATCTTTGACTTACTGTTCCCTGTCTTATGTATCTCTCCCTCCACTCATCTCATGATCAATCTCTTTTTCCTTCCTTCTCTTCTCTGTCTCTTACCCTCTCGCTGATGGCACTGTATTTGATGGCCAGCTCATCTCGGTCTGCCCTGCTATGGGCCAGAAGATCCTCCAGCCTTCCCAGCTCTACCTGCAGCACCCGGTTCTCCTCCTGGACTGACATCACTGAGGACATGGCTCCTGGTGCTGGGGTGGGGTGGGGAGGTGAAAGAGAGAGGCACAGACAACCACTCGTGTTAATGAAGAGCACAGCGCTTCGTTCAATACTCAGGACACTACTTTGAATACATCTGTGATTTTTTAGAGTAATCAGGTGGTTGGCCACTCAAATCAAATCGTATTTGTCACATGCGCCGAATACAACAGGTGTACCATGAAATGCTTACTTACGAGCATTGGAAATAGTAACACAATAAAATAACAATAACGAGACTATATACAAGGAGGACCGGTACCGAGTCAATGTGCAGAGGTACAAAGTAGTTGAGGTAACTGAGGTAATATGTACATGTCAGTAGGGGTAAAGTGACTAGGCAATCAGTATAGATAATAAACAGTGTAGCAGCAGCATATGTGAAGAGTGTGAAACTGTGTCTATGTGTGTGTGTGTGTGTGTTGAATTGTGACTGTATAGTATGTTTGAGTGTGTGGGTAGAGTCCAGTGAGTGTGCATAGAGCCAGTGCAAGAGAGTCAGTGCAAATAAAAAGGGGGTCAATGCAAATAGTCAGGGTAGCCATTTGATTAACTGTTCAGCAGTCTTATGGCTAACCCACTCACGGCTCTCGTTGAGGTTCTTGGTGACGATCTCTCGGACCCGTGCAGGTAAACACGTAGGAGGGTCTTCAGGGGAGGTGCCACGGACTGTCAGCCTCTTCTCTTCAGACAACACACTCTCCTCCAGCCTCTGTTAGGGAGACACAGAAGCATTTATATTGGAGAAAGGAGAGTTAGGGGGAGAGACAGCGAGAGAGCATGTACATTGAAGATGGGATAACAGCTGTTGCAGCCACCTGCTTGAATTGTGTGAGGCTGTGTCAAATGTCCATTTGATTACCCTTTCTGCAATCTCTATCTTATTTGTGATAGTTCATGTCCTCAGAGACAGACTAAAGCTCAGGGCCCTGCAGTGCACAGTGCCATGAGGACAGGTGGTGTCTCAGCAGTCACTCCTGTCTACCACAGAGCTGTGTTCAGAATAGAACATTGACCTCATACTCTGCAGAGTGCAAATACACACACTTTCAGCACACAACATAGAGCAGAATGTGTGGCATCTCTGTCGAAGTGTTAAACCATCAGCATCCCCAGTGAAGAAGTCTATTGTAATTACAACTAGCCTACATAATTATAACATATTGGGTGGCCTATTGATATTTCTGTAAATCAATTATATTCAGGAAGAATACCAATACACCCTAAAAAATAACGATAAATAAAAGTGCAATCATGCACTGGCCATGACATGACATCACCTGTATGACAGATTCCAATTTGGAATCCGTGTTGGAATTCTCTGGGTCGGTCATTGAGGAAGATTAGATTTTGATCCAAGAGACAGCAATATCTTCAGGCCAGAAAAATAATTTTTTGTCGCTCCAGTCCCGTGCGATGGTGGCGTTTTCAAATAGGATTAACCGTTCGATTTAGATCGCAATTAACGGATGCACGCGAGTAAATCCGTATCTAAATTAACGACACACTAGCAACTATAAAAATAAAAGCATATGAATGCTTTACAGACAGTATAGAAAGTTGTGGTAGTTTGCTGGAATCTCAGGATTTCTCCCACGTCCCACAGGTGACCGTCCTGCTCCGTCTTTCTCTCCAGGACTGTCGGAGAGAGATTGAGGACAGGGGGATTAGCAGACTTTAAATCCCCCCTCCCTCCCGGAGGAGCGTTTTCCCTTTGCGTTCTTTGCCTGGCCACCCATGCACTTTAATTAGATAGCCCTGTCCTTCATAAGAGAGGTACACTCAATTGCAAAAAAACAAACAAAATAAATTATGATTGGATAAAAAATCAGCTGCAAATGGTGGTTATCAACTAAATTTTGAGGAAATTTGTTGGCCACAAATTTCACAGTGCCTGCAGGATGTGCTCTGTACAGGTTTTTCAAGGCCCAGTGCAGACAAAAACGTGATATATTTCCAAACTATGAGGTTGGAATAATACTGTGAAATTAATTATAATGCCCTTTTAGTGTAAGAGCTGTTTGAAAAGTTTTGGTGGGATGGAGTTTCGGCCTGCCTGGTGACGTCAGCAGGCAGTGAATTAGTTAATAGATCAATAAGAAAGAGACCTCTCTGCCAATAACAGCTATACTGTACAAAAATATAAACGCAACATGCAACAATTTCAAAGATTTTACTGAGATACAGTTCATATAAGGAAATCAGTCAATTGAAATAAATTCATTAGGCCCTACTCTATGGATTTCACATGACTGGGCAGGGGTGCAGCCATGGGTGGGCCTGGGAGGGCATAGGCCCATCCACTTGGCAGCCAGGCCCAGCCAATCAGAATGAGTTTTTCACCATAAAAGGGCTTTATTAATTATTATTTTTTTCAGCTCATGAAACATGGGACCAACACTTTACATGTTGCATTTATATTTTTGTTCAGTGTAGTTTTCAGTTTTCCCCTCCCCACAGACCACCCCCAGACAGTCCTAGCAAAATTATTGCCTGAGAAATGTCTCTTTGCTAAGAAGCTATTTTTTGTCTTTCTGACCATTTTAATTTAAAACAATCACAGTAAGGTACGCAATTGTTACACAGAAATGATTTGATATTGAGATAAAAACGGCTGCATTTGACCTTTAAGAAGTCTGTCTGTGTGTCCATTCATCAGGCCTATCAGTGATATACAGTAGTTTCTTCTGTAAAAATACAATATAATTTGCCAAGGAAGGGTTGTTAGGTTACACAGTATGAATAATGATGAGGGGGGCCACTTTAAGGGGCATCCATGATCCCTACACCCCTCTGTAAATGGGACATTTGGTGACAGTAACTACATGTCGGTCACTGTTTATAATGTTACAATATATTAAAACACACAACACATGATCAACAAGGAATGAAAAGCAGAACAAATGTGTTCCCCTTTTCAGTATCTGGGGGCCCAGCTTGATCACTGTGCCTGCCACACCACTTCAATGCTTGAATTACCATGGTAACAGGCATGCCTACAAAAGAGAGGGACTCAGAATGTCAATAACAGACCCCTCTATTCACAAAGCTCAGCCTTAACCACACCCCCACAACCTTCAGCATGTTCTCATTTTGAAAGATGTGCATAAAATGTTGAGCCATTTTATTCTGCAACATAACTACAGTATATTTGGTCAATGTTAAATATTACACAATATTACAGGCCAACATTCAGTTTTTGGGGTTTGTTTTGGGTTAAGGGCCCTCTTGTGGTTTCCCGGCAATGCTGCATTGTATGGAAGCAAGGGTAATTGATACTTTTTTGAGCATGCAAGATCAGCATTTAAATCTTTGCGAATAAGTTATCTTGGAAACATAATATTAGGTTAATCATCAAGCATATCTTAAGGCCTACAACAAAGGGCCCACCATTTTTCCTGGTCAGGTCACGCAGAGTAAAAACTCCTGGCCCTAAGTGATCCTATTACCATGCAATTACCAGTACTGTAATAATAAGCAAGTTAGCCTAGCCTCTTATAGCTCAGACAGGTTTAACCTGGGTAATGAATCTGGGTGTGGGTCCGTTTTCTGTCCGCTGGTAAAGCATGTATAGGTTACCCGTAGGCTATAAGGATGAATTAATTTGTCAGTTATAGCCAAACTCTCTGCTGTAACCCCTGAAATGTCTATGTAATACTGTACAGTGGTATCCAAACTAGAGCCAGCCAGAGTAGTCCTTGCATTCTACAAATGTAAGCTGTTCTACTATAAGGATAAATAAATTGTGGTCAGGCAGTATTATAAACGACTAATACTAACTATTATTATTGTGAATATATAAATTAATGTAGTTTTTGGGGGGATATTACATTGTTATAGGCTATGGTTTGGGTGTATTTTCAAAAGCTTCAAGTTACTTGGTGTGCACATCACTGAGGACCTGAAAATTGTCCCTCCACACCGGCGAACAAGGCACAACAGAGCTTCTTCAACCTCAGGAAGCTGAAGAAATTCTGCTTGACCCCTAAGTCCCTCACAAACTTCTACAGATGCCCCAGAGAGCATTTTGTCGGGCTGTATCACTGCCTGGTACGGCAACTGAACCATTCGCAACCGCAGGGCTCTCCAGAAGGTGGTGTGGTCAGCCCAACACATCACCGGGAGCAAACTGCCTGCCCTCCAGGACATCTACAGCACCCAGTGTCACAGGAATCATCAAGGATCTCAGCCACCCGAGCCATGGCCTGTTTACCCCGCTACTATCTAGAAGTCAGAGACAGTTCAGGTGCATCAAAGATGGGACCGAGAGACTTGTTAAACAGCTTCTATTTACAGACCATCTGACTGCTAAACAGTAATCACTAGCCGACCCGCCCGGTACCCAGCCCTGAACCTTAGACACTGTCACTACCCTGCACCTTAGAGTCTGCTGCCCTATGTACATAGTCATTGAACACTGGTCACTTTAATAATGTTAACATACTGTTTTACCCACTTTAGATATATATATATATATATATATATATATATATATATATATATATATAGTATTGTTGTGGCGGCTCATCCTATATAACTACTGCTGTACACACCTTTTGTATTAATATACTGTCTATACACAGCATTATATCCCTGAACAAAAATATAAAGGCAACATGTAAAGTGTTGGTCACAGAAATGTTCCATACATACAAAAAGCTAATTTCTCTCAAATTTTTAGCACAAATTTGTTTACATCCCTGTTAGTGAGCATTTCTCTTTTGCCAAGATAATCCATCCACCTGACAGGTGTGGCATATCAAGAAGCTGATTAAACAGCATGATCATTAAACAGGTGCACCTTGTGCTGGGGACAATAAAAGGCCACTCTAAAATGTGCAGTTTTGTCACAGAGTGGGATGCTATGTTAGCTAGCTGGCTATGGCTATCCAACACCGAACTCTTCCAAGGCAAGTTAAGCCTTTGGTTTTATTAATTTATTGCCACTGGCGCCCGCCGGTGTAATTGCTAAACTGCTTGCTGCTGACTGTACACTGTACTGCATGATTGTAGCGGGTTTACTTATGCGTTAGTTCTAGTAGCTACGTTGACTATGACGTTAATATTTCTTCATGGATTATGTGTGTATTGGTAGATATTACTGCACTGTTGGAGCTAGAAAACACAAGCATTTCGCTGCACCTGTACATTTGTGTTTGCTACCAATACACTTTTGATTTGATGAAACCCAGACTTCTGTGACCAACCAACCACAACAATGGCCACAGTGACAGACCCCCACCACTGACACGCCCAATCAATGTTTCAAAAACTTGGAAACAATGTTGCAAAGCGATAAGTTAGGTCATCCAGAGGAACGTCAGCCTACTGATGTCACAATCATTGCATTCGCAAAATCCGCCTATTAATTGTTCATCAGCAACATTGTTGCAGAATACATGTATTGCCAAAACAGAGCAAAACACACCCTTTCCATGACAAATGTGATGTCCCCGCGTGCACGACACTGGCACTCATGTCGTGCATTAAAATCCCATCACCGATACGGTTGCATCTGCCTGTCTTTATGGAGGCCAAGATGCCGACTTAATATGTTTCTCTGAATTAAGATATCATTTAATGACCATGGCCCCAATTAAACGCGGACACCCAGTGAAAATTGATACAGTATTTCCTTTCGTTTTCCGTAATAAACAGAATGTAGCCTATACGCTGCGAATGACATTCACTACATCCTTTCCAAAATCACAGCCCATTCACACGAGTGCCATTACCTTACCTTGAATGAATAAGAATTGAAACCATAGTTGTCAACCCCATTCGTATTCGAGAGCAGGATAATTGGACAACCGTTGCGGATTTTAAATGTTTTACTAGACTAGTCAGTCAACTTGCAGCAACATGCTGCTGACGCCGATTTGCTTCCAGCTCCCCTCCAAACCCTTTCCGGGGAGGGACTTCATACCCGAGATAGGCACTGTACTGTACCATAAGCGTGAAAGTCTGTCTATTAAGTCCTGTAAATCATGGTCAATGTCTTCAAGGGCTAAGCAAAGATCAAGAGAGATATCCCAATGTTTTATAGCAAAGTACTCAGTTGTATGCGACACATGTAGCCTTCAATCCACCCTGAAGTGTTATTAGGCTACCAACGATATCTAAATGTAATACTGTAAATACGTGTAATATGGTCAATTTAAACTAAATATCAAAAAGTTGTGGGCTAAATATTGTAATATCATAACAGTAAATAAAACTACACTAGATAAAAAAAGATCAGCTCTACTCACCCTGGCACCTTCTTCTCCAAAGTTACCACAGTGACAGTTTTAGTCCAAGCAGTCTTAACACCTTAATAAAAAAATATAGTCCTGAATTCTGGTGTCAAATGACATACACTCACATAGTTCCTTCTCTTGTGCACTGAACCAAAACGTTTGTGGAGAGGCTTGTGTCAGTCATACTTCACCAAACAAACATCAGAGTCATGGAAACCGAACCAGGGAGACAGACCTAAGTCTAAAGTCAAACTAACTACCTGTTAAACAAGCTTACCACTGTTTCCTTGCCTTACCACTGTTTCCTTGCCAATGCAAACAGAAAAGGAACAAATGAACAACAAATGGTTTATTTACAATAAAGTGTTGCTTTACATTTTATACAGGTGATTTTGATTTGCGTAAAAGGCACTTTGAGCATATATTTGTCGCAAATTAAAGCCAAAACATCAATAACTGTCCATTCGCTGAAAGGCACTACTAGGGTAAAGTATGGGATGAAAAAGGCCACTCAACAAAAAAGAACAGGAAAGGTAGCTAAAGATTTATGATATGCTATGTAAACACATTTTTAAAAAACGATCAATGTTGCCTTTCTCCAACCTACCTCCTCATATTAACCAAAATCCAAACTAGACATTGGTTTGATCTGGCTGCTATACTGAAGGCCCGAAATATCAGACTGATATGAACAGATACTATACTTTCTCTTAAGCCAAGAGACCAGTTTGAAGGAGGTTGGAGAGCAACACTGAAGCAGACTCAACTCCCAACCTTGTGAAAAGACAGACATACACACCTATCCTTCATATTCTCTCAAATAAGAGGGACAAAAGTTATACTTGAACATAAAAAAAAAAGATATATTCACCCTCTTCAGCAACGTAAAATAATGCATACAAATACAAAACTTTACACCTAATCATGTTGGATGATTCAACGAGATGATGAACGGTGCTGGGCAGGAGTGAGGAGTAGTGTAAGGTGAAGGGTCAGAGATGACGGTTAAGAGTGGAAAGGTTGACAGAGTTGTTGACATCCAGATTTGTGTAAAATGGAGAGAAATTGAAAGGGATGGACATATAGAGATGATGAGTGGACCTCCACCTCAAAGTGTCATTAACATGGAATGCACATAATTTTCACCTGGTCAGAGTGACAGCAAAAGAGGTATCAATACTTGATCAATGACAAATTCAAGGGTCACTTCTGACTGCATAGTTAAAGTATCTAAAAATAGTAATATAGTCTTTGTATCTAAAAAGGATGTGCTGGTCAATCACTGACTTGTGACAGTTTGAATCTATACATCTGGGTACGCAAACAATGTGTATGTAATGTAGAGCATCATTTGCGTCAAGCAACCTGTCAGTTGACAGAGCTCCCCCACCTCTCATTTCATTTCTCACAATCATTCTGTCCAGGGAATGTAAGGAGCCTGAGTGTGTGTGTGTGTGTAGGGGTGTGTGAGAAAGAGGGTGTGTGGATGTGTGGTCCATCTCACAGCTAAAACTGCACCCATCCTTTAGCAGTGTCTTGACTGGAGCTGTGGAGGGGGAGATGCAAAGAAGATGATGAGGATAATGACAAATGTGAGAAGGTCAACAACATGGATGGATGACAAAAGATGTTGATATAGCCCCCCCCCCCCCCATCATCAAACTGTTTAAAAGCTTCACTCAAGGGGATGAGAGAGTTAAACTCATCAGGGATTTGAGCTAGTAACCCTGTGATCTCTAGTCAGTTTCCCTTGCCACAACACCATGCAGAAGGCCTGCCAACTTCCTCAGTCGGGGTCTCAACTTACTGTTGCGAGTTCGAATAGTAGAATACACAAGGTGCAATTTCGACATTTGGTTGTGCAGCAGCAATTTTTCTCTAGTCACTGATAGTCAATTAGCCCATGTCGGCAAAATTGTTTTTGATTGCTATCTAAACTTGTTATCATAGTCAAATTATCTTCTGGGGGCCCCCATTTATTTTGTTAGGCAGTCTCACTCAGATATATGCAAACATTTCCCTCCACCCTATGGCAAAATGTGTAGAATTGCAGGAAATTAGCTGTGTAGGTACGCAGAACCGCGAGCAACTGCAGCCCCTCATGATGAATTATGATTGTTTTGTGGCCCCCAACCCCATCAAAGTTGCCAATCTCTGGTCTAAACCATTAGCTCTTCTAAGACTGACCTGGCGCCAGCTGCTGTGAAGTCTCCCCACAGGTCTGCAGTGGGCTGGGCGGCAGGGACCGGGCTGCCGAAATCTAAAAGAGAGGCTGGGGTAAAAACAAAGAGTCGATTTAGAATGCAGGCAGGTTATCCATGTTAACATTTGCTTGGGCAGTGGTAATAGAACATTGGGTCATTGAGCTCTATAGCCCAATGAGGTTACCTGTGTTAGACTGTGTAGGTGGAGGTGATTGCTGGCCTCCAGGAGGGGATACAAGGACTGCACCCTTAGCCATTGGTGGAGGAAGGAGAAGGCCACTACCCATAGGCTTAGACTTGGCACCTGGATCCTTCTTCTTTATGTTCTAAGACAAATAAAAAGTCCATCCCTTCTTAGCATGTCTGTATCACCTTTTCTTCATCACATTTTGTTTCTCCTCATTCTCCCATCTATTGCTGTAACCTCCAATGCTCACCCCAATGCTGATCTTGATAGTCTGGCCGTCTTTAAAGCCTAGGTCCAGTTTGGGTGCTGTGCTCTGAGACGCTTCCTCTTTCGCCAGCTCACCTTCCTGTTTTACCCACCTGTAGAAAAAGGGGCAGATAGATTTGTTCGATTGTATTTAATGTTCCAATGTGAAAATGGACATTGATGCCCAAACCAAAGAGAGGATAGACATGAGAGGTTGACTCACTTGAAGTGGTCTTGAAGAGCCACATTGAAGTCAAAGGAGTCCCCACGATCAGCAAATCCCAGGCCGATAAATGCATGTCGTCCTTTATAAACAGAAGTGCATGAGAAGACAGATGTACAAGCTAGAATACTGTATTGCAATTAACCTTTGATACCACAATGGATATTTTCAGCATATCAGTTTGCATGGTGACGCATTTCTGCTAGTGTCTTCCTGATTGTGATGGCATCTTACCATTGCCGTCCTCTATCCGCACCACAAAGTATCTGCTGGAATCTGTGACTGCCTCCACCACACATCCAGGATACTGCTCCACTGGGGCTTGGGCAAACAACTCTCCTAAGAAATACAGAATTCAGTTAGACTCAAAGCTGGAAATCATGGTATATATATTGGAAGCAGACAAGGTGACAGACATGAGCGCAACAGCAGTATTGACAGATGTAGCCATGACAGTCTGACAGCTAGTAGTTACCTTACCTGAGTTTTTGTCCTCTAGCTTGATATAGACAAGCTTTCCTATGGAGATGATTTTCATCCTGCCAGTCCATGCTGGCTCATCCAGCTTCCAGTCAGCAGCTCTGGAAAAGAAAGAGAAGCACCATTCCTGCATGTCATGACTCCACTATGCTCCAGGGCTTTTGGGCTTACTAAAACCCATAGTCAAACTGTGTAATGCAATAATTATTGCAATCTCAAACCATGCATCAGAATGGGAGTCTTAGGCTACATAAAGAACATCAGTAGCTTGCTCTTTCTAAAGAGCATGGGATGCAGGGATTGACATTAAGGTCTGAAAAGCACACACCCATCCGGCAAATCAGGATACGTTTTTGGTTTCCCAAAGATTCTGATCACTTGGACGAAAATGTTAAGTAGCTTTTTTTTCACCCACACACAGAGGAGGAACCAAAAAGACCAGCCTACTGGAATTCTTCGTATATTGGTTATCAGGAGAAATAAAAAAAATCACCTGCCCAATGGAGCAACCACAGAGCAGGCTGAACTTGCACAACCGCTGAGGTCATTTGCCCTGGGAAATAGGGCAACTCTTTAACCTAATTAACATAACCTGCTTCGTTAATGATCCTAACCTGATATGAAAAAGCCTTAGCTGTATCGAAGTGGCATGTTTTAAAGGAACCTCAAACAAATCTGCTCTGTCAAATCATTCGACAGGAAATGTTAGCAGGGAGCACAGGACATTCTACGGTGGCTCAAACATGCAGCCAGTCAGTCATGGTTGGTACTAGTGGTACAGTTATGTAACATTACAGAGGAAGGTGGGAAAGTGTTTCTAGTGAAAAGCGATTCTGGTTCTTATGTAAAATATGTAATACAATTATAGCTAGATCTATATTCTTTAGAGAGTACACAGACACTTTTATTAATTTCAATGTGTGAGCGTTTTACCCAACTGTTTTCATTAATTGTCCCAACAGTAAAGCCCCAAATGTTTCAGATATAAAGCAAGTGTGCCATCCCAGGTATTGACAAAGAGCCCCACAGTGGAGGTGTCATAATACCCATAAAATCTAGCGGACAAACAAGGAAATGGTTCTAATCGTTTTTCCCATAGGGGATTTTAGAAACACTTAAAATAAGGGCTGTGTTTTGTGTAGGCTTACCCTGGTGTGACGTTTTAATAACCATGTAAATCTCTCTCGGAAAAGGTGACTTTTATCAATATATTTAACTCTATTTACTCTCAGATTCGAAAATGCTAACTAGCTAACTAACTAACACTACAAATCCCTGCAAGCTCCTGCACATCATCTCTAGTTGACACCTTTGCTAACAGGTATTGTGTCAATTTAAAACTTGCACAATACATTTCACAGAATTTTCCATTTAAAGACATTTAGACAATTTATTAATTACTACATTTAGCTAACATTGACTCCTGAGTGGCAGTGCTAACTGTGCCACTAGAGATCCTGGTTCGAATCCAGGCTCTGTCGCAGCCGGCCGCGACCGGGAGACTCATGGGCGGCGCACAATTGGCCCAGCGTCGTCCAGGGTAGGGGAGGGAATGGCCGGCAGGGATGTAGCTCAGTTGATAGAGCATGGCGTTTGCAACGCCAGGGTTGTGGGTTCGATTCCCACGGGGGGCCAGTATAAAAAAATATGTATTCACTAACTGTAAGTCGCTCTGGATAAGAGCGTCTGCTAAATGACAAAAATGTAATCCAGAGATTATTTTATTTGCCTTGATTTGGCAGTCTTGTCCAGATCATCATGGCATTTGTAGTTCTTTATGATAGCCACACTAGAAGCTAATTAGCATTTCATGAAACAAATAAAAAAATACAGGCAAATATATTGATAAATCACCTTGTCCTAGAGAGATTTACATAGTTATCAAAACGTCACGCCATGGTGAGCCTATACAAAACACAGCCCTTATTTTATGGGGAAAATGGGAAAAACTAATGGTGTAAAAACGATTGGAACCATTTCCCTGTTTGACCGCTAGGTTTTATGGGTTCTCTATTAAGGGTTTGGGTTAGCGAAAATGCTTTCCTAACCTGCTACGAAAAGTCACTTGTACCTAAGTGGCATGTTTTAGGGAGTCCCGATTTATTTAGCATTGTACACAGCTTGAAAATAAAGCAGTCGTGCTTATTTCAACCATCTCAGTCTAACTACTAGCTAGCCTACAGGATTATAGCTAGTTCACTAGTTAGTAATTTAGCTGACCTGGCTAGCATTATTTGGCTACACCCTCTCCGAGCTGGGCATCTCCGGCGCGGCTCACTCTTGGATTGCGTCCTACCTGACCGGTCGCTCCTACCAAGTGGCGTGGCGAGAAGCTGTCTCCGCACCACGTGCTCTCACCACTGGTGTCCCCCAGGGCTCAGTTCTAGGCCCTCTCCTATTCTCGCTATACACCAAGTCACTTGGCTCTGTCATATCCTCACATGGCCTCTCCTATCATTGCTACGCAGACGACACACAACTAATCTTCTCCTTTCCCCCTTCTGATAACCAGGTGGCGAATCGCATCTCTGCATGTCTGGCAGACATATCAGTATGGATGACGGATCACCACCTCAAGCTGAACCTTGGCAAGACGGAGCTGCTCTTCCTCCCGGGAAGGACTGCCCGTTCTATGATCTCGCCATCACGGTTGACAACTCCGTTGTCCTCCTCCCAGAGTGCGAAGAGCCTTGGCGTGACCCTGGACAACACCCCGTCGTTCTCCGCTAACATCAAGGCGGTGACCCGATCCTGTAGGTTCATGCTCTACAACATTCGGAGAGTACGACCCTGCCTTACACAGGAAGCGGCACAGGTCCTAATCCAGGGACTTGTCATCTCCCGTCTGGATTACTGCAACTCGCTGATGGCTGGGCTCCCTGCCTGTGCCATTAAACCCCTACAACTCATCCAGAATGCCGCAGCCCGTCTGGTGTTCAACCTTCCCAAGTTCTCTCACGTCACCCTGCTCCTCCGCACACTCCACTGGCTTCCAGTTGAAGCTCGCATCTGCTACAAGACCATGGTGCTTGCCTACAGAGCTGTGAGGGGAACGGCACCTCCGTACCTTCAGGCTCTGATCAGTCCCTACACCCAAACGAGGGCATTGCGTTCATCCACCTCTGGCCTGCTGGCTCCCCTACCTCTGCGGAAGCACAGTTCCCGCTCAGCCCAGTCAAAACTGTTCGCTTCTCTGGCACCCCAATGGTGGAACAAGCTCCCTCACGACGCCAGGACAGCGGAGTCACTCACCACCTTCCGGAGACATTTGAAACCCCACCTCATTAAGGAATACCTGGGATAGGATAAAGTAATCCTTCTACCCCCCCCCCCCCCCCCCCCCCCAAAAAAAACCAAACATTGTAAAGTGGTTATCCCACTGGCTATAAGGTGAATGCACCAATTTGTAAGTCGCTCTGGATAAGAGCGTCTGCTAAATGATGTAAATTTAAATGTAAATTTAGAAACTAGCAAGTTAGCTGCTAGATAGCTAGCCAAACAACGGTGCCACCTCATATAGCATATATTGAAAGTTAACTAGCTGCCTAGGTAGCTAACAAATTAATAAAAAACTTTATCCCAGAAATAATATTAATCTACTCGCCATTTTATGCATTCAATAATTGAATAATTTCAAGCTAACGTTAGCTAGCAACAACCTTGTCTTCCTGGATCATCTCCAGTTTCCACTTCAGGTTGATTTGCTAACGCGTTAGCAAACTAGCTAATAACACGAGTAGTTAGAAGAAAGTTAATGAACAAAGTGGGGTCCGTAAAAAAACTCACCGATATCCACGGTTAGTGGCACGGGGTGGGATCTTGTACACATGAACCTCTGGCTTTACACATATCACTGACTCGTAACCACTGTCGTCTGCCAGTGCCATTTTGGCAAGTAGAAAAACTTCCAAACTTCTAACTGCTATGGGGGGGCGAGGGAGCATGAACGCACTGCACTGTAACGTTACAGCTCAAGAGCGCCTCTCTTGGAGAGGATGATTACTACAGTCACTTTCTTCTTCTTCTTTGGTATTATGGCGGTCCGCAAACAAATGTTATAGATGCATGCCGCCACCTATTGTATTGGCTGTACATCAGCCTACTTTTCCGTAGGATGAATTCATTACACTGTGTGAAAAAATTGCCCTACCAACTAACCCTGCACCCATTAAAACCTCACCACTATTCCACTACTTTGGCCCTATCTGATCCTACGCCAGGCCAGCAGCCTGGGAGGATGGGACACTATAGTTCAAAACATATTGCTACAGGCCTCCTGTAGCTGAGTTGGTAGAGCATGGCGCTTGCAACGCCAGGGTTGTGGGTTCAATTCCCATGGGGGGCCAGTATGAAAAATGTATGCAGGCGCTCTGGATAAGAGCATCTGCTAAATGACAAAAATGTAAATATTGTCATTCTTCTGCAGCAAAATCTTGTACACCCAAGTGTTTCTCTGCAGCTGCCACCACAACATCTATCCTCTGTGATTTATGTTCCATTCCTGAAGTTCAATTGACAACCATGGCTGTGAATGCCAAATAACAACCTTAATGAAGCCAATGTTATTCCTATCACTCTGTATTGGCCTCAGCCTACTCACAGGGATCCTCTTAGGATCCTACTCCCTGGACCCATCTTCCTCTACTACTTCACTGCCTCAGCATTCTGCACTACTCTGATCCTGGTAACCTCACCCACCTCTGATCTCCAGCACCATGGGTACCCCTACAGTTTACACATAACTTTTTCCACCGACACTACACATTCCTTTGTCTTATGTCCTCCTGCACACTTCTCACATCTATGAATCGCCCTCCTACACACTGCTGCCACATGAGCATAAGCTTGACACCTAAAATACCATAATGGAATTCGGAACAAAAGCTCTCATGGGATAATTGACACATCCTAACTTGACTTCATCTGGTAAAGACTGCATCAAAACTCAGAAGTACAGACAGTGTTTTCTGTTTTTCACCACACTCTTCACTGGATCTGCGTTGCACCAAACGGCGGGGGTCACAGACACCGGGAATCTTCAACTTCAGTTAGTCCTCCTCAACACTTAACGCCTCTCTAGTTATCACTCCTTTCAACGGTGCCCTGCTCCGGGGAGGAAAGCAAGTCACAGTTCTTGTCCCCAGTCGTGTGGTGTGGAGCGCCCGCTCCCTCTGGACGGCAGAAATGCAAAAAATTTACACGATTCCTCTTCGAGTCACATTCACCGACCCAACATTTCCCAACCTCTTCTCCACCCAACTTGACACCACCTATGGATCTGCCAGAAGACAAATATCCATTCTCTCCTAAAATTGCACTCCAACTGGACCAGAATCATCTTTGTCATCATCAGGACAAGGCTCAAATTCGGCAGTCTTCACTGCACCTGCCACCGCAGTTAATTCATTCTCATTCTCGTCACTTTCAATTTCCTTCTGAAGCTCTTCCAAGTTCTGTGTGATCCACCACTACATATTCATTCAAAACATATTCCACTTTTCTCCTTTTTTTCCTGTCCGCCATCTTCTCCTTCATCAGATCTTCCAGAAGGCTTGTGCATTCCCCCATTCCATATTTATTTATAATATGTTCCACTTTTCTCATTTTTCCACTTCATGGCCACACCGGCAATTAGCCGCCTCCTCAATCGTCTCCACTAAGACCCCAACACTTTTTATGGTCCCTATGACCATGATGTTGATGATCCTCTATCATGCTGTGTAGTTTGTAGTGATGCTTTTAGAACTAATGAAAATAGTCATCACACACTTAGCTATCTGTTGTTTGCATGAAATGTTGCTTTATTTGACAGCAGCATAGGTCTACTATACACTGTGCCAATACGTATCAAATCAAAGTTTCACATCAAAACATGACAGCTGAAAATAATGACAGAGACGAGTAGGTCTAATGAATAAACAATGTATTCATATCATTACAATCATGTTTTTAGTGAAGAAATAACCGACTTAGGCATTTTGAAAAAGGCAGGGCTTGCACATGACTGTATGAAGACAGTGTATATTAGTCCAGGCTTGGTCTAGCTCCAGCAAGTCTACAGCAGCCACAGGTGATTCGCTTCACTGCCCTCCAAACACGGTGGAGGAACCCTCCCTTCTTGGTCAATTTACGGTAACCTAAAAGATAGGAAGAAGTATTTTTAGTATTCACCACCAAATCTACAATACTCTTTCGAGAGGGTGTACAATTGATTTGTTTACTCACTTGAGAGGTCCTCCTGTGTCAATGATCTCCAAAGTGTACATGATGAGGCAGAAATGTCTGCTCCTCCACGCTGTAAACAGACAAATTACACTACAGTTGTAGCTCACTGCATTTGTGTGACAAACAAACTGTAATTGTATTCATAGAGAGAGCTTACTCTTTCGCTGATGAACTCTGATCCAACAATGGGATCCGAGAACAACACTGATGGAGTCCAGTGATCTATCAACTTTTCCACAACCATTCTGGAGACATCAAAACACAGTTCCTTGTCTTCGATGAAGGCATCAATAGAAAGTTGGTTTGCAAGGAATGCTGCAACATATCCAGAGTAGAGATTATCTGCCAGCTCAGAGTTAACCTGGCATATGATCTCTTCATAATCTGGTCAGTTTTTCAAGGCTCGCAGGAGAGCCATGCTCTTTGGAGCTTTGGCGAACTTGAATTGGATAACAACCCAAAGCTGATCTGCCAAGCAGAAGTGCTTCGTCACATCTTCACCATTCACTGTCATGGCAGGGTCAATTGCAAAGACGTTATACACAAATGTGTCAATGATGTGTACAAAGAGGGCATTGGGAACAGTTCCAGTGGACATTTGGGTCCAGTAGTTCACAGCTTTGTGCTTTTCTACTCTGCAGTGCTCGCCACAGTCACCATGTCTCACAGGGTATCTTCCAGAGTAACCACTGGGAAGGTGCTTCATGGCTCTCACAATCAGGCAGGCAATGTATCTGGACACCATTTGGCTCTTAGAGGAGACATTGTACTGCAGGATCATCTTGGCACTGGGCCAGTCTGAGCTCTGCGCCAGTTGGTCATACACTGAGGCTACAATCTCTTTCACCTCTGCTGGTTTCAAGTAGAAATTGGCCTCTGTTTCTTCACTGGCCACAGACATTCCAAGGTGACTCTCAGGTGGTTCTCCAGATCATCCAGAAAGGGCCAGTCCTTCAGGACGAGTGTGGCATCCTCACTTGGGGCATCAGAGTATTTTTGGCCTAGCAGTTTGGTCACAATGCTGTGCATGGTTGTAGAACCGATCACAAGAAATTCTCCATGAAGAAGAGGGGACTTACTGTCAAGGTATGACTCATAGTTCTGGATAAAGCAGAAGTTTACGCAGGAGGAGGGTCCAGTCACACAGTTACATGTGACAAGCTGACATACACTTAGAGTGACAGCTGTCATGACAGTCCTGAAAACCTCACTATCTCCAGAAGTCAGGGCTTTTCTCAGGGCAGTGGGGCCACCAGCCACACTCAGCAGGTCATCAAGTATGGAGCGCATAATCCTGACGCCCACAGGCCTGGAGAAGATGATCTGTAGCTGCTTCATATCATTGAACGCATCTGTGATCTGCAGGCTACCAGAAAGGTCTTGCAGCGCGGAGATCACCACCCACATTATCAGGTCGACCAGTGCCATGTTGGTAGATCCCTCTCCTCAGAGGAGTCTCCATTTACAGGGTTGGCTCCAATGCTGAGAATCAGACTGGTCACGATTTCCACCACTACCTCAGATGCACTCTGTAGACGTGAGGCTGGAAGGTAGATCAAATCACTACTGATGTCCTCAATGGCCCTTTGGAGCATGATTCTGGTCGCAAACCCAGTAGGTTCCTTTTGAGCCACAGTCTGCTCTCCACTTGCAGCGTTTATGCTACAGCAAGACAGAAAATAAAGGCAACAAGTTTAGAGACTATGAACACTACAGAGGCTTACTAACAAGGAACAAAGGAACTAATGTGCATAAATTACTAGCTAATAAACACTTTTATCATGTGAAGTGACAGACTCACAGGTTGAGAGGAAAGGGAGGAACAAAGTGACCCTTCAAGGCCATGCAGTGACTGAGAGGATGTGCTGTCGCCATGCGATGCAGTGCAAACTACAAACATCTCATGCTGTATCAGCTCCATCTCCATCTTATGAAGCTTCAGGTGAGTGTTCACCTCCCAACACTGTGTGCAAGAGAGACTCCAAAATAAGGTTTTTCACTGAGACATCAGAGAATATTTTAAAACCAACTCCACCTAAGCCCCCTCCTGGACAAGCCTATTATCACAATGTTTCAATGCAACAGGATTATGAAATGCTATAGAGACTCACTTCTCAATGAAGGCTCCTCTCGCCTGTGAGGTAAGGCAATGCTTCATGTACTCTATGGTGACATGAGAAGAAACCTTGTTCTGGGCCTGCAAAGCCATGAACTCCATCAGGGCTCTTTTCTGCAAACAGATGAGAGGTCTCACAGTAAAACAAATTGAACAATAAACAATATTTTAATAATAATAATTAATTAAACTGCTATAGCACTTTCATAATAGCAAAAAACTAACAAACAAGCAGTATATAATGATATTTTGTTTGCAATCAAGTTTAATTTTGTTTACTCTTTCAAGGTTTACTATTTTACCTAGTGGGCATAATGAGATATTCCCCAGCACAGATCTATGCTCCTCGGGTATGTATTACTTTTAGAGCAAATGACCTGGAATAGAAACATGGGGTTATAAATAAAATATAAAATGGGGTTATAAGCAACAACAACAAAAAAATGTATGCTGAAAGTAAGTAAAGCTAATCTTACCCCCCACTTTTCCTCTTCATCAATGATAATTCACGGAAAGGAGGGCAAATTGCAGTCCAAATATTGTCAACCTCGCTCTATCAGATTTTGTGGGATTATGATTTTATTTTTGCACATTCTGAACATTCTGGGGTGTTTGCCATTATGATGCAAACTCAACATTACACCGCATAGAACGAGATGATCTCACAATTTATTATTTCCCGCCTGGCCATGAGTGCAGACCATCTACAGAAGGGGTTCCCAAACTTTTTTGGCCCGTGATGCTATTTTGATATTTAAAATAAATCGGACCCCACCATGTGAAAAAAATTATGTAATCAATGGGCAATGTTTACTTTTTTAATTTGGGCTTTGACAGTCTATTTCAAATCAGCCTGAGAGTACTTTTGACAGTATTTCAATCTTAAGAAAGTATCGTTTGAAGTGACTGAAATGCATCAGAATGGTATTGGGAATTTCAGAAGATCATCAGGCAATAATTGTATGATCTTCTGTGTAGAAAAGAGCATCCTCATTGATGATGTTCTTTTCCCCCAGTCTGATTTAGTGCCAGGTCTTGTCCACTCGGAGTCCTGCGCAGCTTGTGGGCATTGGTTTCCAGGGAAACAGAAGACACATACGCGTTCCTGAGAGTCTTATCTCTCAGTGATGGGGTCATAATATTTAGTAGTTTAAACGGTTTAAAAGATAGAGCCACATTTGTAGGAAGAAAACAGAAACCGCTCTGTTTATTACAGCTACATCTAGCGGTTACCTGAGGTTACTGGCCTAACCCACGTTCTATGAACCAAGCCTGATTTTATTTATTTTATTTCAGAGTTTCTCTCGCAACCCCATTTTCAAATCAGGCTAACCCTAGTTTGGGAACCCTAGTTTGGGAAACGCTGATCTATAGCCACCAGAGCCATGTATTTAGATTATATTTAGATGATTCTAAATACATGGCTCTGTTGTTAGCCACTATCCACATCTGTGAGGAAAAAAAAGATTGTAGATCGGCATTTTAAGTTTAAGTCTATTAGAAAAACACATTGCATATCAATATAAAATAATGTTTTTGTTAGACATTTACATTTACATTTACGTCATTTAGCAGACGCTCTTATCCAGAGCGACTTACAAATTGGTGCATTCACCCTATAGCCAGTGGGATAACCACTTTACTTTTTTTTTTTAGGGGGGGGTAGAAGGATTACTTTATCCTATCCCAGGTATTCCTTAAAGAGGTGGGGTTTCAAATGTCTCCGGAAGGTGGTGAGTGACTCCGCTGTCCTGGTGTCGTGAGGGAGCTTGTTCCACCATTGGGGTGCCAGAGCAGCGAACAGTTTTGACTGGGCTGAGCGGGAACTATGCTTCCGCAGAGGAAGGGGAGCCAGCAGGCCAGAGGTGGATGAACGCAATGCCCTCGTTTGGGTATAGGGACTGATCAGAGCCTGAAGGTACGGAGGTGCCGTTCCCCTCACAGCTCCATAGGCAAGCACCATGGTCTTGTAACAGATGCGAGCTTCAACTGGAAGCCAGTGGAGTGTGCGGAGGAGCGGGGTGACGTGAGAGAACTTGGGAAGGTTGAACATCAGATGGGCTGCGGCATTCTGGATGAGTTGTAGGGGTTTAATGGCACAGGCAGGGAGCCCAGCCAACAGCGAGTTGCAGTAATCCAGACGGGAGATGACAAGTGCCTGGATTAGGACCTGTGCCGCTTCCTGTGTAAGGCAGGGTCGTACTCTCCGAATGTTGTAGAGCATGAACCTGCAGGATCGGGTCACCGCCTTGATGTTAGCGGAGAACGACAGGGTGTTGTCCAGGGTCACGCCAAGGCTCTTCGCACTCTGGGAGGAGGACACAACGGAGTTGTCAACCGTGATGGCGAGATCATGGAACGGGCAGTCCTTCCCCGGGAGGAAGAGCAGCTCCGTCTTGCCAAGGTTCAGCTTGAGGTGGTGATCCGTCATCCATACTGATATGTCTGCCAGACATGCAGAGATGCGATTCGCCACCTGGTTATCAGAAGGGGGAAAGGAGAAGATTAGTTGTGTATCGTCAGCGTAGCAATGATAGGAGAGGCCATGTGAGGATATGACAGAGCCAAGTGACTTGGTGTATAGCGAGAATAGGAGAGGGCCTAGAACTGAGCCCTGGGGGACACCAGTGGTGAGAGCACGTGGTGCGGAGACAGCTTCTCACCACGCCACTTTGTAGGAGCGACCGGTCAGGTAGGACGCAATCCAAGAGTGAGCCGCGCCGGAGATGCCCAGCTCGGAGAGGGTGGAGAGGAGGATCTGATGGTTCACAGTATCAAAGGCAGCAGACAGGTCTAGAAGGACAAGAGCAGAGGAGAGAGAGTTAGCTTTAGCAGTGCAGAGAGCCTCCGTGACACAGAGAAGAGCAGTCTCAGTTGAATGACCAGTCCTGAAACCTGACTGGTTTGGATCAAGAAGGTCATTCTGAGAGAGATAGCAAGAGAGTTAGCATGTTGTGTACAACTAAAATAAGCACATACTTCTGATTAAATAAAAAGTATGTCTCACAAATGAAACAGATTTAAATAATTGTTTTATATTAACCATTTTAGTGGTTTAAAGTTTAAACTTGCCATCCACTTTTCAAATGCGCTACAACCACCTGTGGATAAATACACAGGCAGGCCTACAGTTACTGCAATATAATAACTACCCAATGGATGTCGCTGAAGACTATCAGTCAGACGGTCCCTATATCTGTTTCACAATAAAAGTATTCAATAAAACATTTCTAAGAGAGAGAGCGTGAAAAAGTAATTTCGGAAACCCAAAACTACAATTTCGCGTAATTGCGTCAGATGTTACGTTCGTCTGTCCACAAGAGCTTAATAATAATACAAATAATGCCTTTCGTGAACTAACACGAAGCCGTCAATGTTCATGCTAAAACGGATTATCGATTTAGAGATCTCTATCTAGCTCTATGGCCGCTGCCATGCCAGTGGCTACCTTTATTTTGAAGCGCACTTAGCGCCATGTGATATTTGATCACATGACTACTAAGACAAGGAAGTGAAAGATCTTTAATAAAGTGTGATGATCGTTCGTGCCGGTGAGGTGAACATAAAAAGATGAGTTGGTATAGATACAATTTGACAAGCTAGCTAGCTATGTGATAATAACAACCGTCGGTGTGGTGCGATTGCACACAAAAAGGTCTGCTGTGAAGACATCACAACAGACCCCAACTCATTGTTTTGCAGGTCGAGAAAAGCTTTGCCTTATTTCGCAGACCGCAATCAAAGTCGTAGTGGTACCTCTGGTCGTAGGCTACCCAACCCAAGACAGAGATATTTTGCAATAAAAGGAAATAATTTTTGACGTATAGGCTATGTTCGGTTCAATCATGTCAGCGAACTGGCCCGAGAGGATCTCCGCATTCTCGCGCAGCCCGTCCCAGTTCTTGTGCAGCACGACATCGGACATCTTCCTCGCGGAGGTCCTGCGCGAGCTGCGAGATGACAGGGCCAGTGACCACATCAAGGTACATTACACGTTTTCAAGGCACAATTATTGTTGTATTGAGTCCCTCGCTATGTATGTATCCACAGGAAGTGGCAGAGCATTTTCTATGGAGGAAGGCACGTTCATTAATGTGTTTAAACTTTAAACCACTAAACTGCATTATGTCCTCTGTTCTGCCTGCCTCAGGTCTTGCTGTTGTCCCCGCTACTTGAGCACCCTACTCTGCTGTGCCCCTCTGTCTCTGTGGGTGAGGAGACCGCCCTGGAGCTCATGTCTGTGTTTGCCCAGTGCTCCCCCAAATCCCTCCCGCTCCGTCGCCACCTCCTCCTGGCCCTCACCTCCGTGCTCCTCTGCTCCTGCTGTGTTAGCTCACACACCAGTGCCTCCCAAGACTTCCTGGAACTCCTCTTACAGACGGCCCAGGACACCAACGACGCACAGGCTGGGGCTGCATTACGCCCCCTGAGGGCAACAGCCTGCGACTGCCTGAGGGAGCTGGAGGCTTGCCTCCCGGGCCTACTATCCCAACGCTTGGAGCTCCTGAGCAGCCTGAGGCAGCAGGAAAACTCCGGGCTTCACCAGGCTTACACGGGGCTCCATGCCCTGGCACTGAGGAATGCTGTGTATCTGCTCACCCAGCAGAAAGGGGCTGGGGCTGGAGACCTGAAGGCTGCACTGGGGAGCAACGAGGGGTTTGTGTGGGGGGAGGGTGCAGACTCAGCACACCTGGACTCAGAGTCACACTCTGACTTGGCCATCTTTTCGCCCCTCACTCTAGGCCCCATGGGAAAAGTTCCTTCCCTGCAGACGGGCCTAGACTGTAAAGAGCTGAGATCGCTCCTCTCCTCCCTCCTAGAGGAGTCCTACCTGCTCACATCCCTATCCCAGGCTGCACTGCTGCGAGGGCTGGTGGAGGTGCTTGCCATGGTGCCCGCAGTCTCCCCAACGATATTCAGGGCACAGCTGCTGCGTCTATTGGGCACATGCAAGGTTAGTAGCGGTCTACTAGTCTAGGATGAGTTATGGAAGAAATGGCAGATTATCCACAGATCTATCCATGCTTGTGCTGTGGTAGAACATTATCAAACCTAGCTGTAAAATCTTGAGATTTGTGACCGCATTGTTTAATCTCTTGTTGTTGCAGGTGTGTCTGGTGCACACCACTCTGCTGATGAAGGCTGCTTTCACAGACAGCCTGTTCAGCGCAGAGGATGAGGCCTTTCTTCTAAAGCGTCTCGTCGGCCTGTCCCAACACCCCCTACTGAGCACGCCCGAGAAGCTCTTCTACATGGACTGCATCCTGCACTTCCCAGAGAACCGACCAATCAGCTGTGGTGACGGGGACGAGAGCCTGCCCGTGCTCTTGACCCCTCGGCTGGCCGCGGCCCTAGTGCCCACTGTGTTCAATGATAGTGTCAGCATGCTGGCTAGACTCAACCTACTCTCTCTGGTCTACCTGGAGGAAGGAGAAGAAGATGGGGAGGGACAGGGGGGGAGAGGCCTGGCCTACCTGTACGATCACCTGACCTCCCTTCTCCGTATTGTGGAGAACCAGGGCAGTAGGGAGATGGTGGTGACCTTCTTCAGGGCTTCCTTCCTCTTCCTTCTCCACTTCTGCCACGTGGAGCGCTACTCTGAGGACCTGTCTCAGAGGCTGTGTGACCTGTACTTGAGACACACTCGGCTGGCGCCTCACCTCATCAACCTGGCTGACCGGACCCAGGACCGGCTGGAGGAGTCAGGCTGGGCTGTGGCACTGCTTAAAGCCCTGCAAAGAACCATCACAGAGGCCCCACTGTCCCAGCTCACCCTGCAAGACCTCCGCTGGCACCTCAGGATCCTGGCCCGCGTGGCAGAGGAAGGGGAAGTCCTCCAGAGGGCCACTCTCAACTTTCTGCTGTGCGTCATCACTTCCTCTTCATCCGCGCTGTGTGTGAGCGGGGACTGGCGTCTGGGGAACGGCGTGCTGGGGGTGTGTCGACGCCTGCTCCTGCACCCCAGCTTGGACTCCCTCCTCACACCGCTGGCTGACCTCCTACAGCACCTCACCTGTCATTATGGTGAAACAGACATCCAGGACCACGCCCGCTTGTACTACACCCTCCTCACCACTCTCTCCCGGGAGAAGCTGGCTGGGGTGTTGGCACAGAGGGGAGCAGAAAGGGGGCGGCAAGCCAAAGTGCGCTCCATGTCTGCCATCATGGCCGAGACCGAGGAGTTGACCAGCGGACTGACCGTGCACCAGACAGAGCGACCGCTGCTGAGGCTGGTCAAACTGGAGAAACATGAACCAGATGACTGCAAACCAGAGCATAAACCAGAGAGTGAATCAGCCTGTGAGTCTGAGAGCTCCCCAGGACAGGGCGGGATAGAGAGAGAGGATTACAGAGCCCAGTTCCAGAGCCCCAGCTTCGCCTCTGAAATCACCCTCCAATACCACCTCACACACACTGGAGTTCATGACCCCCGTTTTGACAAGCTCTTCAGCATCCGCTTGCACTTTGACCTCACGGACGGCCACTATGAGGAAGTGAGTGACATCAGCGTGCCTTGCCTGTTCAGGACCAGGAAGCCCCCTACAGTGAGGCTGAGGCTGAAGCCCAAGCAGCCGTACCACACCACCCTGAGAGCTAGCGCTATCTTTACCACGGAGGACGGCCTCTCCTGGCACTCCCAGCTGGCAGACCTCCATGTGGCTTTCCCTGAGGTGTTTCTGCCCTTCCTCGCACCCCTAGGGTGGACCAGGGAACAGAAGCAGAGAGTGTTTGAGGGGATCTGGGGCGAAATATGCTCAGAGGAGTCTGAGGGTGATTTGACCAACGCTGCCACTAGCCTGTTCTGTGATCAGTTGGAGGATTCGGCTATGGGTGAGCTGGTGGAGAAGCACTTTCAGAGATATCTGGTCTCAGACTTGGATAAAGGCAGGTGTAAAGTGCTGTTCTTCCTCCCACCCCAGTCTCACGTGCTGCTGAAGATCATCACAGAGGAGGATGCCGTCCAGGTTCATATTGCTACAGACAACTGGAAGCTTCTGCCTTATATTAACTCTTATCTAGAGGACATTACCAAAGAGATTCACAGCACACAGCAAGTCAATGGTGATGTCTGATTCTGGAAGTGGTGGGCTCCATACTAGAAGAGACGGCTTGTTTTTATTAAATGAATACGCCCTTTTAACACTTGTCTGTTTTGTGATTTCACAGTGCCTCCTTTTCAGTCTCTGCTTTTGAAATGTTGCTTGATGTATTTACTATTGATGTTTGTAAACTGATCATTTGAATCATGTGGATTTGTGAAAATATTTTGTAATTGAACTTCTAAATAAAGTCAATGTGTGACTGACTTCTGCTTGTTTACCTCATGCTTAACACAGAAGTGCCATACTTAAATATTTTATTACAGCTGTACAATCATTTTGCAGGTCCCAAAAACAGAAAATGCATTCCAATTACAGAACAGGTTGCCTGGTCCCCCATGAAAACATAAGGAAGAAAATAGAATTAAGACTTGGACACCAATCTACTATTAGAGATGGTCATTTGAGTGATATAGCAGTTTCCCATTGTGTGAAAAGGAATATGCTTTAATATTTTAAGTAAATCATAAATACATTCCTTGAAAGACCTTTGGTGAAAAACTGGAAAGAACCATTTAGAACCTTGAATTGTTTCCTAATGCTGTTGTACATGGGATATTTCCCATAAACTCTGTCTTCAAGACTTTCCATTTGAGCAGTTTGAAGACCGTACAATTGTCTTTGACGTAATGAAGGATTCCACACAATAAAACAGTTCTGTATGACTAAAGTTTCACAATAAAACCCCAATGGGACCAGATTTACTGAGCTTGCCTAAAAGTTTGCGCCAAATGAATAAAAACAAAACAAATATTTGTTAATGTGTTGTAATACACATTTTGGCCTTTACTTTGCATGCACACCCCCCCAAGTTAGCTTATGTTTCTCAAACTAGCAAATATGTCCCTGTATGTCCAGTAAGACCATTTTAATGCCACTCAATGTGGCCCCTTTAAGACGGTCCTGTTCCAGGTTGCAGCTCTACTTCGAGATGTTCTCAAAGTTGGCCTCTAAGCAGGGAGGCAGGGCTGTCTGCTGGCTCAGGAGTTTGTCCATGATGGCAATTTCAGCGTCCTTCTTCTCCACGTCGTCTATAGGGGTCCAGGACATGTCGTATTGAAGCTTGAACGCACCACAAGGCTTGTGAGGGCAGCCGGCGCCCCAGTCCTTCAAAAGAGAGATAGGTGAGAGGCCATTACGCAATTAGATAAGAGAAGCAGTTTAGTCATTAGTAGAGTAAATATTAGCACCATCTTTTTCTAAAAGGGTTATGGGTTTGGCAGACACCTAATGGGCTGTTCCTTTCTTATATACAAATTAAAGTGGGACTTTTTTGTTAATCTTTCTATATCCATTCAATGTTCTCCTGTGTGTGCTACTGTGCTTACACAACCATGCTCTGTGGCCAATGCGTGTGCACACAAAGATGCAAGTGGTCAGTCAGCACCACCTCTAACCGGCTAAAGGGAACATTATCAACTCCCATCAGGGTCACATGTAGACTTTGAACGTCTAAATGTCCCAACTCATAACATTATACACCACATGGTGGTATATGTTCTGTAACATTATGTTACTCAGTCATTCAGCTGCTGTTTGTGCTGGGGGCTTTCCCGGGTGATTGGAACGTTAGAAATGTGACGGAATAGACATGTTTCTTATCTTTCAGAGTAGAGCCATATCTGAACGTTCCAAATTATTGTGCCTAATGCCGCCCAGGTGTGATGTGCTTACCTGAGGAGAGAGGATGGAGAAGTATTTCTGTCCGGAGGGCCGCTCGTACAGGTAATACATGTTCCCTGGCTTCTTGACGACGTTACATGCAGCGTGGTGCAGCTCAGCGTCCTTCTTGGCATCCTCTAAAACCTACACCAGAGAACAAAAACATTCAGATCAAACCAACTGGTATCACAAATGCTACTTAATTATTTCCCTATATGAATTACATAGATTGGTTACATAAAGTAATATGTAAGCCATGCGCCTCACCTTTCTGGCTTGTTCCTGCAGGTATCTAATTTGATCAGCAATGACTGTCAGTCTGTTGCAGGCGTTGGCTCTGACAAAGTCATCTCCCTAGGAACCCAATACAGGTAACCAAACATAAGGTAAATCTCAAACAGAATGTCTTCATCATTATGATACATTCTTGAGGGGGCGACGTCAAACCAAAGTTAGGGTTCAGAAAGGCTCAGTTGGCAGGGGAATGGTGCTGGCAACACCAGGGGTTTGCTTCCCACAAGGTCTGTACATGACTATGGATAATCTGATTAATATAATCATCATTATCATTATTCCATTACAATGCCATTAATTTAATTACCCGTTGTACTTGTGTTGCCAGAGCAACCAGATCCATGGGGTCTCCCACCCTGTTGGTCTGGTAGGAGCTGACTAGGTCCAGCCCATTGGGGTTGCTGCTGCTCTCCACCAAGTTCACTACAAACACACAGGGACACTTGAAACTTGCATAACACAAATTGAGGAATGGTGACAAAGCTAGACATTTTTGTGAAGCTTTGTGCTAGTCTAGACTACATGGATTTACTGATTGCAACACCCATTTACGTAGGCCTACAGTCTTCAAAACGTCTGGCCTCCCCTCCACAAATAACCTCAGACAGACTGACTAGAATACATAAGCGGCTCCACAAGTTCATGCTTTGAGTGGCTCGTGCCTTGCTTCCTGACCTGCAAGTAAGCACTTTCTGTTCACGTTTAGCAAAAGCCAGCTGCTAAATCGTTGGCAAAATTGCTGACCCTGATCTGAACCGAATGAGGTGTATGACGGTGGAATAGCCTACTGTAAAATGTCATGTAAAAATGTGAAACTACTGGAAAAAAAATACCCAAGGTAAAATCTGGTAATTAGAAATTCCCTTTGAGTGCGACTAGCTAGAGAAGATCCCTAACTAATAATAGTCGAGCTAAAAGCCTACTCAATAGGGATCTAAACTAATGTTTATACAGTATCACCAGTAAACACATTTATAACAATGAATCAAATTTTACGAAACATTCAATTCACACCCTATCCAGGACATTGATTGAGAACAATTTAACAACAGCTAGTTATGCTACAGTGTAGGAAGTCTTACCTGTGGTGGTTTTGTCAGGTTGATTCGGAAGGCTAACTGTCCTGTCCATTTTCTTTACTGTAGATAATTTGGTATACAATGTAGCGAAATGCTCTCAGAAATGACCAGTTGCAACTACTCCTCCGTAGCAGGTTTTGTAACCAATGTGCTGTGCTGTGTGAAAGGTTGGCCGGCCAGCAGGGGGGTGTTTTAAGGTCTTGAGTCTCCTCCTCCTACCCAGCCTACAATAGTAGGCCATTTAGTTGCCCGTCTGAAAATTATGGCAAAACGTTATTTCAGTATAATTGTCGAACAATTATAATAACAAGAATAATTTAAATATCACATTAAACACTAGATATAATTAATGGCCAAGCTGGCGGATGATTATTGTCATTATTGAGTGAGAGGGAGGCATTTATTGTAGGGCTTAGAACACAGGGGAGGTGTAACTTGTGTAACAAAACATTGTTACATACATAGGCTATTTGGAAGGAACGTGGAGAAAGATCTTATGAAATGGACGATTGTCCTTATAATATAATATAATATAATATAATATGCCATTTAGCAGACGCTTTTATCCAAAGCGACTTACAGTCATGTGTTATGTCCTCCATCACTTGTTCTAAAGACTTGCTATTATAAATGACCAGACATGATTTACAGGTTGAGAATCACATTTATTTATTGTAATAATGTGGGGATATTTATCATGTGGAATATATTACCTGAATGTGTTTGTATACCTTTTCATACCTTTATTGAAGTTGATTGTCAAATAAATACATTTTTATTTGTCACATACACGTGTTTAGCAGATGTTATTGCGGGTTTAGCGAAATGCTTGTGCTTCTAGCTCCCACAGTGCAGTAATATCTAACAAGTAATATCTAACAATTTCACAACATATACCCAATACACACAATCTAAGTAAGGAATGGAATTAAGAATATATACATATGGACGAGCAATGACAGAGCTGCATGGACTAAGATACAGTAGAATATTATAGAATACAGTATATACAGTTGAAGTCGTTAAAACTCGTTTTTCAACCACTCCACAAATATCTTGTTAACAAACTATAGTTTTGGCAAGTCGGTTAGGACATTTACTTTGTGCATGACACAAGTAATTTTTCCCACAATTGTTTACAGACAGATTATTTCACTTATAATTCACTGTATCACAATTCCAGTGGGTTAGAAGTTTACATACACTAAGTTGACTGTTCCTTTAAACAGCTTGGAAAATTCCAGAAAATGATGTCATGGCTTTATAAGCTTCTGATAGGCTAATTGACATCATTTGAGTCAATTGGAGGTGTACCTGTGGATGTATTTCATGGCCTACCTTCAAACTCAGTGCCTCTTTGGTTGACATCATGGGAAAATCAAAAGAAATCAGCCAAGACCTCAGAAAAGTCTGGTTCATCCTTGGGAGCAATTTCCAAATGCCTGAAGGTACCACGTTCATCTGTACAAACAATAGTACGCAAGTATAAACACCATGGGACCACGCAGCTGTCATACCGCTCAGGAAGGAGACGCGTTCTGTCTCCTCGAGATGAACGTACTTTGGTGCGAAAAGTGCAAATAAATCCCAGAACAACAGCAATGAAGATGCTGGAGGAAACAGGTACAAAAGTATCTATATCCACAGTAAAACAAGTCCTATATCGACATAACCTGAAAGTCTGCACAGCAAGGAAGAAGCCACTGCTCCAAAACCGCCATAAAAAAGCCAGACTACGGTTTGCAACTGCACATGGGGACAAAGATCGTACTTTTTGGAGAAATGTCCTCTGGTCTGATGAAACAAAAATAGAACTGTTTGGCCATAATGACCATCGTTATGTTTGGAGGAAAAAGGGGGCAGCTTGCAAGCCGAAGAACTCCATCCCAACCGTTAAGCACAGGGGTGGCAGCATCATGCTGTGGGGGTGCTTTGCTGCAGGAGGAACCGGTGCACTTCATCATGAGGAAGGAAAATGATGTGGATATATTGAAGCAACATCTCAAGACATCAGTCAAGAAGTTAAAGCTTGGTTGCAAATGGGTCTTCCAAATGGACAATGACCCCAAGCATACTTCCAAAGTTGTGGCAAAATGGCTTAAGGACAACAAAGTCAAGGTATTGGAGTGGCCATGACCTCAATCCTATAGAAAATGTGTGGGCAGAACTGAAAAAGCATGTGCGAGCAAGGAGGCCTACAAACCTGACTCAGTTACACCAGCTCTGTCAGGAGGAATGGGCCAACATTCACCCAACTTATTGTGGGAAGCTTGGGGAAGGCTACCCAAAATGTTTGACCCAAGTTAAACAATTTAAAGGCAATGCTACCAAATACTAATTGAGTGTATGTAAACTTCTGACCCACTGGGAATGTGATGAAAGAAATAAAAGCTGAAATAAATCATTCTCTCTACTATTTTCCTGACATTTCACATTCTTAAAATAAAGTGGTGATCCTAACTGACCTAAGACAGGGAATTTGTCCTAGGATTAAATGTCAGGAATTTTGAAAACTGAGTTTAAATGTATTTGGCTAAGGTGTATGTAAACGTCCGACTTCAACTGTATTTAAACATTAGTAAAGTGACTAGTGTTCCATTTCTTAAAGTGGCCAGTGATAATGTGCTAGTGATGCTATTTAACAGTCTGATGGCCTTGAGATAGAAGCTGTTTTTCAGTCTCTCGGTCACAGCTTTGATGCACCTGTACTGACCTCGCCTTCTGGATGATAGTGGGGTGAACAGGCAGAGGCTCGGGTGGTTGATGTCCTTGATGATCTTTTTGGCCTTCCTGTGACATCGGGTGCTGTAGGTCTCCTGGAGGGCGGGTAGTTTGCACCCGGTAATGCGTTGGGCAGGCCGCACCACCCTCTGGAGAGCCCTGCGGTTGTGGCCGGTGCAGTTGCCGTACCAGGCGGTGATACAGCCCGACAGGATGCTCTCAATTGTGCATCTGTAAAAGTTTGTGAGGGTTTTAGGTTCCTAGCCAAATTTCTTCAGCCTCCGGAGGTTGAAGAGGCTGTGTTGCGCCTTCTTAACCACACTGTCTGTGTGGGTGGACCATTTCAGTTTGTCTGTGATGTGTATGCCAAGGAACTTGAAGCTTTCCACCTTCTCCACTGCGGTCCCGTCGATGTGGATAGGGGGGTGCACCCTCTGATGTTTCCTGAAGTCCACGATCATCTCCTTTGTTTTGTTGACGTTGAGTGAGAGGTTATTTTCCTGGCACCACACTCCCAGAGCCCTCACCTCCTCCTTGTAGGCTGTCTCGTCATTGTTGGTAATCAAGCCTACTACTGTTGTGTGTCTGCAAACTTGATGATTGAGTTGGAGGCGTGCTTGGCCACGCAGTCATGGGTGAACAGGGAGTACAGAAGTGGGCTGAGCACCCACCCTTGTGGGGCCCAAGTGTTGAGGATCAGCGAAGTGGATCTACCTGGGGGCGGCCCGTCAGGAAGTCCAGGACCCATTTGCACAGGGCGGGGTTCAGACCCAGGGCCTCAAGCTTAATGATGAGCTTGTAGGGTACTATGGTGTTGAATGCTGAGCTATAGTCAATGAACAGCATTCTTACATAGGTATTCCTCTTGTCCAGATGGGATAGGGCAGTGTGCAGTGTGATGGCGATTGCATCGTCTGTGGATCTATTGGGGCGGTAAGCAAATTGAAGTGGGTCTAGGGTGACAGGTAAGATAGAGGTGATATGATCCTTGACTAGTCTCTGAAAGCACTTCATGATGACAGAGGTGAGTGCTACGGGGCGATAGTCATTTAGTTCAGTTACCTTTGCTTTCTTGGGTACAGGAACAATGGTGGCCATCTTGAAGCATGTGGGGACAGCAGACTGGGATAGGGAGAGATTGAATATGTCTGTAAACACACCAGCCAGCTGGTCTGCGCATGCTCTGATACGGCTAGGGATGCCGTGTCAGAGCATGCCAGTCAAAAGTACCAGTCAAAAGTTTGGACACCTACTCATTCAAGCATTTTTCTTTATTTTTTACATTTTTTTACATTGTAGAATAATAGTGAAGACATCAAAACTATGAAATAACACATATGGAATCATGTAGTAAACAAAAAAGTGTTAAACAAATCAAAGTATATTCTATATTTTAGATTCTTCAAATAGCCACCCTTTGCCTTGATGACAGCTTTGCACATTCTTGACATTTGCTCAACCAGCTTCACCTGGAATGCTTTTCCAACAGTCTTGAAGGAGTTCCCACAACTGCTGAGCACTTGTTCGCTGCTTTTCCTTCACTCTGCGGTCCGACTCATCCCAAACCATCTCAATTGGGTTGAGCTCAGGGGATTGTGGAGGTCAGGTCATCTGATGCAGCACTCCATCACTCTCCTTCTTGGTAAAATAGCCCTTACACAGCCTGGAGGAGTGTTGGGTCATTGTCCTGTTGAAAAACAAATGATAGTCCCACTAAGCCCAAACCAGATGGGATGGCGTATCGCTGCAGAATGCTGTGGTAGCCATGCTGGTTAAGTGTGCCTTGAATTCTAAATAAATCACAGACAGTGTCACCAGCAAAGGACCCCCACACCATAACACCTCCTCCTCCATGCTTTACGGTGGGAAGTACACATGCGGAGATCATCCGTTCACCCACACCGCGTTTCACAAAGACTCCAGACCAAAGGACACATTTCCACCGGTCTAATGTCCATTGCTCGTGTTTCTTGGCCCAAGCAGGTCTCTTCTTCTTATTGGTGTCCTTTAGTAGTGGTTTCTTTGCAGCAATTCGACCATGAAGACCTGATTCACACAGTCCCCTCTGAACAGTTGATGTTGAGATGTGTCTGTGACTTGAACTATGTGAAGCATTTATTTGGGCTGCAATTTCTGAGGCTTGTAGCTCTAACGCTGGGTCTTCCATTCCTGTGGCGGTCCTCATGAGAGCCAGTTTCATCATAGCGCTTGACGGTTTTAGCGACTGCACTTGAAGAAACTTTCAAAGTTCTTGAAATGTTCTGTATTGACTGACCTTCATGTCTTAAAGTAATGATGGACTGTCGTTTCTCTTTGCTTATTTGAGCTGTTCTTGCCATAATATGGACTTGGACTTTTACCAAATAGGGCTATCTTCTGTATACCCCCCCCCCCCCCCCTACCTTGTCACAACACAACTGATTGGCTCAAACACATTAAGAAGGAAAGAAATTCCTC